ACAACAGGCGCACCAATAACCTAACGACAACAGGAGCATCAGATAACCTAACGACAACAGGACCATCGGATAACCTAACGACAACAGGAGCATCGGATAACCTAACGACAACAGGACCATCGGATAACCTAACGACAACAGGAGCATCAGATAACCTAACGACAACAGGAGCATCAGATAACCTAACGACAACAGGAGCATCGGATAACCTAACGACAACAGGAGCATCAGATAACCTAACGACAACAGGACCATCGGATAACCTAACGACAACAGGACCATCAGATAACCTAACGACAACAGGAGCATCGGATAACCTAACGATAACAGGAGCATCGGATAACCTAACGACAACAGGAGCATCAGATAACCTAACGACAACAGGACCATCGGATAACCTAACGACAACAGGACCATCGGATAACCTAACGACAACAGGAGCATCAGATAACCTAACGACAACAGGAGCATCGGATAACCTAACGACAACAGGAGCATCAGATAACCTAACGACAACAGGAGCATCGGATAACCTAACAACAACAGGAGCATCAGATAGCCTAACGACCACAAAACCATATGATAACCTAACGACAACAACACCATATGATAACCTAACGACAACAACACCATATGATAACCTAACGACAACATCATATGATAACCTAACGACAACAACACCATATGATAACCTAACGACAACAACACCATATGATAACCTAACGACAACATGACCATATAATAACCTAACGACAACAACACCATATGATAACCTAACGACAACAAGATCATTAAGATAACCTAACGACAACAACACCATATGATAACCTAACGACAACTACACCATATGATAACCTAACGAGAACAAGATCATTATGATAACCTAACGACAACATCATATGATAACCTAACGACAACAACACCATATGATAACCTAACGAGAACAAGATCATTATGATAACCTAACGACAACAACACCATATGATAACCTAACGACAACATGACCATACGATAACCTAACGACAACAACACCATATAATAACCTAACGACAACAAGATCATTATGATAACCTAACGACAACAACACCATATGATAACCTAACGACAACAACACCATATGATAACCTAACGACAACAAGATCATTATGATAACCTAACGACAACATCATATGATAACCTAACGACAACAACACCACATGATAACCTAACGACAACATGACCATATGATAACCTAACGACAACAACACTATATGATAACCTAACGGCAACAAGATCATTATGATAACCTAACGACAACAAGATCATTATGATAACCTAACGACAACAACATCATATGATAACCTAACGACAACAACACCATATGATAACCTAACGACAACAACACCATATGATAACCTAACGACAACAACACCATATGATAACCTAACGACAACAGGAGCATCAGATAACCTAACGACAACAGGAGCATCGGATAACCTAACGACAACAGGCGCACCAATAACCTAACGATAACAGGAGCATCGGATAACCTAACGACAACAGTAGCATCAGATAACCTAACGACAACAGGACCATCGGATAACCTAACGACAACAGGAGCATCAGATAACCTAACGACAACAGGAGCATCGGATAACCTAACGACAACAGGACCATCGGATAACCTAACGACAACAGGAGCATCGGATAACCTAACGACAACAGGAGCACCAATACCCTAACGACAACAGGAGCACCAATAACCTAACGACAACAGGAGCATCAGATAGCCTAACGACAACAGGAGCACCAATAACCTAACGACAACAGGACCATCGGATAACCTAACGACAACAGGAGCATCAGATAACCTAACGACAACAGGAGCATCAGATAACCTAACGACCACAAAACCATATGATAACCTAACGACAACAACACCATATGATAACCTAACGACAACAACACCATATGATAACCTAACGACAACATCATATGATAACCTAACGACAACAACACCATATGATAACCTAACGACAACAACACCATATGATAACCTAACGACAACAACACCATATAATAACCTAACGACAACATGACCATACGATAACCTAACGACAACAACACCATATAATAACCTAACGACAACAAGATCATTATGATAACCTAACGACAACAACACCATATGATAACCTAACGACAACAACACCATATGATAACCTAACGACAACAAGATCATTATGATAACCTAACGACAACATCATATGATAACCTAACGACAACAACACCATATGATAACCTAACGACAACATGACCATATGATAACCTAACGACAACAACACCATATAATAACCTAACGACAACATGACCATATGATAACCTAACGACAACAACACCATATGATAACCTAACGACAACATGACCATACGATAACCTAACGACAACAACACCATATAATAACCTAACGACAACAAGATCATTATGATAACCTAACGACAACAACACCATATGATAACCTAACGACAACAACACCATATGATAACCTAACGACAACAAGATCATTATGATAACCTAACGACAACATCATATGATAACCTAACGACAACAACACCACATGATAACCTAACGACAACATGACCATATTATAACCTAACGACAACAACACCATATGATAACCTAACGACAACAAGATCATTATGATAACCTAACGACAACAAGATCATTATGATAACCTAACGACAACAACATCATATGATAACCTAACGACAACAACATCATATGATAACCTAACGACAACAACACCATATGATAACCTAACGACAACAACACCATATGATAACCTAACGACAACAAGATCATTATGATAACCTAACGACAACAACACCATATGATAACCTAACGACAACATGACCATATGATAACCTAACGACAACAACACCATATGATAACCTAACGATAACAAGATCATATGATCACCTAACGACAACAACACCATATGATAACCTAATGACAACAACACCATATGATAACCTAACGACAACAAGATCATTATGATAACCTAACGACAACAACACCATATGATAACCTAATGACAACAACACCATATGATAACCTAACGACAACAAGATCATTATGATAACCTAACGACAACAACACCATATGATAACCTAATGACAACAACACCATATGATAACCTAACGACAACAACACCATATGATCACCTAACGACAACAAGACAAGATTTTCCAACAGCAAATTCGTGTCGCATATAATCCCTTGACCCAAACGAAGCAATTAAAATAAAAACCTGAAATAGATATTGTTAGTATTAATTTGAATGTGTAGTTAATGACATAACCATTTTGCCAAATAGCTCGTCGTATTAGCATGTGTTATCGGTATATATAACAATGTATTGCTGTTCTCACGGTGCAGTCCCTGGAGGTTTTAAACACGAAGCTATATACAGATACAGCCACATAAACATACTCTATGACCCTAGACTTTATAAACAATCCCTCCAATTAGTGTAACGCTCATGTGATTATCACATCTGTACTACAAGTCAATATATATTTACGATGTAAAAACGAATGATAAAAATGATAATCGTAAATCAAAAGTTGAAGTCAAGAAAATAATATGCGCGTATATAGTTTGTTTGTTACTGAATATTCTGATGTTTTGTCAACTCGAAACCAATGAACTGTTATTTATCAATAAACAAATTGAAATCACTTATATTACCTCCATCTAGAATTTTTCAAACCATATAAAGTAATGGTAAAAACGATTGGCTTCGATGGGAGAGTGATTAAAAAACAAGTCCACTATGAGGGTAGTTTCTCTTGAAACTGGTCATTGTTGTATAAAAGCTCGTCATACTATTCATGTGACTTCTCCGTGTAGTAGATGAAAATAAATCCCTTAAGTTTTGTTTTAACAAACATTGCATATGGTAGGATGTCAGTTTGTTCCCAAAGCGACAAGATGAGTGGTGTGTGCGGTCTGTATTTAGCATGCACGAGCTTTGCACGTTCATTAAAGCATGAACCGTGTAACCAGTGCAAGCAGGTGGGACCAGAATATCCTAAACATAGAACGGTACATCACCAGCAATGCGTAATGGCGGTTTTATAGCCGCAAGTGCTCAGAATGGAAGTGCTTTATAAAAAGAAAGTCCTCCCACAAAAATATTTTTTTAGAATCGTTGGTCCAGATGGCTGTGACAAACCACGAGATGAAATATTGATATACAACACTCGTGGGCGCGTGCCCATGCGTGTTACTGTATTTCATGTTAGGAGGGCGTACATCCGCCAATGCTCCCTTGAAATACCTGGAAGTAGTGAAAGCAATTGTTATTTCTGTGTTTGTTCAAAATCTTCTTTCTTATATATATATATTGTTTAAACGTTTTATTTACAAAGTTTGTTTGCTTGCTTGTTAATACGTCAGTACACCTCCGAGAGCCTGACGACACCGGTTTATTTTCCCATTCTAAGCAAGGAAGTCGTGAGAATCAATGAATTCGATATAATTCAGATAAAACAGTTAAATAGTTACACGAAAAAGATTCGTAAACTTCAAATAAAGACTATAAAATTATCACACCAAGAAATCTCCAAGATTGATACGTTGTTAGGAGTCTCTTGGGTGCAATAGGGTCTCCATCGTGTTTATTACACTCAGTCAGTAATCCACCTCAAATGGAACGCACATAAACAGATATATTAGCAATTAGTATTCATATTTCAGCATCGATATAACCAAAAACTTAGATAACATTAACCAGGGACGTATAATACATAATAATTCATTGTCTAACGTCGTTGTCCATATTATGACATCACCTACGATTTCTGACTGGCGTAGCCAATGGAAAACTCTCCATGGTGTAACATGTATCTCGCGGGAAATTCACTTAAGCCATCACGAGTTACTTCCCATTTAAAATAAATGAAATTGTTTTTGATCCGGATGTGTCGCCAACCTCTCCCAGTGTGCATTGTGGGAGGTACTCTCAGGAACGATAACTCTTGAAGATATTAACCACAGATAAACACCTCTTTAGCAGGTAAGATATGGTAACTAGCAAAGTTACATTTCATTAGATTAAATCAAGGACTACAACGCCAAGTAAACTTTTCAAGATGTGAACGCACTGTACTGTCTTTATGAAGGCCAATCTAGATAGTGTAAGGTCTGTATTGTCAGTGTTAAACGATTGGAAATTGAAAGTAAAGGTCAGCGTTATAGGCTAGTTTAAGCTTTACTGTACTTATTTCAATTAGTATTGGATTAATTACTCTGTCGAGTTTGTGAACAATGCTCTTGAATTAAATTTCCCTTTTGAAAGACAAATAACCTCCCGTTTGAAGACATGTGCGAAACACATTCTGTTAAGGACAGAACACGGGTGATTAGGTCTATCTCATATTTTAGTCACTGGATCTAAAACGTCTTGAAATGCGCATTTATTTTTTCAAATAGTAACAAACTAGTATCTCGTGCTGATATAGCCACGGCTGTTTCTTTAAAATCCAAAGTTTTACGAGATTGTCATTTTTGTATGTTTGACGATGCAGCATCAAATAAGACATGGCTCTTTATTAGACGAAAGGCACATTTCATGATAAAACCGTAGAAATCGGGCATTTACATATGGAACTGTAAGGGCAGACGTTCGGTAACGCATGGTATCCAGTTTGTGTACAGGTTATAAATTCATCGCCTAGTTACCCATTTATACTATTGTATAAATAAAATGATTTGTGATTCATCAAAATCAATCAAACCTATTGATACTGTAGGATGCACAGATAAACCATACAATTGTAGTCCACCTACATGTTCTTGTTCCTTAATAAGACATTGTCATTTCTTGTATCTATCAAACATGTGATTTCTTGAAGGGTAGAGGATTTATATTTGAGTTCCAGTGCATGCTCAGTCAGATATATATTTTCTTTGCTTATATTTTATCTATATTACTATTTTTTCTTTCCATTTAAGAGATCAGTCTGAGAAAAGTTAACTTCACAATGCCTAGAAGAAGAAGAAATAGGAGAAGAGGAAACTCCAGTCGCAATTCTGGTTCTGCAGCTACGACAGAGCAATCTGACGGAGAAACAGAAAATGTTACACAGTCGTCTGGTGGGGAAAATGATAACCCTACACCTAATGTTGCACTGCCACAAGTTTCAGAATATCTAACAGAGAGTGGGGGTAGTTTTCATACAATTGACAGCTCTACAGTGTCATTGGCCAATGACATTCAATCACTTATCAACGATTATGGACAACGACTTCAACTTTTGTCAGAAAGGAAGGGGAATCTCATGCAGACATCTCGTAATGTGAGGGCAGAGTTTGATGAGCGCCTGGATAAATTACAAAAGGAACTGACAGAAAAAGTCCAGCAGAATTACAGAGATGAAAGGAAGCGGCTAGAATTAAAAATGCAACAATGTGCTGCCATGCAATCTAACATGGATGCAGCTAGGGCGTCAGCAGAATTAGCGATGACTTCAGGTGATCCTCACGAAGTCATAGCTTCTTACAAGAAAGGAATGGAAGCAATGAAACAAAGTCAGGATACCATGGAGGAATTGAAGAAGACACATTCAAATGTAAAAATTACTCATAAGCTTGATGCTGAAGGCTTTGAGAATGGTGGTTTATCCCTAGGAACTATTGAAGTCACGAGGACAAAGAGGGAGTTTCCTCAGATTGCCAGTGAATCTGAACCAGCAGGAGGAGAAAAATAATTGGAACAGAGCTTCAGTACTGGACAGCTTCAAGTGAGAAGTTTATTGTTGAACTGTACTGTAGCTTGGAAACCTCTTACAAATCTACACATTGTGCTTGTCTTATTCAACTCCACTTGAAATTGTTTTGTTTTGGTGCCATAGCTTCACTGGTCATGGTTTGGTTACGAAAATAATGCAAGTACACCGGTTATTAGCAGTGGAGCTAAAGTTGTGAATCAATGCAATGTCATGAATCAGTGTGAGAAACTAATTAATGTAGCCTCCCATGTCCTACTTTGATTGGTTTCTGTGATAGCTTTTATCAAGACATTGAAAAACAAGTAGTTAGACTTTCTGTACCCACAACATGTACTATTTGACTAATATGTGTTCCTCTGAAAAATCTGAGATTTTTGGTGTCATTTCTACTTGAAGCACATTAGAGATCAAAATAGTTTGGTGAATCCATTGCAGAATATTGAAATTCTCTTCATTTCTTTCCTACATTTCATTATCATATTTTCTCAAGACCCATCGAAGATGGACTTTATAATATCAACTATCATCTTTTTACATACAGGATTTCATTATTGAGTAAAATCAGATACAAAGGAGAAAATCTTTGTTTGAAGGCTGTTCACAAGACAAAGTACCACTTTGTTATTTGTTGTCAGTTGGTAACATTTCAATTTCCACTGAACTTGGTATAATCAATTAATGGCCTTTAGATTTGTTAGAATCAGTAACTGTATGTCCTGCAAGAAAATGTGGGCTTGTTTCTCTCTACACCCCCAAATCTTTTCTGTTTTTCCAGTCTCTCCAAGAGAGCATTGCTGATTCCTGTATTTTGTTTGTGACGTGTGTAAACCCGGTGTCATGATGTTTATTATTTTACAATGTTAATGCAAGATTTATTGTGATATAAATATCAGATATTTATTCAGACATTTTAAGTGTGACGAGCACAAAGTGAAAACTCATTTACTGGACATCAAACAGCTTTGATCCACTTTTCTTTACCTTAAAATGCTAGTATATCACAATTTTAATCATCTGGGTCCAAAGTTTGAATGTCAATATTCATCATGTACTGGGTTAATGTCCCATCGTTGATACTATAGAACTGAAGGGAGATTTTGAATTCCATTTCAATGAATGTAGGTGTTACTTCGACATTTCAAGTTGTTCGGTTTTATTAGTACATTTACAATGTGTATGCACCAGATCATATGTAAATCACTTGTATACAGACATTACAACTGGCTTCCTAGAATCTAGCATAAATTAATGCAATAGTGAAACATTCATCATTTAATTTATTTATAATTTATTTACAATTAAATTGCTATTTCATAGAACACAGGATACAATCCTGCTCATTTTTTCATATTCAGCATAATAAATTCTATCACGATTCTTTAATGGACTTTTACCTCATGATATCATTCTTTAAAGTCTTGTTTAAAAATCTCTGAAAGAAAACGGTAACACAAAATTCAGGTTTTATCAGTCCCTTTAATAAGAATAATTTAAATAAGATGAGAAACAAATAAAACCTTGTATGTACATGGTACAGGAGATGTAAAATCAAGTCTGAAGTAAAATTACTCAAGAATACTGTATATAAACAAGCTCTTTGTACAACCACTGCACTTTTGTAACACTGTCTTAAAGAAATTCTGTATTATTATTTGTTCAATGTTACAGGATACATGTAAGAGATGCCATTTGAATCTGTTAAGAAGTAGATTTCAATTGTAAAATTCCATTTTCAGTAGATCAATTTTTCTTGTTCTTTTTCCTTTAATTTTTACATAAGTCTTTAATAGAACTTGTACAATTTTAATATTCATCTTAAAGGCAATGTGCCATTGTACATGTAATCTGTGTACACGGTGTGTGATAAGGAGGGATGGCAGAGACCCATGTCTATAGAGATCAATATTTCTATGATGGTAGTCCTCCTCATTGTGGAAGAATGAAATCCTGTAAGGGTTGAAACTAGGAGCAACAACACCCTAGAGACCTTCACATAACATGACCTTTAACTGTAGAGGATTCTGTATTGTTACTGACATTATTTGTACACTTAAAGTGTGTAATTGTGACAGTCATATTTTGTTTATGCTTTAGTGTGATGTGCTAACTCAGTTTTATTTTGTAGAATGTCAGTGTTCCCTATTACCCGTAATGAGGGATACAATCCCCCAAATAGATGAAATTGAAAGCTTCTTGTTTCTAACCATGTATATAATTCTACAGAACACTGTAGAGGAGCCCACTTATTATAATATCACACTATATCATATCCTGCTTCTTATCTTTTTTCAATGTACAATATTTTACCTATATGAATTAATTTGAGGTGATCCAAGTTATTGTATTGACAGCTGGTTTGAATGTTTTACAGTATGATTAACATTTACATATGACAATTTTTTTATATAACTTCCTTTATCATAAGAGAATTGATTCATATCAGCATTTTGTTGTTTGTCTAACGATCCGAAGATATCCCACTTTTGGTTTAGACGAAACTTATCTCAAAAATATCAAAATTTTTGCCATCTCGGTTATTATGATATCCTGATTATGATATTTTTTCTGGAAAATTGAATTTCTTAATAAGTGGGTTCCACTGTACCAGATTTTACAAAGATGTATGTATTTATTTGTGACACTTATAGTCAATAAATAGAACTGTAAAATGGCACTCAGTAGTCCACCATTTTTCCCTTTCTAAAACCATTATCTGTATTGAATATAAGAAAGCAATTCTTTCTATGCCTTTCCTATATTTTATCAGATTGCGACATCTCATCCTTTTATATATAATGTAATGACTTATTTTGCAGAATTTTGCAAGGGTCTGCTACCAATAAAAACTCCAGCATGGTTGCTTTCATTTCAGAAAGATTCAAGTGAATACATAAAGTATAGAAATCTGCAGGGACTTTCCACAAATTCCCAATTATATGGTCCATAAACATCCATCTCATTGAGAAATAGAACAAGAGGCCCAAGGGCCTTAATGGTCACCTGAGTCACAATGCTTCTTGTAACATGTCATAGAAATGATTTTGTTAAAAAAAGTAATATAACTTTAACTATATGGTACACATAATGCAAATGTAAATTGTGTATACATTAACTGCTGTCCCAGGCTAAAGCTTCTAACCAATTTTGAGTTAAAAAAAATTACAGTCAAGATTAAAATTTTCCAATATAAAATCTTCCATCAAGGAACAGTAGAATATCTTTAAATTTCAGTCTATTTGACCCATTTTTTAACTTGCCTATCAGCCCCTGGGGGTCAGTCAAGGTCTATATGTGCATCTCATCAAATTGTCAGCCTATACTTAAAAAAAAAAAAAAAACCCTTACCAAGTTTGAACTATTTGTGAAAGAAAACAAACATTTTATGCCCAAAATGTAATTTTCCTATATAAAATATAGTAAATTTTACCAGTGCCCATGGGGAAATGTGAGAACCTGGGGACATGAAATTTACAATTTTTACATAGCACTGTCAGACATTTCCATCCATGAAGAGTACTTGGTTCTCATTATCTGGGTGTTGAGAATATTTTTTGAAATTTCAGTCAATTGGACCCAATTTTTGGCCTTGCCTAATAGCCCCTGGAGGTCAGCCTCGGTCAATATATGCATTTCATTATCCTGCCATCTTAAACTAATAATTCTAACCAGGTTTGAACTATTTCCAATAGAAAATAAACAAATAGTGTTCAAAAATGTCATTTTCCAATAAAAACTATTTGATTCTACCATTTTTGTAAAATTTCAATGAAATCGATTCAGGAGTTTGCCAGCAGAAGTTGAAAATGTTAAAAGTTACGCCACACAATGCTGGACAAAAAGGGATTGCAATAGGTCACTCTGAGACTTGTTTCAGGTGACCTAAAAACATATATAATGACATGTAAAACATGTCTATGTATGGTCTGTATGCCTATCTAATACTCCCGTACAGATTATGGGTCGAGGAAGAATTTGTGGTAAGTACCGATTTATATAAGTCTTAAAATCTACTGAAGTCTTCAATTTAAAAAGAACTGTTAGTGAAATAACATTGCATCATGGACAAAACTGTAACTGTTGGTCCCAAGTCATTGTGTGGTTACATCCTCATTCATCAACTCCAACACCAAAATATTTACCAAGAGCACACAAGGTGTTAATTTTCATTAGTCATCAAACCAAAATCTATCTGATCCTCAAAAATACACATCAAAGCAATTATAGAAACACCAAAATGAATAGTACACCACATCTGTTATGTATTTAATTTTGCTACTGTGAAAATACCTTTATCAAATGTATGATGATTTACAAACATGAATTCTGCTATTTGCAATATATATGTCTAAAAAATATGAAAATTTATAAAGTTTACTAAGGTAATGGAAATATAGATATAATAGTAATAATAGAAAAAAAAAAAAAAAACAACCTGGATACAATTTTCAGTTGGTGGATGAATTGTATTTCATCTAGTGCCAGATTTTTAAGCTCAGGTTTCAAATTAAAAAAAAAACTCACCTGTACATTAGTAAGTTGTAATGGAAAATGTTTTTTATTCAATTAACACCTGGCACCAACTTTTAGTCCTTGACAATTGGCCTCTAAAATATATCTTATACATCGTGAAAAATATAAGTTATGAAATAAGTTCATTTTTTTGACAAAACAGCAGTACTTTTTTGTGGATCATTCTCGCCTCTTTACAAAAACAAATTCACATCATTTCATAACAGCAAAATCCTAACAACCAGAATACACAGACAGCTACATAGTAACTGGTTTTATAGAATTGAGAAAAAGTCTGAAAGGGAAGGAACTTTCAACTTTTTAAAAAACTTTCTTAATTTGGAAACTGATGAAAACACAAAGACATTCTCAATAGAGAATAATAAAACTTTATAAAATCATAATTTTTTCTATTTGAAAAAGAAATCAGACATTGTGCTTACTAAGAATAAATGAAATATCACAATATTTAAACAGTTGATTTGATTTAAAAATTTTAAAATTACAATGTACTGGTGACAGAATATTTAATTAAAAAAAAAAACCTTCATAAGAAATACAGCAAAGATGTGATATATTAAAATCTTATACACAGTATAAGAAGGTCAAGAAATTAATTTGGAAAAAACTTACAAATCTCATCATGGTTAGATTCAGTGTATACCACTGCATCAATATGTACAGGTACGATAAGCAACACACCAACAAAGTTGTGTAATCATAAGACTGCCATGTAATTCAAAGTATACATTTGTGTCATATTTAAGCCTATTAATTTAAATTAATATGACCTAAATGTATTTTCATGCCATACTATGATAAATACATTCTTTATAATGTTGTCACAATGGAGACCAGTGACATAGAATCACCATTTTACTGCGTTTGGCAAGAAAATTGACAATGTGATAAAGGGATCTTTATTTGTTTCAATTTTATTGTTCATTTATGATACTTGTCATAAATTTCATTCAAAACAATCAATAAATTAATCAAAGTGAAAAGCTCTTTTTTAATGAATCTCAAACAAAACTGAAACCCACATAATCTCTAACTTACATTTACTGTTCACAACGTTACTAGTTATGATGTTACTAGTTTGGAACCAGATCCAGTGTCCCACAACGTTACTGGTTATAATGTTACTAGTTATGAACCTGATCTAGTGTCCCATAACATTACTGGTTATAATGTTACTAGTTATGAACCTGATCTAGTGTCCCATAACATTACTGGTTATGATGTTACTAGTTAGGAACCTGATATAAGTGTCCCATAACATTACTGGTTATGATGTTACTAGTTAGGAACCTGATGTAAGTGTCCCATAACATTACTGGTTATGATGTTACTAGTTAGGAACCTGATATAAGTGTCCCATAACGTTACTGGTTATGATGTTACTAGTTTGAAACCTGATCTATCGTCCCACAACATTACTGGTTATGATGTTACTAGTTTGGAACCTGATCTATCGTCCCACAACGTTACAGGTTATGATGTTACTAGTTTGGAGCCTGATCTAGTGTCCCACAATGTTACTGGTTATGATGTCACTAGTTTGGAACCTGATATATTGTCCCACAATGTTACTGGTTATGATGTTATTAATTTGTAACCCGATCTATTGTCCCACAATGTTACTGGTTATGATGTTATTAATTTGTAACCTGATATATTGTCCCACAATGTTACTGGTTATGATGTTATTAATTTGTAACCCGATCTATTGTCCCACAATGTTACTGGTTATGATGTTACTGGTTATGATGTTATTAATTTGTAACCCGATCTATTGTCCCACAATGTTACTGGTTATGATGTTATTAATTTGTAACCCGATCTATTGTCCCACAATGTTACTGGTTATGATGTTATTAATTTGTAACCCGATCTATTGTCCCACAATGTTACTGGTTATGATATTACTGGTTATGATGTTATTAATTTGTAACCCGATCTATTGTCCCACAATGTTACTGGTTATGATGTTATTAATTTGTAACCCGATCTATTGTCCCACAATGTTACTGCTTATGATGTTACCGCTAACATTTCATAACAATTTTTTGTGATCAACATCTTGTAGCAAATATCTGATTAATGGCCTAACTGATCCTCCACACACACATTGGTAACCATTACCCACAGACACATACACACTGGTAACTATTACCCAGAGACAACAATATGTGATATGGTAACTGATATTATATAAATTAAATGTAAACATTAAAACAAATGTTACAAAACAATGAAAGATTATATTCCAAATGAAAAAATCAGATCAATGTGAAATTTATTTTGATATTTTTGGAGAATTTCTCACTACAAAACAGAATGAAGTACATACCCGTAGAGAGTAGTGTCAAGTTATTTTTCTGATATGACTTAAGAAATATTGATAATATTTTTTACCAAATCACACACAAAAATAAAGTTGAATGTACACTAATTCAGCCAGTGTGACGCTAGAATATGGAAAGGGACGGAGATATTTCAATTTTTTTGAGCAAACTGTATGTTGTCTGTTGGTTTAATTTTGAAATCCAGACCCATTAAAATCTGCTTCTGTATGACTGATATGATGTCTCGTAGTTATAGCTTTAAACTAATTTCAGCAAAAGCTGGAAAATTCAGACAAACCGATAATTCACCAATTTATTTCTATGAATACTCGACAACCAGCTGTTTCTTCATTTAAGTTTTGACTCTGATGCAGCTTGTAAATCAGAATGAAAATGATAAAATGATGTCAAGAGCAATTGACAAACATGCGTTACATACGAAGAATTTTACACTAGTTTCCATGAATATGAGATGTATGAAAACAATTTTCATTTTACTTAGAATCTGATGATGTAAAATGAAAAATTTGTGACAAGTTTCATAGATCTCATATGAAATGGAATTGAATATAAACTTCTGTTTATCACAAATATACATACTTTCAGGAAAACAATATTTTTATTAAAACGATACAATATCTTAGTAGGGCCATAAAGATATGATGTCACAATGGAAATAATGGGAATCTTCAACCAATTACAGCTCTGCTAGGGCCTATTACATGTGTGTCATACCAAAAATTTATATAATGGTTGTTATTACATTGAAAAAAAAGATGGGAGGGGGGAGGTAGCTATGTGATATTATACTTTACCTTCTTAACTTGATGAAATATTGAAAATGTATATGGAAAAAAAAATTCTTCTCCTAATATGCATATTTATCTAATGTTTCATGGGGCATTCAAAGTTCAAAGAAAACAATGAACACCAAGACTCTGAATAAAGGTCAAGGTATGTTAAAAATATTCATCAAAATATATAACACAATGCAAAACAAGTTGATCAGGTAAAAAAACCTCAACTCCACTTCTTTGTTCAAAATTTTCAACACACCTTTAATGTTGGTCACGAATAAGGTTATTAAAAGAATTTGCACATTCTTTATGTTGAAGAATATAACTCTAAAGAAACATAATTTATTGATAGAGAAAACCATTTCAGCCCACACAGGTTAGATAAGCAACAGAGTGAGTTTTTAACACCAGGACTTATGGTTCTTCAAGATAAAGTTCTTTGAAGAAAATGTTAAATGGATGTAAGATAATGTTTCATAGTACAGTATTGATTTCTAATACCTAATATATTCTTATATATATAATATGTATATTCTAACATATTTTGATAAAATAATTAAAAAGAAAAACACACGAAAAATATTCAAAATTGATTTTTTTTATGTTGCTCAAGAAATATACTGCGTAGCCATTGATGTTTACAGATCATCAAACTAAAACGGAGAAAACTGCAAATTCTTAATGACTGCCCAAAATAAAAGTTTTACATTTTAAAACCTGGCTATAGTGTAAAAAGTGTGTGTTTACATTATGGACACACCTTTTGTCTACAATATATTTTTAATAGTAAAGATTTCACCACATGTAATACATTGAAGTCAGTATAATATCCTTCAATAATGGGGTTGAACAAATAAGCATTTCAAAAATTAATGCTGATGAGCTGGACAATGTCCAGTCCAGTCATTTTCGTTATTCAAAGTGATGACAATGAATCCCCAATATTATCATCATATTTTTAGACTGGAAAGATATGTTTGTTGTATATGTATTAGGAAAAGAGGTGATAAAAATGTCATATCCAAAATTTTAGGGGATGGTTAGGCAAACACAACAGATATAACTAGGAAGGTCTGTCACTCGGGAAATGATAATTTTCAATTCATTCACTACCTATAGAATACATATACCTAGGAGGTGGCATGAGAGTTATCACCAATATGATTAAATAATGTATACCACTATCTGTTCAAGTCATTGTACAAAAATTTGACATTATGCATTATAAATACAACAGGATCTAAATTACAGTAATTATCAATCAAACTTGGCCTTAAGTTTGTTTTTCAGGAAAACAGGAAGGAGAGAAAGACAAGCAAACAGTGTGAGGACAATGAGTGAAGACCAGGAGACTGCATCCCCTGAAGACGTCAGTTTTTGTAATGTTGTCCCTGCCTGGATTGCAACAAAGGATGGAGGTGCCACTCCTGGAGAAACACAACAGAGGAATTGATTGGTATACGGGAATCACATGTAAAAACTTATGACACAGGATATTGTTTTTTCAAATTAAGTAATGCATGAATTATCTCTTCTTTTCAACAATTAGGTGTCAGTTCACGTTACAATGTTGTATCTCTGACAAACAGATGGATAATGGTAAAGGACACATTAACCTCTAAGACTTATCCCAAATGTCAATTTCTCAGCAATAAAAACACCAATTTAAGGTATAATGACTTACCACCAAAGTGGCTACCTGTAATTAGTTTGTTGAGTTTACGGCCTCGTGAATAGCATTATCATTTTGAGGCAGGGTCATCACAAAGTAGCAAGTGAATACGTAACAATATACCTGAGGCCCATGACAGGCCTTTCTCAAGGACACAATCACAAAAGTAGATTGGTCCTTTTCTTGGCTTCCTGAGAAACACAAACTGCCAAAATTAGAAAGGTTGAATTATATACCTCAGATCTTCACCTAAGGTCACATAGGTCAACGCCCCACGAAATGGAATTAAAATGTATCACTTAAGTGTTTTCCTTCTGTATACATGTACATACTCTGAGATTACAAATCAAACTTACCAAAAAATGTTCCAAAGAAGAATGGTAAAAGAGGAACGTTGATCACTGGTGAAGTGATGTTGATGAACCAATTTGGCAAAAATGGTGTGATTCTCAGAAAAATGATGTAGTTCAATAAATGTTCTCTATGTCTATTCACCTGGATAAAATAACACACGAAATTCATCACAATCAAAGAAACCATTTGAAGGTACGATCCAAAAGTAAGAGACAATTTTACTGTTTGAATTAAAAAAAATAAAAATGAACAGTCAGATTTACAGAAAGGATGCAGACAGACACAGTGAACTGAGAGTCCTATCTAAAGGCACGATGGGATTTATTACCAGGAGAATTACAACAGTTCCTATCTACTGGTATTTCATGTAAACATCAGATATGTTACAACCACTCACATCCTCACTAAAACTAAATCAAAACAACACCGACTATTTGATAACTTTGATTATCTCTGAACAACCTTAACTGTATTACTTAAATACATATTGGTATTAAGTTATCATCTCAATTCATCATGCACAACACACATTGCCATCTAGCAATCCTCTGAATTTACCCACAAGTTCTTCCCCACATAGCTTGACATATAACTTACATGAGATTGCCATTCAGCTACTCTCTCAGGAAAGTATTTCTGTACAAGTCGTCGTCCAACTAAATAGGACAATAGATAGCAAAAGGAGGCACCTAAAGCTGAACACTGAAACAAAAGGATTAAATATACAATGCAAGCAAAAGTAGAACAAATTTTCTAGTTTGTGATTTGTAATTGTGCGAGAATTTGAACATTGTCCGCCTTTTAAGATATTAGAAGAGAGTGACTGCGAAAGAAATTTTATATGGTATTCTGACAAAGAAAATTTAACAGAGTTCAAACACAGCTTCGCATTTCAAAATGAGAGGCAATTCAGTTACACATATGATAATGTGAATATTGGTTCAAAGTGTTGCATCTTCACTGGCATTTACACCAGAAAGTAGTTTCAGTATAGGTTGAGTAAGGGAGAGTACTCACCAAACATACAAGGAACAGTGCTATAGAAAATGAAAACAGGAAACCTGACAATATACTGAGGAATATGGAGCCAGGTATAGCAAAGGACTGTAAACTGAGGCTGGGTTAAGGAAATCTCACATTCAAAACAGTGTTATACACTTGATTACATACAAGAATTGTTTTTCTATAAATAAATGAAATGATATAAAGACCATTTTGTTGATCACAGTTCAAAATATTTTGGAGCAGAAGCATTTTCAGTAAATTTTCTCTGTTTACACTACAAACCAGTGATGTGAAAACATACACAAACTGCATATCAAAAGTTTAGAGCATTATTTTAAATAATATTTGAAAAATTAAAAAATTAATTTCTAAACAGTTAACTTAGTTGAAATCTTACACTCCTCTTTAACAATTATACCAGTTTGTTGTATATATAAAAAAGGATACAATACATATACAATAAAATATGCTCCCAACACCTGGTAATAATGGTCCTCTTTATAACGAGACAACACTTTGCCAAGGTTCTTGGCATCATCTATATTTCTAGGAAGTTTGATAAACTGTTTTTCATCCCTGAAAATAAAAAGTGACAAGCGCATTAATGAGATTCTATAGTTCTTTGGCATTAATGAACATGTAGACATATTTTTTTTGTTTGTTTTGATAGTTTGGAAGCACCTATCTTTAACAGCTTGGAGATGTTTATACCATAAACACTGTTAATGTACTAGAATTGCAAACTGCTGAATTGTAACAAATTAAGATAAAACATGTACATTGTAATATTTTAACCTGTTGATAAATGTTGAATTATTTAATTTTCTAGCAATATTTAATCATAATGTATCATTTCGCAGCACAATCAGTCAAAATTTCCTCCATTGGGTTCCTGACATCCTCACACAAAATAAAACAGAAAGTGCTGAATATCAAGTGTTAAACAAAAATATGACAATCGATCGATACAACTTTCAAATATTCATCATAATACAATTTTCATTGAAAATAGATTGATATATATCTTATTTATCGATAACATTCATGGTATTGATTACACAGCTCTGTCTTTCACAAACTCCTGTACATGTTTTTTATCTAACATTCTAATTAAATATTTAACAAAAGGTATATTATATTTACTGTAAACTTAGTGATCATATGTTGTGAATCAATAGCAAATGCATCAGTATATTTTTTTCATTAGTAAAATAAACTTTCTCAGATAACAAATCTATCAAACATATAGAAATACAAAGATTTCAATAAACATTGGATTTTGTATTCTAAAATTCTTACTTTCTTACAAATGATTTATTTAGCATATATAAAGATGTATGTAAACAGTGTTTTTCCTGCCTATACATGTCTATTTGGGTCTAAATTCCCAATTATTTTGTACGTTGTTTAATTTCACCAAAAATTCCAAAAATCTTCAAATCAAATCTGGCATTTTTTAAGTGACAACATGAAATGTTGCTGTCTATGTTCCTTGGTCTCTATGCCAGGTGCCAATATGTGCCAAAATGGTCAGGGAAAACACTGATACAGATCGTAGATGACAACAAACCTGTGAACTTCCTTGTCTTTTACAGAGATAACACAACTCTGTGAGAGGACCATGAAAAAACTACTCACTCAGCAAGCTTTGGGAATTTGAGGTAAACAATTCCCAGAGCAAGAAGGGAGGCAATAAAGATGAATCCGAGTATGATGAATGATCTAGTACTACTGTGACTTTCTGGCTCACTCTTTTCTCGTAGCTGGGTAAATTTATTGTCACAGTCATCTATAAAAAAAAAGAAAAAAGGAAATCAACAAAAGTACATCAATTAAATAATCCACTATTTGTGAAATCTGGTATGATGGTGTCATAAACACAATGAGTCGGTACAGAATAAGCTGCTTCTTATCACCACAGCTGTCTCATTCAGCAATAAGTAAGCTTTGAATCCTAGGTTTTTTTCATTACATCCCCAGCTCTGGCATTGAAATAATACTGAGGTGATCTTTAATTTGGTATTAATTACTATCTACCAAGAAATGTACGATAATGCAAATTCATTTTGTACCACAAAATAAGCATGAATAAATAACTTAAAGGATAAGATTAAAAACATTTCTATCATTTTTGGTCACAACAAAACTTTTCATGAGGAAATATTTCTATATTTCTATATAGATTATATTCATAAAAATGCATACAGGTACACAGTTACCGAAATTAAAACAAGATAAAATAGGGACAACATTTGTATTTGTTACAACAAGGTATATGCTAAGAAGATGAGAAGAAAGCAATGAACTAAATTTAGTGACACCTAACTACAATAAGTGACAGCTATCTATGTTTTACATAAAGCTAGCAATGCTTCATGGTATATTTCCATGCCATATTACTACAGGAATTACTGATCATCCCTTAATAAAATGGTGATCAGTAAGTTTAACATACTGGTACATATTTATAAGAGGCATGAACATGTGACAATGACACGTTGCTGATAATTGTTAGGAAGAATATCAAATTTGCTAAATAAGCTACAAAACTTAAACACTAAAAGTAGATCTTGGGACTGATAATGAGGCAATGAAATATGGAAAGGTCTCCTTCAATGATGAATGTTGGTGTGGCTTTTAAGGTCTTTTATCCTCATCAACTTCTCTGCTTATTTAAAAAACAAACAAAAAAACTTAATATTGTATTTAGAAATCCATAGAACATCACAACAATAAATCATTGCTGGGTGCAATGTATTTAACCTGAGAAATATCAAAAACGTTTGAAGCTTTTCTTTGTACATTATGTTTCATTTACAAGTATAGCTGTCAATGAAGGGTAGAGAAGAATACCCTCCACTTTTCCAGGATTGCCATTTACATATTGTGCCCAGTAGTGTATGAGCTTTGAGTTCTGTTTAATCAACAATGTACAAGGACTTAAATCTATGAAGTAGGTACTATATGTTACTGCAAGAAAGAGGAACTTGTGACCCAAAAAATCAAATATAATATAAACATAAAAAACAAATTCATTTTAGAAAGAGCAAAGTCTAAACAAATTTTTTATGCAAAGGGACTTAATTCTTCCAAAATGGGTCAAAATGCAAAACTGTTTGAGGCTGCACAACAGCACAGAAAGGGATAATTCTTTAAATGACGGTTGTAATGCAATACTTTAGAAAAATAAATGAATGCATCACCAGGAGTTGTGTTTATTTTTCACATGAAAGGGGCATAAATCCCTTAAATAGACTGAATGCAAAATCACTCTAAATGGCAGAAGGTCATGTGGTACTGACACATCACATAAATTTTGAAAAAAAAAAACCACACATTTAAATTTGAGTGTAAGCATAGCCAGACAAATTTTGTCGTTGAACAGCTGGAAAATTTGATTACAGCAACCCCCTCACTTCATTTTGGAGGTATATAACAATCACTGGCCGACATTACCTGATCTCTTGGTCATCATTTTGATATATTTGAGGTATCTCTCTGAACTTGGAACTTGACAACTGCTTGATAATTAGCACCAGAAAAATGTGTGTATATATTGATGAACACAAAACTCAACCATATGTGAGCTGCACAAGGAAACAGAAAAAACAAATCTCACGGCAAAATACCACAATCTTTTTCCTGAACTGAAACTGTTACTGAATATTGACTAAATAAACAATATAGCTGTAAGGAAGCCATCTAACATGTATAGTAGCAGATTTATACTAACTGCATGTCAGATAACCTGAGGCAAAATATCAAATAACCAATGTACATCCTGGCCACAATTTCACAATACTTCCTCAAGGTACTTCCTGAACATGACTTACAAAGTTAACACTTTCCAATGAAAGACTGCTATTTAAGGGAATATTATTGACCAAGGAAACTGTTGGTCACAATAATTTTCTAAAGCTGGGATAAAGAGGGTAAAAAATAGGTTAATTTTGGCTTTTGTAATACATGCATGTAATAACAATTTTAGTAAAACTACAGTAAATAGTCAAATGAATTAACAAGCAGAGAAGAAAGATTATGGGAATTTTTCCCGATATTTTCTAATCACTATTTCAAAAAATATTTTCCAAACTTCTATTACTAGGTGTTTTATCCCTTTTAAAAGAATATTTCAAATGTCATGAAATTGAGAGCAAAAAGATTCTTTGCAGACAGTCTGTGTTTTCTTCAAGACTAAAAAAGGTTCTTTGCCAGATGTCAGACATTTTGAGGGACATATGTCTGTCAAAATACCTACCCTGGCACAGAAGCATATGAGAGAACTTTGGATACAATGCTGTTTGCATGAAACTTAAGGGATATAGATACAAATATAATGAAATTGGTTTGATAAATGTCTGAATATAACATAGCAATCAGAAGTATAGATTAATATTCTGGGTTAATATAATGTGACACCCCAATTATGTGATGATGCTATCTCAATATTCAATGTCCATCCTCATTAAAACTGTTGTGGAAATTCCTTTATGTAGCGTTGATAAAAGCACATAATAAATTTTCAATACTTGACATGTAAATGATTGTAAAATGAACTTGAATAATTTCTTTGTTGGTCTTATAGCCCTGAGGATAGCCAAGATTATAAGGCATTTTGAGACAGCATCTCCTTGCTGCTGGTGGCAACCTGATCACTGAACAATAAATGGGAGACCTATCATATACCATCCACAGCAATTCAGTTAAATGCTTTGGACACAACTATGTCAGCAAAGATGGTCTGTTGATCTAAGGACTTAGCTACCACAGTCCCTGCATCAACAGTCTTTATAAAGACTGTAATACATGTTAGTTGGGGGGAAAAGTTTGTAAAGAACATGGCACTCCACTTAACTTAAACTCCATGCAGAATACATACAAATTTCAAGACTTTTATTTCATCATTGTAACTTAACCCTATCCTCCTTCACCAAACCCCTCCCCCTTTAAAAAACTGAGTCCAAGCTAATAATATTACTAGGTAGCTATGACATTGCTGCATTTCTGTCTGACTTCATTTCCAAAATCCCTGTCTTATGTGTGCATCATTTGGGAACACTTTGCTTGGTAGTAGTCAACCACTACTTATCACTGGAAAAGCCATTTTTGCCTACACAGATATTATGAATTATGGACATGGGCTATCATACATAGGTCATACAATTAAAATTTACATTCCCACAGCATCACTCAAAGAGGAAAGGATTCCCTTTTTATAATAAATCAAACATTTTTCAGGGAAAACAATCATCTGAGCACATGCTACACTTTATATTTATGCAATCATTTGAGAACACAGCAAAATAAACATATTTTAATATGGCGTCATTTGATTGCAGTACACACAAAGTATTCAAAGAATAAGCATACAAGAGTATTTTCGTAGGCTTGCGAGTAAATGTAAAATAGTGCTCCTACATGATCGCGATCACTGTTATATCCCATTGCTCCTTTGCAACTGAGTTACAATTACTCTCAATGCCTTGAAACGTTCTGAATACGAGTGCATTAAATATAATGTATGTCAGAAAATAAACATAACCCGTGATAGAAAATGCAGTTAGTAAACAAGCAGAAGATAAGTGTATCCAATATACGCAGAGTTAGTACTTATTACTGATTGTGTTAATAAAGAGAGTTCTAAATATCAAAACATTGGCCATATACGCACACACAACATGTATGTTTTTATGCCATGTTGACACGACGACTTTCTCGCCTGTCAAACATGTTGTATGACTCACTTAATGCATACTCGGACACGAATGTCCCGGTATACCGGCGATTGTAAACCTGTGGAAGATGGGGTCTTGGTGTAGCACCGAGAGGACTTGGTGGTATTCTACCTGTGAAGGGTTTGCGTAGTTTTATCGGAGATTCTTTATCCTTGATTCCACCGGCAGCCATGTTGGATGTTTAGAAATGTCATAACGTACTTGGCGAGATTTGGTAGTTTGGTGCATTTGAATATAGCTATCGGATATTTTTTGATAAAAGACTACAATTTATTAATAAAAATATTTGTATATAGTAAACAATTATGATAAATTATTTTATTGTGAACATCCGTTTGCGAGACTGACGAGTTGCTGAGGACGCCTTCCATACTTCCGGTATATCTGCAAGTTCAAGCATTTTCTTTTGATATTATTGAATTAGGAACAGGTATGTATGAAAAGAAAGTCTGCTTAAGTTAAGTTAAGTTAAGTTAAGTTAAATTAAGTTAAGTTAAGTTTATTACCAGAACAGGATATACCTATCCTCTACTCTGGTCTCAAAAAACATACAATATATATACATGATATTTCATATAATAAATATAGTATGTACAAATCAAAATAATATGTCCAGCTTTTAGTTCCGTTGAATTACTATTAAACATTCTATATTGATATATCAGCTCTATAATTAAAAATGATATCTTGGTTTTCCCATAACTTATCAAGCTTCATCTGGATTAAGTTACTATCTATTTATCTTACTTGCATGTTTTGTGATCATTGTCATTACAACAGTAACTCTATGGCATGTTATAATTTGGCCAACCAACAAAATTTTGCAAAGGAAGACTAACTACAATTTAACAAACATAATGGTGATTAGGGCACCTGCTAATCTTACTACCAGTGAATTTGTGTTCATGTAGCTGCGATGTCGTCGCTACGATTTATAGATTGCATGTATACTATTGCCCTGTCAAATCAGTTAAATATGAGAGTCAGTAGCAGAAGGCAGATTTTCATGTTAATACTATACTAATAGTACATATATGTAACGAACTGATTACTCCAAGCAGTAACTATCCCTCGAATGCAGAACTACTTCTACTTCTACCAGATAATTACTATCTTAAACAGGTTGTAGGTTTTGTTCCTTTTAATTGGCTGTACCAAGAATGGAGAAAAACAGAATTAATAATTGAATATGGAGATGTGTCTGCTGATGAAATTTCAGGCAGAAGTTTATTCTAATCATTGATTGTGTGGGGAAAGAAAAATTCTTTTCCTATGGACATTCTGTAAGAGATAGTCTGGAAAGGATTTTGATGATAGTGTCTTGCAGATCTTGTAGTGGGAACCAAAGGTTTGGGATTGATTGCAAATTTGCCACAGCATATTTTATATAGAATGTTCATCCTTGTGTCTTTTCTGCAATCTGCATTTAAGATGATCAAACATGTTACCAACACTTAAAATGTTAAGATGTTGGTCGGTAACATAATGGGCAGTCATGTGCTGAACCATCTGTATCATGTCAGTGTCATTTTTCAGCTATGTGTCCTTGACTGAACATGCATATTCAAGTTGAAAATAAACTAAAGACTTGTAAGTTTTTTCATTGATGTTAGATTTCTGAAATCTTTAGATTTTGCCTTAGAAATCTCAAGGTTTTATTTGCTTTCGTAGTGATGTTGTTGACATGGATGACAAGTATTTGGCCTCTGACACATGTTGGAGTTTGTGTGTGTCAAGCTTGTATGGGTGGACAAGGGGGTTTCTATTTCTGGTGATGGAAATGACTTGGCGTTTGTCTGGATGGAACTCTATTTTCCACTTTCTCTCCCAATGACAGAGTCTGACTTTGTAGAGATTGTGACTGTTACCCATATAGTGATTGTGCCCAACCAATAGGAAGGAGAACCTGTCCCACCAAGGTTTGAACTAGCGACCCTTGGGTCTCTAGTTACCTGTTAATAAGACGTCAATGATTAGCTGATGTCAGCAAATTCTGGTAAATTTTGTGGCCATTGTTATCTGATTGTGCAGTATAAAAACTAGTGTAAAACATAAATGGTATGTTGCACCAGTGCCTATTTACAAAGCTTTTAAAAGTGTTCAGAGTAGGGTTTTCAACTGCAATATTTATCAGTAAATTACATGAATTCACCAATTGTCTACTAAATGTTCCCTGTGTGCTTGTGGTCCTACTCTGATTTCTGCTGTTGCCTCTGATTGTTGTAGGTGATGTTGTAAAGACCCTCTGCTTCAGCAGCTTGTCTTTATTACAGGTATTCAATAGCTTGTAAATTTCAGTGATATCATTGTATTTATATCTGTACTCTTGCGGTAAGCCTAACTTTTATCATCTAGCATTGTAGGATAGGTCTTCTTTGGAGTATACTAATTTTCTGACAATTGGAGTATACTAATTTTCTGACTATTGGAGTATACTAATTTTCTGACTATTGGAGTATACTAATTTTCTGACTATTGGAGTATACTCATTTTGTGACTATTGAAGTATATTCATTTTGTGACTATTGGAGTATATTCATTTTGTGACTATTGGAGTATACTCATTTTGTGACTATTGGAGTATACTCATTTTGTGACTATTGGAGTATACTCATTTTGTGACTATTGGAGTATACTCATTTTGTGACTATTGGAGTATATTCATTTTGTGACTATTGGAGTATACTCATTTTGTGACTATTGGAGTATACTCATTTTGTGACTATTGGAGTATATTCATTTTGTGACTATTGGAGTATATTCATTTTGTGACTATTGGAGTATACTCATTTTGTGACTATTGGAGTATACTCATTTTGTGACTATTGGAGTATATTCATTTTGTGACTATTGGAGTATATTCATTTTGTGACTATTGGAGTATACTCATTTTGTTACTATTGGAGTATATTCATTTTGTGACTATTGGAGTATATTCATTTTGTGACTATTGGAGTATACTCATTTTGTGACTATTGGAGTATATTCATTTTGTGACTATTGGAGTATACTCATTTTGTGACTATTGGAGTATACTCATTTTGTGACTATGTTGGATATTTTTCCATTGTTGTCTGATCTTTCCTAAGTGATGGAGACCACACCTAATTAAACTTTTGTGAGGTGATAAGACTACTGATGTGTCCATGAAGATGAGGGTTCTAAAATCAGACTAGCTGATGATTTGCTTTGTTGATGGACTGATTCACATGATGGCTAAATCTTATTTTGTCATCAAAAACTATGTCTAAACTTTTTTCTTTTTCATTTTTTTTCTGTCTGTCCCATACAAGGAAAATGACATTTTGAATTTTGCACCAAATTACCTATGTTTAACTGTTTATGTAAGGCAACCTGAAATCTGTTTATTACACTACTCTCTCCTTCACAAGTCTTTGACCCTCGACAAAATCACAACCCAGAATGGATATCTCCAAGTAAGCATTTCTTTCTCTTATAACTTCTACTCTTGGAGTGGTCAGTGGAACCAAATTTTATAGTTGGAAGAAGTAAGGAAAACTAGCGAACCCTGTCCCTGCCCTGGTTTGAATTAGTGATCCTTCTATTTCTAACTTGTCACTCTTCTGCTTGACTGAAGGGAAATTTGGATTATTATATTTTTTCTTATTTTTAACAACTTTTTTTTTCTTAATTTTATTTTTATACTGGCTGACTTTGGCCTTTAGTTGTGTTCACCCCTGTGAGGAAGGTTTTCTGCTCTGTTCGCTGGGTGAGAAATACCAGTCAAACACTGGTTTGCACATTTTCAGCAGGATGTGACCAGATGGGGTATCCTGCTGAAAGCCTTTTGAAGTTAATACTCGAGTATAGTTCAAAGGGTTCTGACTGTGTGTCTTCAGTTTTAATTGTCTACTGAATGTCAAAAAGACAAAAATAAAATAATCTGATTATTTAATCAGAATCCTGCTGACTAACTTTAATGTGGTAACATTATAAGCTAGCATCAATTCTACATACCACAAGCTTACACGAACATACATGCATCCAATAACTCACACATGCACTCATCTGGCATACACTGTGTATAAGGAGACTGTCCTGAAATGACTATAAGTGTGGATGGATAAAAACTAAAACAGCAAATTTTGATCATAACTGTTAAACAAGATCCTAAACCTTTATCACGATGCACGAGTCATCATGAAATACAGTAGTAATGGACCTGATACTTTACTGAACTCAATCTAAGATTTAAAATCAGAAACTACTATCTACCTTATGTCATATCCATGTAGCAGGCTGTGTCAAGCAATATATTGTTACAAGGACTGTGGGAAGTGTCAAGCGATATATCATTACAAGGGATGTGGGAAGTGTCAACATTATATCATTACAAGGGATGTGGGAAGTGTCAACAATATATCATAACAAAGGATGTGGGAAGTTCAAACGATATATCATTACAAGGGATGTGGGAAGTGTCAACAATATATCATAACAAAGGATGTGGGAAGTTCAAATGATATATCATTACAAGGGAAGTGGGAAGTTCAAACAATATATCATTACAAAGGATGTGGGAAGTTTCAAGCAATATATTAATACAAGAGGTGTGGGAAATATCAAGCAATGTTTCATTATAAGGGAGATATGTGGGTGGTTTCGACATGTGTGTCATTACAAAGCATACCTGAGGGAAGTGTTGAGCAAATTGTCATTACAAGAGAGGCATATTGGTAGTTGCAAGAAATGTGTCATTACAATGGAGACAATTTTGGAAGAGTCAGGCAATATTTTATTACAAGTGAGACCTGTAGAATTTTTTCACAAAGTTTAACATGTAGATTGATTGAATTTCTACTACCTAGTGGATATTTTAAAAAGAAAGCAACATATATAGAGATTAGTAAAGTTAATTAAATTTAAGTCAATTAAGACAAACTATCAGAAAACTAAATATTTACAAAGACAAAACTATTACTCTGAACGGACTCAGAACTTCACTTGATTCAGAATACTACAATATTATTTACATAGTAATTTATCACTCTTTTCCTTTTTTCTTTTATTCAGATGTAACGATGACATTTTCACAGTTTTGACGAACAAAAGACAAGAAAATGGCCCGATTAAAGTATGCATGTGACATGGACAAGTCTGTCCTGTTAAATAACTTTGAGGCCAGAGGTTGGATACCTGTTAGTCAAGACGATGACTGGAACTTTTACTGGTGAGTAGGAAAGTTCTGTCAATCACATTATCAATTTCAATTTTGTAGGAAAAGTACTCATAGCAAACAGCAAACCATAGATACAGACCATATGGTTTCTGCCAAAAGGCATAATGGAGGCATTTAAGACATAAATAATGAAAATAGGCAAACATTATGAAATATTCTTTAAAACACTACAATTTCATTAAAATCAAATACACTTTGTCATAGGTACGTTCCCTTCTCCTGTATGAAGGAAGGAAAAAAATATGTATTTATCAAATCTATAATGTTTTCATAGAAAATCTGTATCATGTTTCAGTTAAAGAATAAGAAACTATCTGTGTCCTATTATTAGTACACATTTAAAAAAAGGTCAAGGTGAAATAAAATCCTGCAGGATATTTGTGTTAGGGAATCATTTTTTAGTTAATAATAATTTTTCATAAAACATGTGTTTTTATTGGTTATCAGTTGAAGAGATGTAATTTTTATATTTCAGGGCCAATGTCCAGAGTGTTAGAAACATTTTCAGTATAGATTCTGGATACAGACTCACAGATGACCAGTAAGTTAAATTACAACCTATCATCTCCCTCTTCTCCATTTTCTTCAGTGATAGTTCAGTCGATAGACTGTTGACTACATGACTTCAGGTGAAGATCTGAGGTGTGTGGTTTGACACTCCCTACCTGTGGTAATTTGTATTTTTCATGAAGCTGAAAAAAGTGACTGGCTTGTGCTGGTTGTGTTCTAGCTCAAAACTTTTTTCCCTAATTACATTTGATAATAATTGGTGGGCCTCTGGTATGTTGTTGAATGAGGTAGCCACCAATTACTTCAAGGAGTTCCCACCGCAAAATGACCCTGGATTTTCACATGGTGATAGACCCAGTAAACAAACCCAGTGATGCACGGCTAATGCTAATTAATATAGAAAGTACAAAATGCTTATACATGTATGTATCAGCATACTACACATATCTATTCTACAATAAAACCATGTCTCGCAGTTAACTCACCCACCAATGCTAGTTGTTGAGTAATAAGCCCACCACAAATTTAACATGGTGGCCCCCTAAACTTATTTCCACATCAATGAGTTAAATTGTTTGAAGTCATACCTGCATGCCTTGCTGTTTTTAAAGGATACTTTTCAGTCTTCATATTCAGGTGTTGCTTTTGTCCCCAAGTAAAACTTTCAAAATCTGTGGGATGCTATGTGCACGTTTCACTTAAATATCTTTGTTATCTGGAACCTGTTGCACTTGGTACTAACTAGTTGTTAGACACAGTAAATACACGTGGATCTCATGGCAGAGAACGTTGCCTGATCAACATTGTAATTATATACTGTTAGGTAATCAGATAAGCTGCATATTAGTGTACTTTATGAACTCTGATACTCTGTTACACTGGTATTCAGCATTGTATCAAGTCAGTAGATGATTTGTAAAATAAACAAATAATCTTAAAGAGAAAAAAAATGCATTTTCACCTACGATTCATCAAAATAATTTCTGGCATTGTAGAAAATTAATAAATGTTAATCATGTGAAAGAGTTGATGAAAATTTCTAAAATGCCTCTTTACTGAATAAATTTGTTTCAAGATACACTATACTGAAGTATTGAAAGAGAAAATCTTCACTAAGACTGTTAAAACATGTTTCAATGAAAATCTGATGGCAGGAATTGCAATGCTTTTAAATCTCAGTATGTAAAAAGAAATGTTTTTTAGCTTTTCAAGCTGACAAATATTTTGACCCTTTGTTGACTGTTAATAATGATCAACATCCTGTATAACAAAGTAGACAAAATAACCATAGAGATATTGATTTTGTACTGTAGTGTACATGTATATATTTAATCAACAACATTAATAGTATCTGTTTGATCAAATACAGCTGTGACCATCAATAAACACCCAACAGTAATGTGAGCTACACATCAAGTGTTTCTGTGTCGTCAACTTTAAATTATTCATTATTATAGATCTGACTGAGGAAAATCTGTAGACCTATAAATATCAAATTTACTTGTATACACAGTGTAGACCTTCTTTATACTGCAATATACAAATAAAACAAAAAACATTGAGAAAATACTAACATGGATTCTTAATCATAATTCAAACTCAAATTCCATAAAACTAGGGCAAAATATGAACAAAAGAAAGAGCTACATGGAGACTCCTAAAAATGTTCAAGGAAATTAAGGCCAAGTGTTCCAGAAGTGTAAGTGTTTTCTGCTTCATCAACAACACCCACCATCTAAACCTTGGTCAATCCAAGTAAGTAATGTCACATTCTCAAATGAGAACAAGTTAAACAACAACAGAACCAACAGACAAACTAAGGAGCATCAAACATGTCCAGCTTCATGTTGAACAAAGATATAGAGTATTTCTCAATGAGATCACTATGGCAACCATAAAACTTCCCCATAATTTTCATCAACAAACTCTTAATACAATGTACAGCTGATACAATGTACAATGTAAAGAAACACTGGTGACATGTACAACTGTTACAATGTACAATGTAAACAAACACTGGTGACATGTACAACTGTTACAATGTACACTGTAAACAAACACTGGTGACATGTACAACTGTTACAATGTACACTGTAAACAAACACTGGTGACATGTACAACTGTTACAATGTACAATGTAAACAAACACTGGTGACATGTACAACTGTTACAATGTACACTGTAAACAAACACTGGTGACATGTACAACTGTTACAATGTACACTGTAAACAAACACTTAATACAATGTACAACTGTTACAATGTACAATGTAAACAAACACTGGTGACATGTACAACTGTTACAATGTACAATGTAAACAAACACTTAATACAATGTACAACTGTTACAATGTACAATGTAAACAAACACTTAATACAATGTACAACTGTTACAATGTACAATGTAAACAAACACAAAATACAATGTACAACTGTTACAATGTACATTGTAAACAAACACTTAATGCAATGTACAACTGTTTCAATGTACAATGTAAACAAACACTGGTGACATGTACAACTGTTACAATGTACAATGTAAACAAACACTGGTGACATGTACAACTGTTACAATGTACAATGTAAACAAACACTGGTGACAATGTACAACTGATACAATGTACATTGTAAACAAACACTGGTGACAATGTACAACTGATACAATGTACATTGTAAACAAACACTGGTGACATGTACAACTGATACAATGTACATTGTAAACAAACACTGGTGACATGTACAACTGTTACAATGTACAATGTAAACAAACACTGGTGACATGTACAACTGTTACAATGTACAATGTAAAGAAACACTGGTGACAATGTACAACTGTTACAATGTACAATGTAAACAAACACTGGTGACAATGTACAACTGATACAATGTACATTGTAAACAAACACTAATAAATGTACAACTGTTACAATGTACAATGTAAACAAACACTGGTGACATGTACAACTGTACAACTGATACAATGTACAACTGATACAATGTACATTGTAATCAAACACTGGTGACAATATACAACTGATACAATGTGCATTGTAAACAAACACTAATAAATGTACAACTGTTACAATGTACAATGTAAACAAACACTGGTGACAATGTACAACTGATACAATGTACATTGTAAACAAACACTGGTGACAATGTACAACTGTTACAATGTGCTAATGAAACAAATGTAAAATAAATATTATAATATTCAATTTTATAAACACAGTTATTATAATTGCTGTCCAGTTTAAATATTTGATTTGCTTATTTTGTTACATAAAATAATAAATGATATAAGGCATTATGTAGTCAGTAATCCTTCTGTTAACTTTTCTGAGATCTTGTCCACACACAAGCTTTGCATTGAAGCTTATTATGATGTCTTTATGCTGTAGAACTGTCTATTCCTAAACATTAATTTAAAATGTATGTGTTTTTTGTGTCAATAAGCCCATGTCTGTCAAGTCAGTAAATACACTGTATCTTGAAATTCAGAGGAATTGACAAAACTTGTAATTTTGATTTCCTGTACTAAGCTCAATATTCAATAATATACTTTTGTGGAGCTCAGTTTTTGTGCTTTTTCAAAACGTTCCTATTTCATGGACATTAGATTTTATGGATAAATATAGCTTTATCAGAGCATTTATACTATTTATGACCTGGACGTATGAATAAGTTCCCACGGAATCAGCGAAAGTAAATCACCTACAAAAATTGATGATCTTAGTGTCTGAGACACTTGTAATCATGTTGCTGTATTAAGGGATTTGACTATCATTCAAACCATGATATAGGGATGTGGATAGCATTTGTTGTATTGTACTGTTATATTTTGTAGAATCATTAACCATTTCCCAAACCATGTGGAGTTAACAAGGAAAGATCTAATGGTGAAAAACATTAAGAGATATCGTAAAGATCTCGACAAGGAAGGGAACCCTCTCGCAGAGAAGGATGAATTTGGACGCTACATACACTTAGGTATGGAACAATGCTAATCTTCTTCAGTTTGTATTGTTTACACATCCTTCATGACTCTGAGATCAGAAGATCTATCCAAGACTATTTCTGAAAGGCTTTGTAGGTGTTTTCAGTTAGAGATGGTTTATGGTAGATTACAAGGAATGGTAAAACTGTTTGATAGGAACTTATCAGTACTCAACTGGCTTCATTCAGGGATTTTGACTTAACCACTCAAACTTACAAATGACCATAACACATTGGTGATGAAACTATATTGTTAGATATTCTTGTTAATTGTATCGCTCCATTAGGATCAGTTACACACTAATTTTTTTTCCATTTACCACCAAACAGCACCATCTTTATATATTCAGTAATAATATTAAGTATGCTTGTTTTAAGTACATTTATGTTAATGTAATTGTCTTTTGGAATGTATGTTTTCTGAATATTTACCATTTGATATTTATTTTCAGACTTTATTCCCCAGACATTCATGTTACCTGCAGATTATAACTTGTTTGTGGAGGAATTTCGGAAAAATCCCAACACAACATGGATTATGAAGCCTTGTGGGAAGGGTAAATTCATTTAAATATATATATGTATGTATATGTATATATCCATTTGTGCATATTTGTTAATAGTCCACGACAAGGAACTGGTCTGTCTGTGCATTCTTCAATCTTTCTGCTATCTTTTCCAGGCTCTATCTTCTGCTACACTACTTTCCATTAGAACTTAATACTTGGGATATGGGTTTAGCATGGTGATGTGGTTTGTGGGAAGATTGTATTCTACGCTGACCTCTTGTCACACACATTAGTGTGCCCAAGTGATCAAATAACTCTTGAATCTTGAGTGAATCAAAAGTAGGTTACTCTGACCTACATTTTGATCTGGGTATATGTTCACCTAATGAGGTGGTGTGTCATTTATCAAAAGTGAGACATTCTGACCTACATTTTGACCTGGGTATATGTTCACCTAATGAGGTGGTGTGTCATTTATCAAAAGTGATACATTCTGACCTACATTTTGACCTTTGGCCAAAATCAAAGAAAAAGGTTGTCCAATAAGCCCACTACCCCAAAAAGGCAACAAATAACCTCTGAATCAAAGTAAGGATGTGGGATTATTGATATATCATTTCATAGCATTTCTACATCAATCACAGTGAATGTGGATGGGCTTATCACCAGACAAAGAATAACTTACATACAGTATTTTACTTTACCACCTAGCACTGGATCAGGTGTAAATGTAGAATTAGTACCTAGGGCTTATCAAATTGCAATGTTAATTTCAAATATATTCAATACTGTAATATTAATTTTGAATATGCATATATTGAAAAAACAAGATCAGTTCTTATATAAATATTACACTTTCATATTTTTATATTTCAACAAACCTGATAACATGTAGTTCATGGTACCTGGCAATAATTCAGAATATCTGCTAAATGATTTAGGATACCCATTAAGTAATTTAGTATACCTGGAAAATAATTAAGGATATCTATTATGTAATTCAGGGTACCTGCTAAATAATTAAGGATACCCATTAAGTAATTCAGGATATCTGCTAAATAATTTAGGATACCCATTAAGTAATTCAGTATACCTGGAAAATAATTAAAGATACCTATTATGTAATTCAGGGTACCTGCTAAATAATTTAGGATACCCATTAAGTAATTCAGGATATCTGCTAAATAATTTAGGATACCCATTAAGTAATTCAGGATATCTGCTAAATGATTTAGGATACCCATTAAGTAATTCAGGATATCTGCTAAATAATTTAGGATACCCATTAAGTAATTCAGGATATCTGCTAAATCATTTAGGATACCCATTAAGTAATTCAGGATATCTGCTAAATAATTTAGGATACCCATTAAGTAATTCAGGATATCTGCTAAATAATTTAGGATACCCATTAAGTAATTCAGGATATCTGCTAAATAATTTAGGATATCCATTAAGTAATTCAGGGTACCTGCTAAATAATTTAGGATACCCATTAACTAATTCAGGATATCTGCTAAATAATTTAGGATACCCATTAAGTAATTCAGGATATCTGCTAAATAATTTAGGATATCCATTAAGTAATTCAGGGTACCTGCAAAATAATGCATGTTACCTGCTTTGTCACATTAACTTGTCCATGGTATCTTAGTATGATAATTTTTTAATCTTATATTTCAATTTTTCATAGCTCGTGGAATTGGGATTTTTCTGGTGAATAAATTATCTCAGCTGAAGAAATGGTCGAGGGATAGCAAAACAAGCAAGTATGTACTGGGGTATTTGTGTAAAATCAATGTAAAGTATTAAGTAATGTATTCTACTGTGGATGTGTGATGTACTTTTCTAACAAAGATAACAGATATTGATCTGGTTCATGGTTTACAATGTTAATAAGGTACTTAACCTGTCTGATCATACTGTGTAAATCTGATTTTGTTAATAGGATTGTCAATTTTTTCTTGCTTTATTTAAAAACATAGCTTGAGACAGATTTCAATAGACATAATGCTAGATAAAATTGTTTGAAATGTAGTTACATGTAAAAGTTGAAAAGTTGTAATTGAGAAGAAGAGTTAAGTGAACTTTAGTTGATTAATTTCTCCTTAGGAGATTTAACATTTTAATCTAGGTCAGAGCTATGAACATAGTAGGTATGGCATTGTATGAGATTTTTCCAATAAGTATGATCTGTTAACTACAGTTCTCTGAATTCATAAAATGCAGACATTGTTAAATTCGACATGTCATATTTGCACTATCAATATATATTTTTCAGGCAGTACATGTTTATGTGTGTCCCTGGTTTGATTGATATTCCTTGTTTATGAATTCTGAACGTTTTCTCTAGTTTCACACCACCGACCTCTAAAGACACCTACGTAATATCTAAATACATTGACAACCCTCTTCTGATTGGAGGAAAGAAATTTGACCTGCGTCTTTATGTGTTGGTGACATCTTTCCGCCCACTAAAATGTTACATGTAAGTCGGAAATTATTGATTTTATTGCTGCTGTGTTTTGAACACGAATGTTATTTGTCCACTAAAAAATACAGTAATGGTAATTACTATCATGTTCTTCTTGGGTCTGAATAGATTTAATTATGTTCGAATAATAAAAATGCAATCATACCAATCTGTGATGGTTTTGAACTTTTCTTCAGGGCATACATATTTTACGATGTTCTATGGATTTTATCTATTTGTCTCTCACTTTGTTGTTGACAGGTTCAGGCTGGGCTTCGCTCGGTTTTGTACTGTGAAATACAACGCCAGTATTAACGAACTTGACAACATGTTTGTTCATCTGACCAATGTTTCCATACAAAAACAGGGGGTAAGTCAAGCAGGATTTTTTTTTTCTTTTTACTTTGAATCATATGTATATTAATACAGTATGCATGGGTAATAATTAAATACCTGGTATTTTCTCAACAGGATGAGTACAATGCAGTACATGGTGGGAAATGGACGATACAGAATCTCCGTCTTTTTCTGGAGAGTACTCGTGGCAAAGATGTGAGTTCATTATATATGCTCTAAAAACACAATATGGTATAAGGATAATACATAAAAAGTCTGTTGTACAATTTGTTCTTAGAATGAAATTTAGAAATTTTCTTGATGGTTTATCACATTTTTTCTTTGCCAGAATTTTTTTTCAAACAACAAGAAACTTAAAGAATAGGATATCAGATGTACTGTTTAAAAGAAAATTTTAATGGAATTCATTTTATCCTTTACTTACATTAATAGGTTACAGACAAGCTGTTTGATGAAATCAACTGGCAGACAGTGCACTCTTTAAAGGCCGTATCGGTGAGTTTTCGTTTCAAACTATGTCGTCAGTAAGTCAATTTATGATACAATTTGCAAAATAAAAGCTTGTTTGACCTGTAGGGTTAGATAGTAAGGCAGCATATGTCTGTCACTAATGTAAGCTTTAAATGACTTATTCTTTAGAACCATGAAGCAAAGATATGATTTGCAGGTCAAATGCATAGAATACCTAATACATCAAACAATGTTACAGAATCAGAGTTATGCATGACCAGTAACTAAATACCATTGGTGGAAAGTTATCAAGAGTTGCTCAAATAAATTACCAAAATACACTTTCAAGATCTAAGCTGTTAAAAGTACTAAATCTTCAAACATCTTCTTTCTGTGTAGAAGTTTCTAACCAAAGCTCCTGTAGAGCACATAAGTTTAACAGGTAAAACTCTCTAGAATGATGTTAAAATGTTATGCAGTTTTATTGCACATGAGCTTTATGTTAGCTGAGGGTAGAAATAAATTTCCTTACCTGATTTCCTCATGTGTTGTTAGATTTCTCATGAGAGGAAAAAACTCACATTTAGACATTATTTTCCTTATGACTATGTATATACATTATAAAGTACATGCAGTAAATTTCAAAAGTTCACATGAAAAAATCACACTTATTCTTAACAATGTGAATACTGTAAAATCATCTATTTTTGTGGGGCTCTATTTTTGTGGTTTTCCAAAAAGTACATGGACATGAATTAGGAGTACCTATGTAATCACTTGATATAAACACCCCACAAAAATTCATGATTTGTCAGTAATCTGGACTTCTACAAATAATGATATGACAAATACATAGCCCATGCATTTTGTATCAATACATTATTACCGACTCCAATCGTTTGTTTTATTTCAGAATGTGATATCCAATGATCGCCACTGTTTTGAATGTTATGGGTATGTTGACTATTCATTCTGGAGCTCACTGACAAATATTGTCAATCATAGAATATAGGCTGACAAGAAAGATACATGTATTGAACAATAAATAAACAAATAAGTTATTGTGTTTATGACAGATGATGTGTATAGAAAATATAATTGATACATTTAATACAGTGTTCATTCAGAATTAATAACATAGCTTTGTATAAAACTCTACATATATATATATATATATTGTATATGCTGATAGATATATTGCCATTCTATTTTTACTTGTAGATATGACTACATTGTTGATGACAATCTCAAGCCCTGGCTTATTGAGGTAAGATATATATACTGCATTGTTTTACAGATTATATACACATTTCCTTGAGATTGCAGTCTGTCTCCAGTGTAGTTACCTTTAGGGAGTTAGTGCTCCCCCTGGTTTCTTGTGAAAAAGTTGCAATCTGTTAGTATACATAACAAAATGCTTAATGATTGTTAAGTCTAAACAGGATCAGAACCTTGACTGGGTATTTTTACTAGTCATGTTATTTTATACAATTGTGGGATGTTCATGATGTAGATTTAAGATTTTATTTACACTCACCAAGGGCACCAATCTTGACCTATGTTCTAGATCATTGTTGTTGGTCTTTGTTGCGACAATAAAATTATTATGACAAAATAAAACTGCAACAATTGTTGTATTGGTTGTTTTTAGACAAAATATTTTTTTTATTCAATGTCAACAAACACTTTAACATAAAGGAATTTGTGTATACTAACATCAGGTTTATCTTATTCCTGTTGATTTCTAGGTCAATGCTTCACCCTCCTTGACCAGTACAACATCCAGTGACAGAATCATGAAGTACAAACTGATGAATGACCTCATAAACATTGTCATACAACCAGGACAGATGCCAGAGTAAGTGATTCTCTGTAAAATCCAGAAAACAAATCAAGGATTGTTTTCAATATCAATTATACCTATAGTTTACAGAGGAATATCAAACATTTTAAAGAATCATTATTGAAACATGAAATTGTTGCATAGCAACATTTCAATCTACAAAATATCATTCAAAATTAATTTTCAAAAATTGTTTTATACAGCTTTGAGATCGCTTTCTTTTGGTCCATGATATTTTTTTTTTACCAAAAGCAGGATGATTATGTTTTCTATGGTAATCCAAAGCTAGATAATCTTGATGGTTTCCATGATAAGCAAAAGCTGGACGATAATGATGTTTTCTACGGTAACCAAAAGCTGGACGATAATGATGTTTTCTACGGTAACCAAAAGCTGGACGATAATGATGTTTTCTACGGTAACCAAAAGCTGGACGATAATGATGTTTTCTACGGTAACCAAAAGCTGGACGATAATGATGTTTTCTACGGTAACCAAAAGCTGGACGATAATGATGTTTTCTACGGTAACCAAAAGCTGGACGATAATGATTTTTTTTAACCAAAAGCTGGACGATAATGATAAACCAAAAGCTGGACGGTATAATGATGTTTTCTACGGTAACCAAAAGCTGGACGATAATGATGTTTTCTACGGTAACCAAAAGCTGGACGATAATGATGTTTTCTACGGTAACCAAAAGCTGGACGATAATGATGTTTTCTACGGTAACCAAAAGCTGGACGATAATGATGTTTTCTACGGTAACCAAAAGCTGGACGATAATGATGTTTTCTACGGTAACCAAAAGCTGGACGATAATGATGTTTTCTACGGTAACCAAAAGCTGGACGATAATGATGTTTTCTACGGTAACCAAAAGCTGGACGATAATGATGTTTTCTACGGTAACCAAAAGCTGGACGATAATGATGTTTTCTACGGTAACCAAAAGCTGGACGATAATGATAACCAAAAGTTTTTCTACGGTAACCAAAAGCTGGACGATAATGATTTTTTCTACGGTAACCAAAAGCTGGACGATAATGATGTTTTCTACGGTAACCAAAAGCTGGACGATAATGATGTTTTCTACGGTAACCAAAAGCTGGACGATAATGATTTTTTCTACGGTAACCAAAAGCTGGACGATAATGATGTTTTCTACGGTAACCAAAAGCTGGACGATAATGATGTTTTCTACGGTAACCAAAAGCTGGACGATAATGATGTTTTCTATGGTAACCAAAAGCTGGACGATAATGATGTTTTCTACGGTAACCAAAAGCTGGATAGTCATAATGGTTAAAGTTGGATAATGCTATATGATGGTTTCTGTGGTAATCTAAAGCTTTATAATTATGTTGGTTTTAATGGTATCTGAATCTGGATAATCATGAATGTTTCCATGGTATTCAAAAGCTGGTAATCATGGTTTCCAGGATAACCAAACAATTGATAATGAAGGTTGTTTCTATGGTTACCAAAAGTTGGATGATAAAGATGTTTTTGATGGTAGCCAAACATTGATTTATCATTATGGTTTCTATGGTATTCAAAAGCTTGATAACCATGATTGTTTTCTTGATGACCAATACCTTGATAATAATGTTTCATTGGTAATCTGTATATCATGATTGGTCCCCAATTTTTTTAACTTAACATAACAACAGACCAGTTCATCATAGTTCTGGTTTGTATCAGAATTTTCAGTTGGTAGATTTGTTAGCATTACACAATAAGAACATGCTTACATAGTTTGTGTTTTTATATCATTTCAGTGTACGGTGGAACAGAATACCATCTAAAGATTCATTAGGAAATTTTGATGTTTTGTAAGTACACGATATGTGATAAAATTGTCAGAAGTTGACATTATAGATAATATAACCTGTAAGTGTATTTAATCATTAATAAGTGTGTAATGACATAACAAAACCTCAAGCTGTCATAAACAAATGCTCACTGTAACTGTTTATTAATTAATATTTCATTAAAGTAAAAATTCATATAATGCTGGTATTCCAGGTTTGATGAGGAACTTGCTCAACAAGATGCAATGTCTCAAGATTCCAAGAAGATGGGACCTGGTGGACTTTTAAGGGGATTCAAGGATGCACGCGGGCGTCCTTCTCCAGCAACATGGAAATAAACCAGAGATCTTATCAATAGGGAAACATGGGATTCAAGGATGCACGCAGGTGTCCTTCTCCAGCAACATGGAAATAAACCAGAGATTTTATCAATAGGGAAACATGGGATTCAAGGATGCACGCGGGCGTCCTTCTCCAGCAACATGGAAATAAACCAGAGATCTTATCAATAGGGAAACATATATAATGATACATTTATGTATTGGATTATGTTTACAATCAAATCTTCTATAAATATATTCCTTTGAAACCAACTGAATGTCCTCTGTTAAGAGGCCACCATTGCTATTTACTATATAGTATATGAAAACCTTGTGATGAGACTATATTTGACATAAACCACAACAGAACATGGGATTTTTGGGACATGATTTTCAGGATCTTGTTGGAATTTATTGTAGCAGTTAAGATAGTGTGTTTATTGTACATGTATGTCCATAATGGACTTAAATCCTTATACTGACTAAATAATAAGGTAATATTTTTTGACCGGTACTTAAGATTCAGTCTTTGTTATGTTTTCAATCGAACAATTTTGTCCATCACAACGGTTATATCAAGGTACAGGCGTTGATTGTGTCATTATGAAGCCCAGATGTCAAATTCTGGAACAATTGTAAGAACACAAGCTCGATTTCTATCATGATAATTTAATTTTGCTGGGTTTGTTCATGGGACTGATTTTACATGTAAAGACACAGCATCATGTTATTCAATTCTTAATGTGTTTGATATGAGTGTTGTTGAATGAGTGAGAATTTTAAAAAAGTTTCTGTTGTGCATAAGAATATTTACTGACATCTGCATCAAATCATGGTAAAAACATTGTTATAACTGACAATCCTCATTTACTGATGGTTGTATAGTGAATTCTACTGACGTTTCTTTGTCAGGTAGGAGTTGACATTGTATTTGTTAATACTGCAGGGTTCTTCCAGTAAAACATCTATTCGATCCTAGGAGGGTACCACTCACTGAATTTAGATAAATGATTAGACAGGGTACTGAACCATGTATAAGAGTGGTTTATTTTGGGAGTCCTGGGGTCAGATAGATGTTTTACTGGAATAACCCTGTCTGAGACTCAGATTCAGCTTATGGAAGATCTGATGGATGTTATGATACAGAACGAAAGTATAGTTTATATCAAATGAATGAAAAACTGTGATAAATAAAAAGAATTTAACCAAGATACTAAAATCTGTTTGTTTTAGTTACTGAGTAAATCAATTTCCTGGAGAACTGCCTAATATTTTGTATACATCAAAGTTTCATTTAAATATGATTAAACATCAATAGAAAACGACACATTACAGAGGGATTTTGGCACCCATCATTGTTTGATCTTTATTTGTTCTTTAAAAGTTGGATATTTTCCCTTTTCTCCTGTTTTTGCTCTTGATAATATGAAGTTTGATCATTCCTTTGCAAAAATAAATGATAATAATCTTTTAACTGCCAAATTCAAGATGGCCTCTAGTTAGCCATTTTGTTTATTTGATCAGTAATTAAATAAACTAGGGCCCAAGGGAAACTTACATATGAAATTTGAGAGATCCACCCAATACTTCACAAGAAGTAGCAGTAACAAACAAGAGGCCCATGGGCCTTAACGGTCATCTGACAAAAAGCAAGCCAAACTCTAACAACAGTGAGTCTGTCGTTAAAACAGTGGGCTTTATTCATTTGAATAAACTTGGTAGCCCTTCATCCCAGCATCCTACAGACCCAATATCAGCACTCTTAGACTTTTGCTTATTGAGAAGAAGTCGTTTGTATATTTTAACATATTTGACCCCTGTGACCTTGAAAGTGGGTCAAGGTCATTCATTTGAACAAACTTATTAGCCCTTCATCCCAGCATGCTACAGACCCAATATAAGCACTCATGGACTTTTGCTTATTGAGAAGAAGTCGTTTGTATATTTTAATATATTTGACCCCTGTGACCTTGAAAGTGGGTCGAGATCATTCATTTGAACAAACTTGGTAGCCCTTCATCCCAGCATGCTACAGACCCAATATAAGCACTCATGGACTTTTGCTTATTGAGAAGAAACTTGTATATTTTAATATATTTGTAAAGTGGGTCCCTTCAAACTTGGTAGCCTTCCTCAGCATGCTACAGACCCAATATCAGCACTCATGGACTTTTGCTTATTGAGAAGAAGTCGTTTGTATATTTTAATATATTTCCCAGCACTACAGACCTGCCAGCATTCTGACCTTTTGAAAGAAGTTGTTTAAAAATTTCAACATATTTGGTAACCTTGAAAGTGGGTCATTCATTTGAACAAACTTGGTAGCCTTTCCTCCAAGCATCGTACAGGCCCAATATCAGCACTCTTGGACTTTTGCTTATTGAGAAGAAGTTGTTTGTATATTTTAACATATTTGACCCCTGTGACCTTGAAAGTGGGTCAAGGTCATTCATTTGAACAAACTTGGTAGCCCTTCATCCCAGCATGCTACAGACCCAATATAAGCACTCATGGACTTTTGCTTATTGAGAAGAAGTCGTTTGTATATTTTAACATATTTGACCCCTGTGACCTTGAAAGTGGGTCAAGGTAATTAATTTGAACAAACTTTCTAGGGCTCCATGCCAGCATGCTATGGGCCAAGTATTAGCCCCCTAGGCCTTCTAGTATTTGAGAAGAAGTTTTTTTAATGAAAAGTTTACGGACGACACACAGCGGACGAAGCACGATGGCTATTGGTCATCTCAACCCTTCAGATGACCTAAAATTTTAAATGCAAAATTCCAAGCTGGCTGTCTGATGGTCTTTTTGTTTTTTTTAATTGGATCCAAAACCAAATGGGTACAAGAGACAAAGGAGAACCTACATATGAAATCTGAGGAAGACCCATTAAGAACTTCTCAAGAAATAGTGATAACAAATGTTCATTGTAGAAATCCAAGAAGCCTTCCTGTTGGCCATTTTGTTTTCTTGATCATGCAGGCCTAAAATCAAATGGCACAAGTAGGGACCAAGGGGAATCTACATATGAAATTCATTCAGTATTTCTCAACATGTAGCAATAACAAAACTTGTTGGCGGATTGACAGATGTCAGACCATGAATGCAGTGCAATTTAAAAAATAGTTCATTACTCTCAATAAGAAGAAATTTACAAGGAATGTAACTTTTGTGTCAGTTTGATTCTTTTCAGGTTGGTAGAATTTTTAAAATTGGAGATGATTCTGCACACACAAAATGCGATACTATGACTATCAACAGACCTTTTGAATCATGACATTAGTACATTTAAGTTTAATGTTAGAATTTTCTGAAGAAATTCGCTATTAAAGAGTGCTTGATGTACTTGGTAAACAACACTAGAAATAGATTTTTTCATTAAAAAATTTATTGTCAAAGTCATTTAATCTTGATTTCTTGAATCATTTGTTTGGTTTTCATTTCCATATTATACATCATTTAACAGTTCATAAATATCTCGTACAATATACTGAAATAAGACATGTCAAACTATGTATAAAATTAAACACATACCTGGGTACTTAAAATAATATCAATCAATGAAATGATACATACCCTAAACAACAGACAAGTTTTGTTCCCTCAATCTGAATACCTCTTCTACCTCCTCCCTCAATCTGAATACCTCGTCTACCTCCTCCCTCAATCTAAATACCTCGTCTACCTCCTCCCCATATCTATATACCTTTCCTACCTCCTCCCCTATCTGAATACCTCTTCCACCTCCTCCCCTATCTGAATACCTCTTCTACCTCCTCCCCTATCTGAATACCTCTTCTATCTCCTCCCCTATTTGAATACCTCTTCTTCCTCCTCCCCAATTTGAATACCTCTTCTACCTCCTCCCCGATTTGAATACCTTTTCTGCCTCCTCCCCCTATCTGAATACCTCTTCTACCTCCTCTCCCTATCTGAATACCTCTTCTACCTCCTCCCCCTCTCTGAATACCTTTTCTGCCTCCTTCCCCTATTTGAATACCTCTTCTACCTCCTCCCCTATTTGAATACTTCTTCTACCTCCTCCCCTATCTGAATACTTTTTCTGCCTCCTCCCCCTATCTGAATACCTCTTCTACCTCCTCTCCCTATCTGAATACCTCTTTCTGCCTCCTCCTCCTCTCCCTATCTGAATACCTCTTCTTCCTCTCCCTATCTGAATACCTCCTCCCCCTATCTGAATACCTCTTCTACCTCCTCCCCCTACCTGAATACCTCTTCTACCTCCTCCCCTATCTGAATACCTCTTCTAACTCCTCCCCCTATCTGAATACCTCTTTTAACTCCTCCCCCTATCTGCCTCCTCCCCTCCCCTATCCTCCCCTGAATACCTCTTCTACCTCCTCTCCCTATCTGAATACCTTTTCTACCTCCTCCCCTATCTGAATACCTCTTCTACCTCCTCTCCCTATCTGAATACCTCTTCTACCTCCTCTCCCTATCTGAATACCTCTTCTACCTCCTCTCCCTATCTGAATACCTCTTCTACCTCCTCTCCCTATCTGAATACCTCTTCTACCTCCTCTCCCTATCTGAATACCTCTTGTATCTCCTCCCCCTATCTGAATACCTCTTTTAACTCCTCCCCCTATCTGAATACCTCTTCTACCTCCTCCCCTATCTGAATACCTCTTCTACCTCCTCCCTCAATCTGAATACCTCGTCTACCTCCTCCCCATATCTATATACCTCTTCTACCTCCTCCCCTATCTGAATACCTCTTCTACCTCCTGAATACCTCTTCTACCTCCTCCCCTATCTGAATACCTTTTCTACCTCCTCCCCTATCTGAATACCTCGAATACCCTCCCCATATCTATATACCTCTTCTACCTCCTCCCCTATCCTCCCTCCTCCCCCTATCTGAATACCTCTTCTACCTCCTCCCTCAATCTGAATACCTCGTCTACCTCCTCCCCATATCTATATACCTCTTCTACCTCCTCCCCTATCTGAATACCTCTTCTACCTCCTCCCCTATCTGAATACCTCTTCTACCTCCTCCCCCTATCTGAATACCTTTTCTGCCTCCTCTCCCTATCTGAATACCTCGTCTACCTCCTCCCCATATCTATATACCTCTTCTACCTCCTCCCCTATCTGAATACCTCTTCTACCTCCTCCCCTATCTGAATACCTCTTCTACCTCCTCCCCCTATCTGAATACCTTTTCTGCCTCCCCCCTATCTGAATACCTCTTCTATCTCCTCCCCCTATCTGAATACTTCTTTGTTTGTGAAATGAACAACTGTACCCATTATTATTTCTTTGCTGAACAGTGTCTGAATATGAGATATTTTAATTTGTTATCACCTGCTAAAGAAAGGTTAGGAAAATCAAAGTACTGTATTATATAAATGATCTAGGGTTCTACAGGTTAAAACAACTATAATGTTAAATTGGACAATCACAAAAAAAAACTCTTTTTGACTTTTGATTAAAGATCATTCTCTGACTTAAATTTCATGTCACCAATTTTAAATTATTAATTTAAACTTCACAATGATTGTTTCAGAAAACTTACGTCATGCTGACATGAATTAACAAATTCTACATATCTCATGCTTTAACAAGAAATATAAAAAGGGCAATAACTGTAATAATGGATGAGAACCATCAAATATATATAAGATAGTACAAAAGTCACACAAGTAAATAGCACCTTCTAATACAAATCTAGAGTTAGAAACATTAGAGTTACACTCCACTATCACCATCTGAGTACTATGTGTACAAGTTAGGATACTTCTAGACCAAGATCTGATGAATTTATGGACAGGACAAAAAAAATATAAATATAAAATAAGGATACGCATCATTTTAGCATGTGATACTCCTTCAATCCAACAGGTGAACGTTTTCAAGTTTTTTATGATTCTAGGTCCAGAAATAAAAGGTCTAAACCATTTAACACATTCTACGTGCAGTACAACTCCCCATTCTGGGGTATATAGTCAAAAAGTCAAAATCAAATCAGACAATAATGACAATATTTTGAAAGCTAAACTCTCCCAATCATGATGCATGTGTATAAAGCATAGTGATGTTAGATAAGGAAGTGATTAAGTTATGATGTAGACAATATCAAACTAACAGCATTTTTAAACTCTATAAATATGATGGAATTAAACACCTTTATTTCATATAATGTGGTCTCCCAATCAAAATATATAAAGGTATACAACATAGTTGTCATGGAAAGTTTGATGGACATAGGTGTGTACTGATAACGTCATTCCAATCCATCTACTGATCTGCCACTCATGTTCTGATTTGATGGATTCAGAGTTAATTACAGGTTATTTGTCAATCTTTGTGTGATTACTGACAAATAATTCTTCATTTATCATCTGCATTTATTTTATATGATTGAATAAACGTGATGTACCTGTTTTTATAACTTATTTGGAACTTAAACTCACAAGAACATAACTTTGAGATATTTTGTAAACATCGGTATTTTCTATGAACAATACTGAGTTGAATTTGGAAAGATTAATTAATGACACATAGAGCTCTTCAATAAATTTCAGCAAAAAACCCATTTTTACAATTCTTTATATTATACATGTCAAGTAGAAATGAGATATCACAACCAATGGTAAATAACAATGGAATAACCTTCTACATAGATGCATTATACTTAAATGAATATACTATTAAGGTTGGTAAACAGGTGTACAGAAATTTCACAATCAGTGACTGTCAAATATCATGTTTAGTTCATTTTAAATTTAAAAAAAAAGAAGTTTCCCTGTTAAAAAGTATAAGCTTTAGCAACATTTTTCAGACCTGAAATTGAATTTGATATAATCAGCAACTGTCATTCCTTATGGTTTTTCAAACCACAATTACCATTACAGTCATTGTTGACAGTAAGCAAATGTACCTGTACTAGATAAGGGCTGTTGTAAAATGTACACCTGAAAAGGTAGACTTAATTTCAATCAATTAAACACAAATACTATTTTGATTTTTGCTGATTTTTTTTAACATTTCTAAGACATCTATGCAAACTATTGTAAGCCAATAAGTTTCAGACCAATACAGTGTTATTCTATGAAAATAGTTGTGGTCTTGATCCCTAATTTGCAGTAAAAACTTATATTTTCAGCACAGCAATTTTTGTTTTTTTGTTTTGTTAAATATACTATTTTGTGGTCACTTGACTTCTTTGATCTACCCATGGAATTCACTTGTATTAAAAATACACATCAAATTTTCAACAATTAATTAATGGATTTATGAATTTGTAGATTAAGAATCAACAAAAAAAAAAAAAAAAAAAAGAAAAACAGAAAAAAAAACAGCCTCAAATAATTTCAAACATAGAAATTTACCAGTGCTATGTACATTACAAAAATCAATAACTAAATCACTGATAAATATTATTTATGTAAGAGTATGAAATATGCAAATTGCCACTTTCAGTTTTTCCAGGGTTTTTAAACAAAGAGTGAAGGCTATAATCATCACTACTAGCCCTAGGAGTGATAAACAGGGACAGTTGTGGTAAAAACAACCATTAACAGTTACCCAAAGATACAACATAAAACACTGTATAAATGAAATAAATATAACAATATGAAGCAAATTGACTAGCATCTTTATAAATTAAAGCAAACTAAAGCCCAACTGCATAAAAACAGTTATATTATTTTGGCACTCTCTTACATTTTAAGAATTGTGCTCATTTCGAATTTCAATTTCTCTTAAATTAAGTTTAGTTACAATGTTTTCTGTTTATATATATTTATTGTCTTTACACCAAACCATAAATGTGTTAATATTTTAGGTTAATTTGAAAAAATATTTGTGTGCTATATAATACATTATCAAATCAATATATCACAAAAATGAGAATTATACTGAACTTCCACATCCTAGTATTTACAAAGGAAATTACACGGTCCATCACTGTCTGTCTAATGAGAAAGCTCTTAATACGATCTTCATTTTGTTTCTGAATGATGGTACTAAATACAAAGGAACCTGAGTATTTGTTACAGTCTTAGTGAGTAAAGACCTGTCCTTGTCTGTATGAATTAGTGTTTAACATTTTAGAGGGCTTGATCAAACATTGAATATAATGAAGATTCCAGAGTTAGAGAGAAAATCTCTAACTATACAGTGAGAGTAGTGCACTGTGAATCTGGTAGTATAAACTGACAGCAGTACACAGTAAACAGTAGCTTTATCTGACAGCAGTACACAGCAAACAGTAGCTTTATCTGACAGCAGTACACAGTTAACAGTAGCTTTATCTGACAGCAGTACACAGTAGCTTGGGATTACAAAGTCAAATCATACAGTAACATCAGTATACAGTTGATATTAATGATAGTACACAGTAGATACTGAAGCTTTATTAGTACAGGGTAATAACTAAAGCTTTACTGGCAGTATGACAAAATAAATACAGTAGCTTTATCTTAATGTAGCTTTATCCAACTGACTATTTAGGCTAGGAATTACAAGGTTCCACTATACAGTAACCATATCACACAGTAAATACAGTAGCTTTATCTGAATGTAGCTTTATCCAACTGACTATTTAGGCTAGGGATTACAAGGTTCCACCAAACAGTAACCATAGTACACAGCTAATACAGTAGCTTTATCTTAATGTAGCTTTATCCAACTGACTAGTTAGACTAGGGATTACAAGGTTCCACCAAACAGTAACCATAGTACATAGTAAATACAGTAGCTTTATCTTAATATAGCTTTATCCAGCTGACTATTTAGGCTAGGGATTACAAGGTTCCACTATACAGTAACCATATCACACAGTAAATACAGTAGCTTTATCTGAATGTAGCTTTATCCAACTGACTATTTAGGCTAGGGATTACAAGGTTCCACCAAACAGTAACCATAATACACAATAAATACAGTTACAAGGTTCCACCAAACAGTAACCATAGTACATAGTTAATACAGTAGCTTTATCTGAATGTAGCTTTATCCAACTGACTATTTAGGCTAGGGATTACAAGGGTTCCACCATACAGTAACCGTAGTAAATAGTATATACAGTAGCTTTATCTTAATGTAGCTTTATCCAACTGACTATTTAGGCTAGGAATTACAAGGTTCCACCAAACAGTAACCATATCACACAGTAAATACAGTAGCTTTATCTGAATGTAGCTTTATCCAACTGACTATTTAGGCTAGGGATTGCAAGGTTCCACCAAACAGTAACCATAGTACACAGCTAATACAGTAGCTTTATCTTAATGTAGCTTTATCCAACTGACTAGTTAGACTAGGGATTACAAGGTTCCACCAAACAGTAACCATAGTACATAGTAAATACAGTAGCTTTATCTTAATGTAGCTTTATCCAACTGACTAGTTAGACTAGGGATTACAAGGTTCCACCAAACAGTAACCATAGTACACAGTTAATACAGTAGCTTTATCTTAATGTAGCTTTATCCAACTGACTATTTAGGCTAGGGATTACAAGGTTCCATCATACAGTAACCATAGTACACAATAAATACAGTTACAAGGTTCCACCAAACAGTAACCATAGTACACAGTTAATACAGTAGCTTTATCTTAATGTAGCTTTATCCAACTGACTATTTAGGCTAGGGATTACAAGGTTCCATCATACAGTAACCATAGTACACAATAAATACAGTTACAAGGTTCCACCAAACAGTAACCATAGTACATAGTTAATACAGTAGCTTTATCTTAATGTAGCTTTATCCAACTGACTATTTAGGCTAGGGATTACATGGGTTCACAATACAGTAACCATAGTACACAGTAAATACAGTAGCTTTATCTTAATGTAGCTTTATCCAACTGACTATTTAGGCTAGGGATTACATGGGTTCACAATACAGTAACCATAGTACACAGTAAATACAGTAGCTTTATCTTAATGTAGCTTTATCCAACTGACTATTAAGGCTAGGGATTACAAGGTTCCATCAAACAGCAACCATAAAACAGAGTAAATACAGTAGCTTTATCTTAATGTAGCTTTATCCAACTGACTATTTAGGCTAGGGATTATAAGGGTTCTACCATACAGTAACCATAGTACATAGTTAATACAGTAGCTTTATCTGAATGTAACTTTATCCAATATTAGTGAATACGGTAAGTATGGTTGCTTTATCTGACTATAATTCTTTCTGATTGGCTAATAGGCTGGGAGTAACAAGGTTCCACCATACAATTGTACACAGAATACAAAAGCATTAAGTAATCTATGACTATTACACCTAGATATGACATGGATCTCTAACAACTATAACACAGAAAGTTAATAAGCAGCTATTATTAAACTAGCTCTATGCTAATCAAAGCTAGGGAGCACAGTTTCCACAATAATAGCAGCACACACTATAAATATAGCCTTACCTGACTTGGTCAGATGCTAAGTACCCGTGATACCATTTGAAGCAAGTATATATATATAGATACAATACTACATCACAGATAAAAGTTATACCAGGTAACCTAGTAATCATACATCACAGTCTTCTTCACCATCAACCCATCCAGGTCGATTCACAACAAAATGTCACACAATTTCAGTCATTTTCTTCTAGTGACAATTACTACAGCAAACAAACTTCCTCAAAAGTAAGACAGAGTGCTGCTGATTGGTGTACACAAAGATCACCATGACGCTTTGCCAATTGCTTGAAACATAGGTCAAGCCTCTTCTTTAAATACTCTTAGGAAAGCTTCTTGTTTGCAATATCCTTTGATATTTTGAAGAAAAGTTCTGTGGCACAACAAGCCCTGATCATCATCCTTATATCATTCTTCAGATGACGGAAGGCATGTTTATCCTAGATACCGTGGTGATCACAAGACAAAGTCCACGCCCGACACCAGTAGCTCCTGCATGTTGTTTTTAGCTGTACAATACAACAGATTAGAAAATGACAAAAATTTCATTCATCAACATCCATGGCAACAAGGAGGTAAGTTTCAATCACAAATTCAGAATTATATAACAAAGACTAATTATAAAACAGCAGGAGGCATGGCAACATTAAAATGTGATTTTCAAGAGTGGGAATCAGGGAACACTAAAGCTTTGTTAAGTTCTCATTATCTTGCTATCATTGTATAATATTTAATGTTTATATATGTCAGTCTCAAGTAGGTGGGTTGATCAGTGGGGTGTTGCGCGCTGGGTATGGATACCAGTGGGTATGCAGGGGGATGAAATAGAGTATAAAAATAAATTGTGGTAGTTTCAATCACAACATTCCCAATGTCCCCTGTTAAGTTTGGTAATTTATTGGCCGACTTGTTTCGCCTCTGTAAGTTAAGCTTCATCAGGACCAGATTGTCATTGAAACTACCTTGATGTGTTATATTTAACTTTATCTAGTAATTACTGATCTAAGCATGAAGGTCAAAGTAAGGGATTGACATTTAATGTTCTTTGTCCAGAATACTCAAGGCAGAAATTTTATCAGTCAAAATATTTTCTGAGGTATCTACATTTTACAAATGCAATAAAAACTGTGTGATATCATGTATCATTTGTTATACGATAAAGCAAGACCAATCAGAACGTGGCATTACTAAATCAAGCTTTTTATACTTCAAGTATTTCAATTAAGTCAAAATCTCTATTAGTCATTTTGGTCTAGTACTGATAGTTTTTAAAAGAAAAGTTGACAAGGAATTCAACAGAAATTATGACACAGTATTAACATCATTGTCATTTTTACATTTATCTGCCACTGTCCTTTAACTACAATACTAGACAGCCAATTTAATGATGGGACTATAACAGGTGACCTTGTATTGTGAAGCCACCATGCTTTTACCAGCCACTCCATGTTTTGCCACTCCATGTTTTGCCTGTTTCTATACTGAATTTGTTATATATATACAAGGATATCTAATTAAAACTTCCTAAAATATGAAGTATTTTCTAGCTATACTTATACAAGATGCCATTCTGGCAAATCTGTCATGAAACCCTCCCAAATATTATTGGATTTACAAGGTCTCATGACACTGACAACAATTATATTCAGAAAACACTTTATTGTAGAAATAAGTACTCCTTCGTGGTTATGACCTACTATATCTCTTAGTAATGGGACTAGTCAAAATTTTGGAAATGGTGTTCTGGACATGTCCGAGAAAAATCCTACAAAAATTACTGAACAAGTGAAAGCAATCATTTGTCCCTACACCTACACTCAGGTAATATTACCTTGAAAGTAGATAGTGTCTTCTTCATCGTCAGGCTGTGGTATAAATGGGGGAGTGATATCCAGCAGATTGTTCCAATCCACTTCAGCAAAGAATGGCATGGCCTTCACATCTTGAAATAAAAATCACTTAAAAAATTAGATACAAATATTTAAACCATCTGGTATGGTATAGTGTGTAATATTTGCAGGGATTTAATTTTCTTTTTATTTATGGTTAGTAAATAAAGTCCATTTTCAATACCTGGCAAACATTCCTACAGAAAATAAAAATTTCAGAAAATACCTGTTGAACCTGTTTACCAAGGCACTGCTTCATAGATATGTGCAAAACTTATATCTGAGAACTAGCTCAAACTGGGACAACTGCTAAATATTAGTTCTGTGAAATTGAATAGCTATATAGTACTACATACAGGTAGAGATTCACTGATGCTTCTTTGGAAAACCAAGTCTGCCCACTGGAAATTATATTTCAAGCTTATCTGCACGTGAAAAGTAGCAGACACATAAAAAAAAGTCTAGCTGTTTAATATTTCAAATTCAATATTTATTTATTATGTCCCTTTGATACAATATTTTATTTGATGGTTGAGTGGGACTCAAAGTTAGCTCCTAATTCCTATAATACAATTAAATTTGCTACAAGTAAGAAACATAAATCAGATCAAGTGATGATTGTGAATGAGGATAGGACATGATAGGACAGGAAACACTTCAGGACCCACATCCTTTTCCCTAAAAGAGCTTACGAAATAGATGTGTCAAATGCTCCAATATTTGAGCAGATCCTTATTGTACCTGCAATAATCTCTATTCATAACATAGTAGCACCCACAGTAATTTCTGGGACTCAAACATTTTCATCCTGACTCATGCTTTTCCTGTGGGACAAATATTGAGAATCCACTTTATCTCTTTGTAATTTGACACGTCCAAATTTGGAAAATGGTGCTCTGGGCTCATGAGAAAAATTGTTTAAAAAATTACTAACCCCTACATCAACAATTCAAATGCAGGTCTGACATAAATGTCTCATCTTATAAAAATATTAACAAGCTAATCAGAGAATTTAAGATATTGTTCAGACAAGATAAAGCAAGGAAATCATACCTTTAGCAGAGGGTCGAAGGTCAGGATCCATTGTTAGGAGCTCATCAATTACATTCTGGGCATTGTCAGACAAAGCTTCCTCTCCATCAGGCCATGGAATATCTACAAGAGCAATGAATGTCACACTACAGCTTGACAACAAGAAAAAATGTTTAATATTTGGCTACCAACTTCAAAAGTCATATTTAATCTTCTCACAACGAGTCTTGGAAGAATAATGGACCTGTAATAAAATTGCCCTTTCTTTTTATTGTATCAATTCAAGGAAACAGAAGTCTTATTAACAAGATAAAACTATTCAAATTGATATAAAAGGTAAGCTTGTAACTAACAGCTCAGAAGGTAAGCTTGTAACTAACAGCTCAGACATAGGACACATCAGTTAACTTTCCAAAGTCTAAAGGGAATTCAAGCTGGGCACAGTTACAAGTTTAGCTGTATCAACTTTTATGACTACCTCTGTTGAGTATGTTTTGGAAGACCAGATCTGGAGTCTGATCATTGAAGGGAGGCACACCAGTGAGAAATTCAAACAGACACACTCCAAGCGCCCACCAGTCAACAGCAGACCCTGTTTGAAATAGGAGAACATGTTTTAATTCAACAACTTTTTCTGATTTACGTATTGGTGATTGGACAACCTGAAGTTTCACTCTTGTAAGGACAGTTGTAAAATCAACTTTGAATTTTAGTGAAAAGTAGCTAAGCTCTTTTTGATAAACACAAATTTAATATCATCTTTTATCTAACAGTCAGATCCCTTGCAAGCTGACATCCTACATGCTAACAAGAGTGAGTAGCATGACTTGAAGTAACATGTTTCATAACTGTTGAAAAAAAATGTCAACTTTTTTTCTTTTCTATTTAATATAAACTGTCAAAATGCCAGTACACCAAAGTAATTAAATGTAAGGAATCTATTTATCCTAATACATACAGAAAAATAATTCTAAAGTTATTATTTTAAATATGTTTGCATAATGTAGATATTTTTACAACTATTATCTTTTTTACCTACCAATTTAACAGAGGACCTATCATTATCTTACCATGTGTTTTTTGTCCTAGAATTTCTGGAGCTAAATAGTCAGGGGTACCAAGTATACGTTCATCGTCTGTGTTAGGTTTCTGTCCCCTCCTCACACTCTTTGGTGTTTTAAAGGGAGTTTTCATGAGATTCCTTGCTGGTGTTCTGCTAAACCCTGGGGTGACTGAAGGAAACACTTGTTGTGATATTTGAGCCACAGGTGTCTCACACAAAGCTGGGGCAAAGTGGGCGTGTAGTGACTGTGTGGGTCTTGATGGACGATGAATGACTGGTGTCTGTAGGATAGGATCCTTAAAAGAGATATATATACAATTAGATAGATTTGAAGAAATACCCTTTAAAGGTGTATAATAAATATCTCCATCACTTCTTAATGAATATCAATCTGCATATGTCAAATAATTATTCATCCATGTAAAATTTAACAAGAGGCCTAGTGGTCTTGATGGTCACCTGATATAAGCAATATTGAATATCAAGGTTAAAGGGTTAGTAGCTTTCAAGTTTCAAAGAGATCACACCTAAGTCCATTGACTAAGTATATCTTCAACAAGAACGATACCCCCAGTCGTCCAAAGTTTTTAATTCCCGTATCAAATCTGTATGATGAGCTCCTACACATAAGTACCTTTTTGTAAGAAGATGGATCAGGGGTCTGTGGTATCAGACTCTGACTGGATGTAGAACTTGTACGCTTTGGACTTTGGAATCTTGTGGCTTTGGTAGGACTTCTTTTTGAAGGGGATGTACTGTCTGCTTCCATTGATGTACCAGAATCACTTGATGATGTATCAGACTCTCTGTCTTCATCGGTATCTGGTTCTTGGTCTAATCTGATCTCCTTGCTTGAAATGTTGTTAGGTGGTGAACACTTTTCAACAGAACGGTCCATACTTCTTAGCGAGTTACACACTATGCTAGACTCAACTCGTGAAATGTTCTCGGATTTTTCTGCCATTTCACATTTATCCTCTGTATTTGACATGCTGACATCTGGTGATGACTGTAGTAGGGCACTATCATCTCCTGTAGTTCTTTTCAGAGAACTGTTTTGATCCTGTCTAAGCTGTTCTAAACGAAGCTTGCCAGAAAGTCTTCGACAACAGGAAGATCTTGTTGGAACTCTTTCAGGTAAGTTTTTCTCTTTACATAAACTTGCACATGCATCTGACTTGATATTTTCTGATGTTAAATCAACAAAGTCGCGGTAATTGTCTGTGTTGTATTGCTTGTGACAGAGATTATAACTGTCTAACTCCCGGTTTAATTTCTCTGAATTACTCCTCTTGATACGATGCTCATCTCCATACAGTTTCATCAGGCAGATCTCTTGTGTGATGCCTGTACCATTGTACACTTTCTTTGTCAAAGGACTTCTAGCTACTAAGTCAAATTGTCTTTTCCTGTTTCGTCCTTCACTGCTACATCGTTTTTTTTCACTAGTATGCATATGGTCCATCTCTTCATCAGAATGATAGCTGTACACCCGTCTCTCGCGACTTCGTCCCGGAAATTGGCACAAATTTTTGGAATTATCATCACTTTCCTTTCTACTTTTATCACAGCTGGACCTTTTTCTAATTTCAGCACCTCTCTGTCGCGGTTCCTCATTTTCATCACTATCCTCAGAATATGATCCATGTCGCATAGAACGAAGATTTCTTGCTGCGTACGAGTTCCACACTGATTCGTTAGATCTATGCATCTGTGGAGTGTCATCCATTATGCTCTCCTGTCTTGATGGAGCTTTTAGATGACTGTCACAACCATCCTCCTCACAACAATTTCCTTCCCCATCATGACACTTTTTGTAGAAGACTGAATCTGAACTCTTATCGGATGACATTTCAATACTCATGCTGCTTTCGAAAATACTACTGGTATCTCCTTCCTCACTCACCACCCCTGTACTGTGAATACCTCTCAGAGCAAAACAACCTTCCCTTTGTATTTCACTGATTTTGAGATTTCTAAAATTTGACATTCTGCGTTTCTCAGCCATTGACATTATATTATGTGTGCTGAGAGTATCCTCACTGAACAGACTGGAACGGCGTGAAGATTCCCTGTAGAAGGAACTCCCTTCACTACCACTGTTGGACCAGTTTAATGAGTCTTGGAGGGTTGGTGTTAAGCTCATCACTGGTGGAGGATGAGATATCCCTGGTGATGACAAGCGTGCCTTGGTTGCCTGACTCACCAGGCGATCTCTAAGGGACATTGGTTTGGCACCATGTATATTTGGAGAGTTTGTGTTGAGGGACACTAGTGGACTTCGAGACATACTCTTACGTCTGGAGGCAGGAGTATCCATGAAGTCAACATTGGTTTGTGACTTCTTTTTGGCTGACAAAATATTCTGAAATAAATAGAACCGTGAATGAAAACGTGGACACAAAATTTGATATCGATGCTATTTTCATAAATATAACAGAAATTTTTGGTGCTAACTGTTGCTAGATTTGGGGCAAAGTCACAGCATCATTGAAATTATATCACGTCAATTACCTTTCTAAATGCATATTGTAAACTAACTTTCTTTTGCCGATTCAAACATTCATGAATTCTGATCCACCATTAAAAAGGTCAAAGTGCACTGTTATCATCAAAACCCAGTTGGGAGCACTATATTCTGTCCCTAATTTGGCCATGACAGGTGAGCTTGCTGTAGAAGACGTTGGATCAGTACTTTTGTTTACATCTTACTACCAGCATACGATACAATACCCAGAGGATGAAACTGGACTCATTTACTTTCAAACAGTTACTTAAAAGCTGAATTCAACTACAGATGTACCGTCTATGTAGATTCAGGATAAACTGCATATAAGGTTAACAGTCACTGTTACAACAGCTGTTCACTGTGAAAATTGTTGTTCATTATCTATGTTTTAATGCTGTGTTTTATCATGAAATTCAGGAAATTAAATCAGAGATGAAAGAAAGTTGGTACACAGCAGTCCACATGAGAGGTAATGGAGTAAAACTGAAGAATAGTAAATAACTAAAATCAATCAATCTCCAAGTATATAAATAAATCTTTCATTCTATGATACAATGCTTTAACCATAGTACATCCAAAAAATATTATCTGAAGTTGAAGTAAGATGAAGGACTAATGCTCACAGATATGCATGGACTTACATAGACATACCCTCACTCTCTGTCATTTTCATTCTGAATGTGGTAAAGTGTGATCTTTGACACTTTAACTTTAACCAATGACCACCAAATGAAGTGTAGAACTTCAGGTTATGATACCATATTGTGAAAATGAATAAATCTGTTAGGGGTTCATGAGATGTCTTGTGCACAAGCTTTCTATTCAAAAGTGGTCAAGGGTGACTGTTAACATTAACTGATGACTAACAGTGTAGAACTGGACAATGACAATGAGGTAAATGATGTGAACTAAATCTGTGGGAGTGGGGTGAGGGTTGGGGTAGGGGTGGGGTGGGTGTGGAGTGGGTGGTGCATGAGATATCTTGTTCACAAGCTTTGCACTAAGGATCTATGGGCAGGCACAAACACCAAGTGATATCTGTGTACTAACTCAATTAAACTGAGCATTAGACTTGGTAAGTGACCTTTAGACATCACTAGCATGTTTTCAACACTTACAAATCCAAGGTTACTCTTGAAGGAGAGAATCTGACCAGGTGTGCGGAAACAATCAATCCTATGACTGCTATAGGGAAGGGGAGTCTTTCCCTGTTCCAACTGCTGTTTACAGGACCCTAGGCAAGCAAACAACATGTTTACCACAATAAATTTAACATTCACATATTCTTGCAAATTGTGTATAACATCATCTATTTTATCAAGTACAATAATTTTATTAGTATTTACAATACTGTAATCCAGTTTTCTTTTGCCTTTTAATTGACAAAATTGTTTGGATTTAAAACTGAAACAATAATGATTTAAAATACAACCATCTACCAAATAACCCGAAACCATTTTATATCTAAATAACAAATGGCAACCATAAAAAAATCAAACCTTCACATGAAAACAGACTTGTTTTTCTCTTGTACATAAATATGTATATATAGCTCTTGTTTATTACTGTAAGTATAGTTGCTTACTAGAAAGTCCATAACTGTACAGATTGTGAAAAGTGTATCCCCCCAAAATCAATGTTGAACAGTACTTACACATGAAGGTCTGAGCTACAAGATTCAAGCTTTCTCAATTGTTTAACACTAAAAGAAAACTCCTGAAACAGTTTAGCTTAATTTGACCTTACCCACTTCAAACTGGATTTTTGATAATCCAAAGTCTGTCAGTTTGATATGGCCCTCTGGTGATATCAACATGTTGTCAGGCTTCAGGTCTCTGCAATTTAAAGGTATCAGTTGTAAGGCCTATCAGTTGCATTTTCTTACATTTGATTGCTCCTACAGTGTTCATGTCAAAAAGTCAGACACAACTTCAACTTGAACTCTGAAGCATGCTTAAAGTCTATAACAAATAATTTAGTTATCTTGTCTATTGAGAAGACATTTTAAAGAAAATTTGAAGCCAAAATGACTATTGGAGGGCAAATGTGTGTGTGCAACATAACTTAAAATGCCATGCGTATAAAAATACACGAGGCTTAACTGCCTTGATGGTCACCTGAGATAAGCAATATTGAAAAAAATGTGAGAACCAATTTGGTAATTGAAGCATCTTACTACACCTTGGTATTGAGAAAAAGATTTTTGAAATCTGAGTAATTTGACCTCTTTTGGCCCAATCGATCAGCCCCTTGCGGTCAGTCTGGGTCAATATGGGCATATCATCTAGCTATCATCCCTCGCTCATAATTCTAACCAAGTTTCAAATATTTCAAATGCAAATTCAACAAATTACAAAAACCTATTTTGCGTCTATAAACTACAGTAAATTTTACAACCTACCCAATGGGAAATGTGAGACACTGGGGCCATAAAATTCACAATTTTGGTAAAGCACCTAAAGATGCTGTCATCCGTGAAGAGCAATTGATTCTGCTATATGTGAGTCAATTTGACCCCATTTGGCTCCATCCTTCAGCCCCCGGGGGTCAGTCAGGGTCAATATGTGCATACCATAATTCACTGTTTTCTTATTCATTTTAGGTCAGGAAAGGTTTCTGAAAAATTTCATTGAAATTGTTCAGGAATTGTTTAAGAACGCACGGCACAGGACAAAGGTGATTGCAATAGGTCACCATGAGGCTTGTCTCAGGTGACCTAAAAATGCATATGAATAGCTGTTCTAGATCATGTTCAATAAAGACCTGATATGCACCATCCTCAGTTACTTCCCCTTAAATGTTATTACACAGATCAGTATTAGTGAAAAGCTTATATCTGCAGTAAAGCAATTTCTCTTCATTTTTTATGTATTGATATGTGTTGGAACATCTCTTGGTGATTTGGTAAAGGTGCATTGTGACCATTTAAGTGCTACCAGTGAGGGAGACCTGTGGAGAAGTTTATCTGTGCATGGCTTTTTTCCAGTCATTTGGGATTGGGCCTTTTATCTCTTTTAGTGGAAACAATGGTCAATTGTGAAGGACATTTTAGGATTAAGCCCCTGAAAAAAGCCTGCTTATATTCAGATCCACATTATCCCTTAAAAAAGCCTGCTGTAGAGTGGTACACTTGTGACGGATGCATGAGGAATGTTTACCTGTGAAGGAGGCCTCTAGGAGTATTTACCTGTGGACAATGCCTCTGGAGTGTAGATACTGGAGAGCTAACGTCACCTCTGCAGCATATATCAGTGCCATATCTTCATCAAAGAAACCATAGACTACCAGAAGGCTTTTAACATCGCCACCAATCATATACTCCATAATCTGAAAGCCAAAAGCATGTCAGTAAGGTTCCAAGACAATATATGTTGTTTGTGATATTGAACAATAACATCCAATAAATACTATATATGATTAATCCATTGCAGAAAAAAGAAATTATCTTGATTCTTATTCTTTGTTGGACTTATCGTCATGAAACAGTCATAAAGTAAAACATGTTTTTCAAATGTCAAAATTAAAAGAAAGATTTAAAAAACAAAGAAAACATGTAAATCTAGAAATTCAGTCCACACTTAGTGTTCAGGGAATGGTGACTTGTTTGAACTAAAACATTTATGGAGTATACAAACGAAATCCCCACTCCGTCCTATCTTGTGAGGTAAAGAAAACATGTAAATCTAGAAATTCAGTCCATACTTAGTGTTCAGGGAATGGTGACTTGTTTGAACTAAAAACATTTGTGGAGTATACAAGTGAAATCCCCACTCCGTCCTATCTTGTGAGGTAAAGAAAACATGTAAATCTATTCTTGTGAGGGAATGGTGACTTGAAAAAAAACATTTGTAATGAAATCCCCACTATCTTGTGAGGTAATGTAAATCAAAATCCATACTTAGTGTTCAGGGAATGGTGACTTGTTTTTATATTTGTGGAGTTAACTGTATACAAGTGAAATCCCCACTCTCTCCTATCTTGTGAGGTAAAGACAAAGAAGCTGATCAAAGCTGACTGTGATATGTGTTATCATCAACACATCACAGTCACTTAGATCTCTCCTGTATCTCCAATATAAAGGATGTAGGTTAAGTAGCTTTCAAGTGTCACAAAAAAAGACAGTGTGACAATGATAATAGTAGTAAGAAATAACATGGGGAGATGGGGGGGAGGGGGGAGGGGAGGGGTAACAATTTGGCTTTAAAACTATAATAGATTTCATTCCCTCTGTATAATATTGATTTGAAATTGGTGATCAGGATGCATTGGTAATGTGACAGAATAGAAAGGCAAAGGTAATACTATATGCCCCCATAAAATGGCAGGGACATTATAATGAAACTTATTAGATTTGACTCGAAATTTTCCGGCCCATGGAACTTGTCCAGACCACTTGTCATACCAGGAAGATATTCTGCTGACAATGGAGGGAGTAGAACAACTGGACAATGAAAGGACTCTTGGTTACTGCCATGGCATCCCTTTCAGCTAAAACTGCAACAAATACAAATATCCTTATAAATCTCTCTGTATTTTCTGAGTTTTCTTGTATTACTGTTAAATATTTTAACCTGAAATTTATCTTGTATACAATACATGTTTTGATTTGCAGTAACTTTTGCTACAAATATCAAACATACTGAATTCCATAACAAAACAAGAAAAAAATGTTAAAATCTTGTATTTTTATCACAAATAATGCAAAATTTTTAATATATAGACTATGATCAATAGTCTTATTGAAATGAAATATTGTCAAAAGCAAAAGGTACAACCAAAGCACTAACTTAAAATATACAGGCGTGTTTTGTGAAGTTGTGTTGAACATTTTTGAAGATGAAGCTCGGAAAAACCCTCAGATGGACAGACAGGCAGAGCCTAAATTAATATCCCCTACAAACACGTTTCGTGGGGTAAAACAAGGAGATGTAAATCAATAGTGTAATCCTGTATTTACAGCAAAAACAACATATTTGTTGCACAAATATATTTTTAAGACAGCTTAGGATACGTAATAAATGCAAAAATTGAGCAGAGATCAATGTATATGTATTATATGTCCCTGCAATAAATAAACTTTTTATAATGTACTATACTCGGGAATGATAACCCCAAGAATGGCATGTTCCTGCGTATAATGTGCACCCCCTTTTTGACACGACAGTTTTAGTTTGAAAAAGTGTGCACTATGCGCGGGAATTTACGGTAATAATGAAATGCATACAGGTGTATTTGGAAGAATATTCAGATAAAATAATGGAAGTTATTTCATTATACTCTAATATACATAGAAGTTAACATTATGGTTTATAATAATGGTACAATATCCACTCTGTAAGTATGCTTAGCCTGTACAAATATATACTGGTAAATAACATGTCTTGAGACTATAAACTAGGTGTTCAGGTGTGTCAAAGTGTTCACCCAGGTATATGTATGCCATGAAAGGTCAGCACCCACTGTAATTGATGTGTCTTCCAATTAACATGTTGGCCAGATATTGATTTATTACTTGTTCATCACAGCTGTTTTAGGTTTCACTTTTTTTTCATATCCTTCTAAAATTAGACATAAACATCTATGTTGAAACTCACCTGTAGCCAAATGCATTCTACTACAACCGTATAATGGTGAAATTGATTCAGGGTACTACCCAGGTGGTATATATATCAGTACTTGATATTGTTGCCAGTGACTTTTAATGTAAGTAATCATGGAAAAACGAGTCGTGTGGAAGTAACACTCACCTTGACCGACCATGTTTTTGTTTACCATGTCACATTTCTTCATAACTTTAATAGCATAATGCTTTTCAGGGTTGTCTTTCCTGTAGCCTAAAAAAACTTTACTGAAAAAGCAACATAAGACATGTCAAACTCAATTTGGAAATAAACTAAAACTAATTTTGCAATTGAAATATAAGTTACTTAATTTCTTTCTTAATCAATCTTCACTGTGTTCGATGTAAAGTCTACTGAGTACATGTTACTATTGTAGATCTTTATATAAATTATAACATAGTGTATCTTCATCAAAGGGCCTAATTTTATACCATCACATGAAGTTTTATAAGCCAAATGATTGATCATGATATCTTCTGTTGATTCAGTAACATGTAAGTAATGTTAAAACTAGCTGCAATATAATGCTCTTCTCTTTAGCTTGACTGGTTAACTGTTAGACTAGTAAGCCAGAAGTCTCAAATTCTAATCCTAGTGAAGGCATTGAAAGAAATAATGAACTCTGTTACACAAATCTTAGAGGATGCATTGAAATACAATTATGAATGTAATAGTGTCTTTTACACTGATGCCTATGTTTGTATAAGGGAACAATGCTTACAGCTTTACTTTTACAGGTATTACTTTAACCACTGGAAACTCAAGGACAAGTTATTTCCTGGAAAGGAAGTTATTTAACCCTGGCCACATTACACCTCTAAGCTATAGAGAACTTCCCTTTAGTACGCAATCTGTGCTGCATTTGAAGTCTAGCAGAAGCCCTGAAGTAAATTATAACCTCTGTTATGTGTACAAGTGTACCTGTTTATAGCTAAGTATTATTAAGATAGGGATATATTTTATCAATCACAAATTATTACCCAAAAGCTCCTCTGCTGATTGGCTTGACAAACACAAAGTCCTCTATACTCGTACTTGAATGCTGGAAGAAACGAAGAAACAACACTGAAAATTTGGAGATATAGAATCAATGTCTATAGCTATGATGTACTCCAAGAAAATGAACTGGCTAATCACTTTGCTTTTGTAAAATGACTAAATTCAATGTGATGGTGATCATGTTCCTTCAATACTGAAGGTGCCAGGTGCTGGTTTTATATACAGATGATATTTGATCTATTCTTTCAAAACTAGAGTACATCCATACATTATGATGGCAGCAGTGCAATTTGATATGGTGTTGGCTGAAGTTGGGAAGGAGATAGTTTCACCATAGTACGAGGAAAGAAAGTGAATTAGTAGGTGTCCTTGACTCACTGTATGTACTGTGTGTGTATACACACATATATCTGAATACATATATTGACTGTGTTCATTCAGCCTGGTTCTGGTGTCAGCTAGATTGAGAAGGTTTGTTGGCTGATTTGCATTTATATAAAACATGACATAATGAAAATAATTTGTTTGTCTGGAAAAATGGCCACTTAGTGAAAAGATTCTATCATAAATATTTATTTTAGTAACAGACATTTATTGACTTATTCAATTTGACATTGTCCAACAGGATTCTTTTTTCTTTTCAAATAGATTTTTTTGTCGTTTCAGGCCTCGAATTTATGGCTTTTTACTGGCTATTTGCAAGTAGAAATCCAAGAATTGCAAGTAGAAAAAATCAATTACTTGCTTTTTTCAGCATGTGGATTTATCAGGTGCAAACTGTGAGTGCCTGTCTATTCCTAACATTTCACAGAATTAAATTGTTTTGAGTTTTGATTTTCAAAGTGTAAATATTGGGACAAAGCAGATCTTCTATAATGTTGATATATATTGGATGAAGCAAAGTAATACATTATAAATCACAAAACAAAACATTATTTGAACAAGGAAATTTGCGATAATAGCAAGTAAAAAGTCATTTTAGCAAGTACAAATTTATGGCACTTGCTGTTTTCAGCAAGTGACAAAAAATGTTAAATTCAAGGCCTGAATATATGTAACATAAACAAAACATTTTATTAATGACTCATTCTTTAGAAAATGCATATGTATGTATTCTTGATAAATGGTACAAAAACAGACATTATAAAAAAATACTGTGACTTTTAATTCTAACTTGATTTGTCTCTGTAAAATTTTATTTCTAATGAAATGTGTCCTGCATTCACTAATCATTGTGCTTATTATCATCACTGCATTTCTTCATTTTTCCATAAAGATATAATGTATACGTAACGTGAAATTATATCAGTTTTTGCACATATACATAAAACAACTTGATGACCAGTTTACACATTAAAGTCTCCTTTGAGTATATGTGTACGCGTGTTGTAAATGATCATGAGAGTGATCTCATGCAGTGGCTTCATCATTGACACTCCCTTATTTGACGAATTGTCTTGTCAGGGGTACTAAAATGTTCAGTTTGTGCTGTAAAATCGGAATTTAATCCGTTCAATGTACTGCATTTCATCCCCTGTCTATGTGACGTTAAATCATCAGCGGACACGACTTCTCGTTTGCTTTGAGCGTCTCTTTGCTTGCAGCAAACTTACAGATTGCCTACAGGGTCTCTCTAGGCTTGCTGATCTCTTAAAATTCACAACACAATCGACATCTAAACGAAACAACAGGTGTCGTTGTCATTCCGTCTTTTGCACGCCATCAACAATTTAAAAACTAATATTGGTTGATTACATATGTAACGTCAAAAACAAATGCAACACGAGAAACTAAACTACTTACCGATTTTGGATCAACCGCCATTTTTAGTGTTTACGAACGAGTTTGAAAAGTCTGACATGGGCAACAACTCTGTTGTATACATTAAGCGGGCACCTGCGCCAAATTTCCTACTTTTAAACAGTTTTTAAAAATCAGTTATGGAAGGAGAAATCCATTGACGAAAATTCTCTCGACTTATAATCTTCCAAAACAAGGGAAAAAAAGAAAGAATGTCATAAATGAGACTTTCAAAACAGCACTTGCAACAACAGTAAGTAACACGCACACCATACCCCCACCCCTTCCCACACATACAACTATCTGTCCGTAAGGACCCTACATTAAAAATATACAAGTACAGAAGGTACAAGGAAAATTAGACCAGATCCTTTATCGACGATTCCCGAGATATAAGTCTTAACATCGGTTCAATGAAATATGATAATAATGATAATGGAAACAAATAATAACGATAAAACATATATATTTCTGTTCAAAATATGACGAACAAATCTTTTCATTTACCTGCTTGAGAGTTATAGTATTTAAGGTTTCAAATGATGAGGCAAGTTTTTTCCATCAAAACTGCCTGGCCAGGTTACCTTAATGAAAACCAATTTTGTAAAACAGAGTTATGCGCCCTTGGATTCAGTTTGACAACAAAACCATGCTCCAAATGCAGGGAGTGAAGTGTTAGGATGAAGCGTATACGTTACGAGCAAATCCACTCCTCTGTGCATCAATATCTTAAGAGAAGACAGTATTCTGTATGTATTACACGACACTTGGGGTTAGACACACATCGAGTATCTGTTTTTCATAGAGCATTCCGGTGTCGCATTTATCCAGTGTAAGATTTGTACAGTACCAGTAATAGCATAGGATGACCCATTGACGATAATAGCACTGTTAGTGAATGGTATCATTGTTGATGAAATGTCAGGGAGGAAACATTCGCTCGAAATGTAGTAGTCAGATATGTGTGTGTGATGTGGGAAATCATCTTGTAATGTTGGCAAGTATATATCAAACTAGTGGAATTGTATTCCGCATAATCACGGTAGTTCATTTTATGAATTCATTTGGTGTGATAACTGGTTGTTAAAAAGTGCAAAGTTAATATGATTCTAACAATTATGTGGTATTAGATAAGTCTCCTCTAAAAATAACATGATACAATACTTCATCTTTATGCATTATTTACAAACATTCTATTGAAGTGTATCCTGAGTGAAAATAGAAATCAATATAGTATTATTATTTATGATCCAAAATCAAAAGAGTTGAAATAAACCACATAAAATTGGCTGGCCCCATACCATGATATTAATGTATAAAGTATATTTATGGAAGGAATAAGCAAGATTGAAAACAGCCATGCTATTTACAACATCAGATTGCTATTTTTTTTTTATATTGATTGTAGTTTTGAGGAGTTGGATAATTCTGATGATAACATTATGTAGATGGTATCTAACCATATGAAATTTGCCAGAGTTTTCAGACAGTGATCAATCTAAATATATATTTAATGCCAACCTTAGAACAAAGGATGAGGCACAACTTCTTACAACTTTATACCTTCGCCCAATATACATTTACCTATTGTGAGTTAAATTGAAACCAAACAAACAAATTAAGGGTAATGAAACCTGGTATTATTGTATATAATTTCTAAACATTGGCGAGGAATTTGCTGTATTTCATGCCAGAATTTCTATATTCCAAAGTTCTATACTATGGTACCACTATGGTACAAAAATACAGAAATGCATCAGTGAACAATATTTACAAAATTATGTTGTTGTCTGCTATTTTCTATTAATGACAAGACATATGACATATTATATGTCATTATAACAAATTGGCATCTTTGTGCATTTAATTCCTTATTTTAAGTCAGCAATTGAAATATTAGATTTCATTTACAGTACTTATGATACTAAATGATTTCCTGAACTTAGATAAAATATTTTCACAATTATAGTTTAATTTTCCCAAAAAATATAAATGAATTATGGGATTCCGTATTTCTCCATATACATGCTATATACACAAGTTATGATTTAGCTTCTTGGCTCATTCATGAAATCTCAGGTGTGCAATATGTGTGAGATAAATGACTCATGTCACATACTGTCACAGGAAGAGGCCCATTATACACATTTATACCTGTGCCAAGGTATGAGATCAAAGGGATCCATGTGGTAACCTGAACTTGATGTTAGTTTGTGGATTGGTGCAGGTTATGCATATTCTTATTTTCCATTTTTCAGCAATTTTCTCAGTCATGGTAACAAGAAAATTTAAAAAGACAAATTTGAAGAAAGATATCAATGAATAAAATGGATATGTCTGATCAGATGGTTCATTGGTACATTCTTCTCTCCCTCTGTAAATTTATAATCTCCCCAAACTTCTAATTAATGCAATTATTCAAGACAACTTGTGTCACAAATACTTCATAATTATTCACAGTAGTATTTGGCTTTTATAAATGCAGATTAAAATATAAGTGTTGTTGCATATTAAGAATATAGATTTTTGTACTGGTGTATTCGTTCCAGTGGTATATCTCTGTTTGTAAAGAAATTGGTGTCTGGTGCGTTTTCGCTAATTTGACTTGATTTTGATCTATTGTCAATTTATGTTATTTGAATAAAGGGTTCTTATAATTTTTAGAAACCTATTGTATAGTAAATAGTATAATATTTACAGTCGATGGATTCATGAATTATGGTAAATTTAGATAGCATCTATGTGTTCAGACACCCACATACAGTATATTGTATTTCTACATAAAAGATAATAATTTTATACTTGAAATTTTAAACGTCATTTCTTTATGTATGTTGCACTTAAAATTTAACCAACAGAAGTAAGTGTCAACAGAATATATCACATCTTAAAAGTATATCAAACACTTGAACTTAAAACGTCACAGATGTGGGCTTCCCATATCGAGGTGATCACAGCTGAGTCTGCATTTCAGATAAATCACAATATCTAGAAAACGGAATTAAGTATGATGTTCACACTTTCTTGGCATTTAATTTCAAGTAAAACGTTCATTTAAGTTTCTGGTTAAAAGTTTTGATATAGTTTAGACTCCTATTGGGAATCAAAAGACACAGTAGTTATCTAAGAAACAACCCATTCATCTTGCCCAGTCAAAGAGGTTAAGTGACTGAGCTTTAATTTGGAAATATTTGAAATACCCAAGCTGTAGGCATATTATAACGTTGCTGGGCTTTGAGATCTAGGTGAGTGTTACAGGCCTTATTGACCTCTTGTTTAGTCATCTGTCACTTAGAGTTCTGTTTTACCTTGAGTAATTACAAGTCATCTTTTCAGAAATTATGATGAACTCATTTACACATAAAAGGACACTTACAGCTTAGAAAATACATCTGTTTTTACACATTAATATTATGCTATTAGAAATGTTATTGATTAGATGCTGTATTGTAAACAATGGTGTACATATCATTTTAGGACCATGAAGTTCTTGAGAAGAAGGAGCACAGATGGGTACATGATGTAAAGGACATGGCTCTCAAGAGTTCAGCTTCAGGGGAGACAACAACTGAAAATATTTTGTTGTATAGCAGCATTTCAGGGGACACAACTGTTTGTGAACAACAATTTTCAAGGTAGTTCAGCTTTTTAAGGTTATAAACATCTAAAGTTTGATAATTTAAGATATGATCAACTTAAGTATTTGGATATACTGGCTAAAATGACTTATCATGTATACTATTTTGTGAATCATGAGAAATATTTTGAATTCAATTTGAATATTTGAATTTTGTTTGGCAACTCTAACTATGCAGGTTCCAGAATACATGACACACGCATATAAATGGTGGTGTGTTGCTTGCATAACAATTGTTCAACATTTTTGGGTACACTGGTTTTATAGTTTGTCTTAATGTTCGATACTTTAGATTGAAGACATACCTAAGTGAGGCTGTTGACCCTTACAAGAATGAGCTGACCTACATACTATACCCACTGTTTGTACATATCTACCTACATCTTTTGTACAATGGACACAAGGCACCAGGTATGTATGCAAGGTCTTACTGTTGTGCTGGTAGGGAAAAAAAGTGATTGAACAGTATGTTTTCCAACCTAATGATAGCTGATGAATTACTCAGGTGAAAGGGGATTACACACTCATCTTTCCTTCTCTGTAGTCTATATTAATAATTATTTGATTACTAGTAGGATTCTAGCACATATTTCTTCCCTAACCTGGCAAGAACTTTTATTTAGAAATGCTTGAGACTAAAGAATTCATGTTGAACTAACATTCCAAATTTCTAGTAGAACTAATAGAAAGTAGATAATATAGAAGAATAAAGAAGAAAGTTTGTTAATCAAAAAGTTGCTACAGTTGTTTTTCTGTTTATACTATACACATTCTTTTTGTGGTTAATAAAATGAATAATGTGTATTACTGTAATGTGAGGTTAGAGTTCATATTCTGCTTATTTCTGTGACATAAATTTTCAGCTCACAAGTTCTACAGTCGCCATGTGAAGTTATTTGAAAGTGCTGAAGAATTGGTAGTGATGGAAGCTCTACACAAATTGTATACTCGTACTGAAGTGATCAGCTGTAAGGAAGCCATGGAGTTTAGGTAAAGCCTGAAGTCTACCCATTAATAAGCACAGGGGCTGACACATTATATCCTACTCCATGTCAGGGACTGGCTGTATTATAGGACAATAAAAACACATTTATTGGTAGTTGTACTGAACAGAATTATTTATATGGGTGGGCTTATTACCAGGCATAGACTAAATTGTTAATAGATTATTGTGGATTGTGGCAGTGTTCTTTGTTTCAAAGAATTCTACATACATATACCAAAAAATGTTCAAAACTATTAAAGTTCACCAAAAGTAGCCATATTCTTGTCTATTTACTGCAAATTTGACATTTTTTCAATCCCAATTTCAAAAAAAAAAGTTCTAAGCTAATAAATTTTGCAGATTGAATGCTCCAGAGAACACAGTGAATGTGAATGGTGTGCTAACAGTATCTTTTTTTTAATTTAAATCTGATAAAATAATTGTTACCAGATTTTACTTGGGACAGAAATGATGATGTATCTTAAGATTCCTTTTTTAACTTCACAGATAAAAATTGTTTGTCATGGGACAAGTCATGATAAAATTCATAGTTCTTTAGTCCTTATTTAACTTATTAAATCAAATTATAGTGGGTGTTTTTTTCCAAGGCTGATTTTAAGAATTGTGTACAAAGAAACCCCATACCATTTTGTATATCCTAACGAAATTGATACATAGTTTTACTTGAAGATTTCCAATCTGATCTTCCACAGAGAACACAAGTTTAAAGTTTGTCTATCACAAGAGGCCTTGGACTACCTGATGAAATACCTCAAGGTTCGTACAAAGCATATGAAGAGGGTCCTGCACTGATTTCCAAATTTGAGACATTTTACCTACCTCACCTTAGATAAAATGAATATATTATACATCTTATCTGAAATGGAAACAACTGCAAGATTCTTTTTCTCACATAACTTACATACTATTTCATGAAAACAGTATCTTATTAGTCTGATATAAAATCTTGATTTGGGAATTATCATGCAATATCATTTTCTTTAGTGACATTAGAAAAATCAATGCACATATATGCATGGCGCCAATAAGCTTTAAAATTACTTTCAAAACAAGCTGAATTTTCAGCCAATCACAGCTCTGTTAGGTAAAAGATGATTTTAAACAGGGTAGTTATGTGATGGGTGTTATCACACTGGTAACAAGGTAGTAATGTAATGGATGCTGTTACACTGATTACAGAGTAGTTAGATGGTTATTAATATTCTGATAACAGGGTAGTTATGCAATGGAGTTTTTTTACACCGGTAACGGTAGATATGTGATGGATGTTATTACACTGATAACAGGGTAGATATGTGATGGGTGTTATTACACTGATAACAGGGTAGATATGTGATGGGTGTTATTACACTGATAACAGGGTAGATATGTGATGGACATTATTACACTGATAACAGGGTAGTTATGTGATGGGTGTTATTACACTGATAACAGGGTAGATATGTGATGGACATTATTACACTGATAACAGGGTAGTTATGTGATGGGTGTTATTACACTGATAACAGGGTAGATATGTGTTGGGTGTTATTACACTGATAACATGGTAGATATGTGATGGGTGTTATTACACTGATAACAGGGTAGATATGTGATGGGTGTTATTACACTGATAACAGGGTAGATATGTGATGGGTGTTATTACACTGATAACAGGGTAGATATGTGATGGGTGTTATTACACTGATAACAGGGTAGATATGTGATGGACATTATTACACTGATAACAGGGTAGTTATGTGATGGGTGTTATTACACTGATAACAGGGTAGATATGTGTTGGGTGTTATTACACTGATAACATGGTAGATATGTGATGGATGTTATTACACTGATAACAGGGTAGATATGTGTTGGGTGTTATTACACTGATAACATGGTAGATATGTGATGGGTGTTATTGCACTGATAACAGGGTAGTTATGTGATGGGTGTTATCACACTGGTAACAAGGTAGTTATGTGATGTGCGTTATCACACTGATTACAGGATAGATATGTGATGGATGTTATTACACTGATAACAGGGTAGATATGTGATGGGTGTTATTACACTGATAACAGGGTAGTTATGTGATGGATATTTTTACCCTGATAACAGAGTATTTAGATGGTGGGTGTTATTACCCTGATAACAGAGTATTTAGATGGTGGGTGTTATTACCCTGATAACAGAGTATTTAGATGGTGGGTGTTATTACCCTGATAACAGAGTATTTAGATGGTGGGTGTTATTACCCTGATAACAGAGTATTTAGATGGTGGGTGTTATTACCCTGATAACAGGGTATTTAGATGGTGGGTGATATCACACTGATAACAGAGTATTTAGATGGTGGGTGATATCACACTGATAACAGAGTATTTAGATGGTGGGTGTTATTACCCTGATAACAGAGTATTTAGATGGTGGGTGTTATTACCCTGATAACAGAGTATTTAGATGGTGGGTAATAGTTATTTGATAATTACTCTTATTATTTCAAACTCCCCATGAAAATTGGTTCAAAAATAGACTTTAAAGTGCTTATCAAATTATTACTTAAATTTACATTCTCAGTCATTTAATTCTTGTTGTTACTATACAAAAATTGTATTTAGTATACCAAAATAGAAAACCAACTGCAAACGGCAAAACAACATGTCAGAATATGATATTATTTACATTGTTTTCAGGTTGACGACAACATGATGTTATTACAAATTTTCAATCAACATTTAAAAGTTGAAGGTAAGTGTAATGAAATTAAATTTATTCTCGGGTTCACCTATCAGTTTTTCACTGGGAACTTGGGGATGGAGGACTTAAATTTTGCATTGTGTCTGTCCTTCCCTCTGACTTTCTGTCCTTCCATCCATGTCCTTGCTCTCTCTCCTACACTACTTTTCACTTGAACTTTATACTTGGGGCAAAGGTTCACTTTGATCAGCTGATATGTTTTTTATCAAAAGTACAAGGTCACTCTAACCTACATTTTAACTTTTGAACTACATCAAGGAAAAAAATTGTCTCTTGGTCATCTGTCCTTCATTACTAGTCACTAGAACTTAATACTTAGTGAAAGGGGGCACCTTGGTGTGGCTGTGGGTGGCTGGGGGACTGTTATTTATGGAATTGTCTTGCTCTGTTTTAAATACCGGTACATGAAGAAGGGGATGGTGTTTCAAAAAGAAAAATATTGTATATATATGTACGTATACTTTCTTGTGATATGTATTGAACTTTTAATAAAAGCATCATTGTACACTATAAGGAATTAGATGATGATGAAATTGTGTAAATTATTTGTTTTTAGTATCAAAAGAAGACCAGCGTACACTTGACCTTAAAGAGAATTCGAATGACAAGCATGAGTCAGGTGGTAACGAGAGAAAACGGCCTACAGATATAGTGAGATTACTTCAACAATGCATAAAACAAGTGCGTGAAGGACCACCTTGTATGTCCTCCATATGTTTCTACACTTTTCTCAATGCCTATCAAGGGTAAGTATGATGGGAACACCTGAGCACATGTATGTCCTCAACGTTTCTTCAACACCTATCATAGGAAAGTATTACAGGGACACCTGTATGTCCTCAACGTTTCTTCAACACCTATCATAGGAAAGTATTACAGGGACACCTGTATGTCCTCAATGTTTCTTCAACACCTATCATAGGAAAGTATTACAGGAACACCTGTATGTCCTCAACACTTCTTCAACACCTATCATAGGAAAGTATTACAGGAACACCTGTATGTCCTCAACACTTCTTCAACACCTATCAGAGGAAAGTCTTACAAGGACACCTGTATGTCCTCATCGCATATTAGAGGGAAGTATTAAAAGCACGCCTGTATGTGCTATGACAGATTTGAAAGTATATCCTCCACTGTTTATATAACTTACTCAACACCAGCCCACTTCAAAAATAATAGGTACCACCAGGTTTCTCCACTATATAATACGCTGATATCTTTTCAGAACACTTCGTGCTCAGGTTTACACTATTCACTTAATACTGTGGCATTTTTCTGCTTCATAATCATCATTGCAATCATTTATTTCCATCTGGTATTATGGAATTGTACCAAGTTATTGATTCTTACGCAATATCACAGTATCAATTCTTTGAAATGTTCGTGTTATATTTTGTGTAGGCTGTGTACAGTTGACATATCACCAGACAGGACACTTTTAAGTGCTGGGTTTGAGGATTCATCTGTGAAATTGTGGAGCATTACACCTGGCCTTATACAGTCCTACAAAACACCAACAGATCCCTCCAAGCTGTACTTGTCTGCTGACTTCTGGACTTCAGAGTCATCATGTGATGACGACGAGGACGGAGATCGAGAAGACAGCAATGAGGACATGTAGGATGCTTTAAAACACATTCTGCTGTTTATGTCAAATTCTAGTCAAACATAATGATTTTTTTCCTCTCATTCAAGGCTTGTGAACATGACATTCTTTGCTTAAAATTACTACATTTTAAAGAACCCGAACTGCTGTCCTGCACTTATAAAAAAAATTCTTTAGTTTCGTTTGCCGAGTTTATCAGCCCATGAATACCTAGGGTCTTTTTGAGGAATTTAGAGTTTGGAGCTTCATATTCACTACACACTTTATATGTGTGTGATATTTAGGTAATGGATACCCACCACTAATATATTTGTAAATCTCTGGTCTGTCATTTGTCACTTCAAAATGTTTCATACTGTAATTATCTCCCCTTTACAGGAAGCCCCAGTACCGTGAGGTGGCAACACTGAGAGCTCACAATGGTTCTGTATACAAGACTTGCTTCAGTGCTGATTCCAAAGCTTTACTCTCATGTTCAGAAGATGGATCAGGTCTCTACCATAATGCCTTATTCTACTGATATAAAATGAACGTTCTCTATCAAAATTGTAGCAACTTTATTCAAAATTAAAGTTCTCAAAAACAAGACATCCAACTATTTAAAAACTGTTTACAAACTTTTATTTGCTATCATGGTTGTTGATAAAGATTTCCTTGGATATATTTGGAAAAGTCTTGTAAAAAAAAAGGTGGGGGGGGGGGGAATAAACATTCATGGAATACAGATACTGTCATTAAAACGCCTGTAATATATATATTTGAAAAGTATTAAATCAAGGCTACCAGTTAAGTCTGTATGTCTACAGTATTTCATCACAAAAAGACTTGGTGTGGTTCACAGTATTCATGTTAGAATGTTACATTACAGTACGTCTCTGGGACCTGAAAACTCACACCAACAAAGTCTGTTACAGAGGTCACAATTACCCTGTGTGGGACATTGACACCAGGTAGGTCAAACCTAGCAGTACATGTGAAAACATTAACTGTCACTTAGAATTATAAATCCGGTATCTTTTTCTTTTGTTTTATCAAAATATTAAGAATTGTTGAAGACACTCTCTGTGTATAGTCTTAGAAAATAAATATGAATTTCAAAATTTTGCTTTATTAATTGGTTTTTATCAATTTTTTGGTTCATTATTGCAGTTCAATTGGAAATTACTTTGCGTCAGCATCAAAGGACAATACTGCCAAATTATGGGTCACTGACCGCACTTATCCATTGAGGTCATTCATCGGTCATTCCTATGATGTGGATGTGAGTAGCAACATTAGTTCATAAATATTGGTGTTTCTATACACACTTATTGTTGTAAATCAGTATGAAGGATTATAGATAAAATTAAAACACTATACTGGTGCACAATAAAAGTCGTTTTTCAGGGATTCATTTTATAATTATTTTATCACTAAACCAGAGAAGCTTTTCGTACAATGTTAAGAATTTGAACATTCCAGATATATCAAACTTTACCGTAGATCAGAATGGAGTTACGTAATAGAACAAAGACTAGAATATTTTATGTACATCAGGTCGTCAATGTCTCTTTTGCTAACAATTTCTTGGAGGGTTTTGAATAACATTTCATATCTGTTGGGTTGTCGATGATTTCTCTTTGTTTTATTCAGAAGGTTAGATACAATTATAGCACATAAAAATTTAAAACAAGAATTAATTTGTCTCGTAATTTTTTAATTCAGTGTGTCAAGTTCCATCCCAACTGTAACTACTTAGCAACGGGCTCCAGTGACCGGACTGTCCGATTGTGGAGTCTCCAGGATGGGAAGTCTGTCCGACTGATGCAGGGACACCGTAGCTCTGTACTTGCCCTGGCATTCTCACCCAATGGACAGTACCTGGCCTCTGCAGGTAAGATATGTTGTTCGGCATTGTAACACTCCCAGAACTACAAGTCAAAGTTCTAACTATCATCCTATAATTGTCTTCTGATAACTTGTTACCACAAATATCCACACTACATGCATGTAAAGTTTTTGTGAAGTTAATCATAATATAACTGATAAACTTCAGTAAACAAAGACATGGCTTTCCTGCTACTTGTTAAGTACATACTAATTGTGTGTAAAATGTACTGTATGTTCTATATACTGTTGTAGAATTTAGACTGTTATGTCTTGGAAGATGCATGCTGTAGTGGCTGTTATCATATGTTTACTAATACATGTGGTTACAATGTTTTTGTATGTTTGATAAGTTTGAAATTTCCACAAGTTGATATCAGCCTGGTTGATATCACATTCCTATGTTTGATGAGTCTGAAATTTCCACGATTCAGCACCTGTGACTTCACACCCCTTGGAGTGATAGACACCCATTTGAAAGTGATAACACATCCCTAGAAAGTGATATTATATCCCATCCAAAATTTTTGGTTTTGGCCCCTTGCACTTATTATTTTCTGTTTATGTAAACAAATTGTTGGCATGAGGTAATTGCAATGGAAAATAATTAATGGTTGATTTAGAAAGTTGCAGGGTAATGATTCAATAATGCTAACACTAACAATCATAATCAGACATCCAAATATCCATGGATTATGGACCAGGGGATTACTTGAAATTAAATTCCATGCAAATCTATTTTTACAGTGAAACAATGTTGAGACATATGCAAAGTATGAGATACACAAAAAATATTCACCCGGCATGATTTCTTAACTCACATATTGCTTGTAGAAATGTTCGTAAGCAACTCCTTGAATTATGTAATTAAAACCTTTGACAGATGTAAGTACATGTAATTTGTGTGATTTGTGCAGGTGATGATCGTAGGATTCGGGTGTGGGACCTCACCTCTGGAAACATTTACAAGGAATTAAAAGGACACATAGACACAATACACTGTCTAAGCTTCAACAGAGATAGTACCCTGCTGGCTTCAGGTAACAGTGTTTACATATGTTGGTACATCACTTTACACTTGTAGTTGGAAACTGATATTTTGTATATGAGGTTTAACTGTCCCATCCTGAAAAAAAATTTTGGACATGTTTTGGACTTACACTTCTCTAATAGTATTCAATAAACTGTTGTTGAAATACATCAAATGTCAAGCTATATCTGAGGTGAGCTTTGCTATTCTGCAACAGCTTTTGTTATTAATTGCTGTGAATAGAGAATTGCAAAGTATCATAAAACCACATTCTACACCTAATCAGATTCTGTTTTACATCATGTTATATAGACATCTTCTAGTTTGTTATTAGATATCCAATAGAATTAATGAACTGATGGAGTTTGTGCTACTCCTATGTGTTTCTATTTGTTTAGGCTGATGATACTAACTTTCCTTTTTCTATTTCTACACTTTTGCTTCCTGTTATATTACAAGAGTGACAAAACAGCTGGATGATACACAATTATAGTCATTGTTAGACATATATACAGTTAGCATGTAACTGGCCTGTAAACAGTGAATTTGTAATAATTTTGCTCATATGACACGTGTAATATACCTTGTAGTATTGGCAACACCAGTCAGAAATTGATGGTGTCATCACAATACGGACCAAGGACATCACCAAGGATTGTGAAAAGAAAAAACCCACTTCTGTGATTTGTTTCATAAAATCTCATCTATATCAGTCAACTCCTTGTAAATGTGCTAATAATAACCCCAGCAAAATGTACTGGAGTTTCTGTAGAACTACAAAAAATCAGACTGTTCTGTGAAAAGCCCAGCCCCCAAACCCTTATGAATCAACGATTAAGGTGTTGTCTTCCTGTGAGATAAATACAGTATTATTGTCAACATGATTTTGTTTATCTGATGACAGGTGGCCTCGACTGTTGTATAAAGATCTGGGACATACGAAAAGGTGTTAGTTTGAGTAACAACATCAACAACAACAACAGCAATAACAACAACCCGTAAGTATACGCAGTGGTCCCAGATATTCTACATTTTAATTACCTCCCCTGGTGTTGAGTAACATATTGTCAGAGCTATGTTGTAGTGTGCTTTTAACTACCTTTTTAGGCTTCCATCAGTTGTCTTACAATTTTTGTATAAAGAAAGCATTTAATGAAACAATTGTTGTATAGATTTTAGTCAAGTTTTGTCGGTAGCTGCTTTATTTCATGTGGATCAAACAGTACACACACAAGTAACTGACTCTCCTAACAGAGGGATAGGATCAGAAACATATGTGTTTCAAACAAAATTGATATAAATCTATGCATTAATGATTTTTGGCAGTATTATGCTAAGCTATAGATATTTAGAAAATTTGTACCGAAAGAAAAGGGCTGACACCCCTGCTTTCCGATGGGCTTGTTAAGATATTTCAAACTGGCTAATCTGCTCAAGTAACATCTATGAATTAATAAGCATGTTTCAAGTAAATTGTTCAAGTTGTATTGACAGCCCATCACGATAGAAAAAATCCTTATGTACAAATAAAATCAAATTTATTTTTAACCCAAGTTAAGTAGCTCCTTATTCTTTTGTGGTCTGTATCTAAACAGAGCCAAGACGTTATAACCTTTTTGAGAGATGATAGGCAAGTTCAGTGCAGTTCTATTGGTGTTTACTTACAGTGACTCCTTTTCCCTTATTGCTGTGCTAGATTGTGTTGATAGCATCCTAAGGTTGAACAGGACTTGTGAAGTTGTACACAAGTACATGGTATATCCTTCCTTTTGTTTTCAGATCTGATGGCAGCATTTCTCCAGAACAATTAGGATCATTTCCAACAAAGTCAGCAATAGTGACATATTTACAGTTTGCACAACATAATCTTCTATATGCTGCTGGCAGCATTTGAGAAGTGACAACATAAATATTTTCAAGATGTTACATTGTGGTTTGAATAACAAACTCAGCACAATAAATTCTGCCAAAACATTTTGTACTACCAGAAGATGCCATTTAATTGCAATCTCAAGGGACTGTTATATAAATATATGGCCCCACATTAAAGTATTAACAAGGAAGAATTGTTAGTGAGATTTTCTTAACCTTTTTTATTGCATTATGATTGTGTTAAGTTTGATTAAGTGAGTGAATGAGTAAGTAAGTCAGTCGGTAAGTCATTGAAATGGGACAGAGAGAGCAAGTGGATGTATCATAGTGTATTTCTTAGATTCATGAATGGATTCACAAATGTGATAGTACAGTATACAAGATACAAAACTGGCATACTAAATTGTTACTTATTTTTGAAAATATGAATTTTGACATTCTGCATCAGCTGTCATGTTTATTTATCCCCAAATAGAATGAAATGAGGGAAACTCTGGAAGATTAGAATGAAATTTTCATGAATTTAAAACTTTTAGACAGGATTTAATTGGATATATCATCAATCAAAGAGTATGTTTTCAAAGGGGCTAAAAGGTTAGATCTCATAATTTTTTCCCCATGCGTTTGATATGTAATACATAAAATTAGACTCTTCACAAATTTATAACACTCACTGACAGAAGAATAAAGGTCAGCTTCTAACTAACACTGGTCTACCCTCACTGTTTTGAGCAGAGATTGCCGAGTTCATCAAGTGACCTTTCTGAGCCTCGTTTGAATAAAACGGTTATGCAAACTTTAAAATATTATAATTAACGGAAAGTATACAATTTTCAACAGATATTTAAATGTTATAATGCTTTTTATCAGTTATGAAATGAATATCTAACCATTTAGTCCCTTGAAGAAAATTGTTTACCATAATCTTAAACTGTGTGATATTCTTATTTAATCCTATTTCTGAAAAGTGAAAATGATTTACAATTTACATACAGGAAGAGCGAGGATGCATTAATAGATCAATTTAACAGTCAGTACTGGGTAGCTATGCAGTAAAATTTATGAAATGAAATCAGATTATTTTAACAGAATGTCACTAACATTGTGTATACCTTTTGTATTTTCATGTTATCAATAAATACAAAAATGAAAGATGTGTATTTTATCACCTTTTCCAGTCATCTTAACTGTTGATGATTTCATGTAAAAAGTTGAAACTGTTGGACAGTTTGAACCTTTAAGAAAAACACCAGGTACAGAAATGGACTGAGGCTGGACTGCAGAAAATTTGGCATGTGCAGTTTTAGGGGTTTCAGCCTACCTGTCTGACACTTACTTTCTGAACATCATTGGTTTTCAAAATTTCAGGGAGTGCATGCATATGTTTTTCAAAAGGTTATGCTATTAAGTGTAAGTTTAAATGGACAATATTTCATTTTTGGGTTCATCAGTTTTATATTTGACAGGAAATTCTGTAACTACATTTTCAGCTTTACATATTTCAGTACCAACATTCAGTACAAGTGGGTTCATTTATCATTCCAGGCCATCTGAATTGTACTGAACTGGTGTATGGGAAATGGCCTGTATGTTGTACAATAATTAATGAAGTGTTATTTGAAGTAAAATATTGTTACACACTGAATTTGTGGCAAGAAAGTTTGTTGGAAGAAACCTAACAAAGTTAGTGAATTTAAATGACCTTGTCACATTAGTCAAATTCTTAAAATACTCTGCTTTTGATTAACCAATTGACTTAGATATTCTTTTATAAGTGAGTGATAAAAATTGTTAGAGGAAATATTGCTGTATAAATTGGTAGAAATAAAGGAGCCTCATAAATTATATTTGAAAATTATGCAAATCTATTGGCTTATACCATCCAGGGGTAGAGGGTCAGAACTCAAAACGACTATCATTCAGTTTCAATAACAACTGATCAACTCTGTAAATTCATGTAGCTAACCTAACTGACCGAAAAGCAGTGAAGTTTATCTAGTAAAAAATTGAGCCCTAGACAATACGCAGACTATCAAGGTCTTGCCTATATATCGACAGACTATTAAGCCCTGAACAATAATACTCTAACAGAATAACAAGCCCTGGACAATATATCAGCAGGCTAAAGAGCCCCAGTCATATGTTTCAACAGGCAATCAAGACCTGTACAATACTTTATCTTAAGCCCTTGACCATATTATACCAACAGGCTATGTGAGCCTTGAACAATTCACCAACAGGTATCAATCCAAAAAAATACTGATCATGATGTACATCAGCTAAGACTGATAAAGAACAAAAACCCAACGTTGAGATAATTATATAACTTTATTATGATAAAGCTCTGATTGTCACTTGGAATGTTATTGTGTAAATGGGACTAAATAGGATTGGTGTAAAATCACATCCTTCAGAAGGCTTGTTGTAACATCATATTCATTTTGACATATATTATCAAAAACACAATTTCTCTTTTTTGACACACTTCATAACCTGAACAACTTACACAAATTAAACCATTACTGGAACAGCTTACAAATGTGTTTAAAAATATTAATGTTTCTGATGAGTTTTTTAAAAAATTAATTCAAAGTCTTTTCTGTTCTGGTCCAATAATCTTGATTACTTATATACTCCATATGCATGTGGGAGTATTACAGCTTACTTCGGGTGATTCAATGACAGAACAAACTTGTTCTTATTGGGTATGAAGTATGTCAATTCATCACACCTGAATGGTTCCACTATATCAATTTGATACCCTTACAAAACTGAAGCAACCTACATTGTACATGTTATACTCCAAAAGATCTGTCAATTAGACAGGACAGACGTCTAAGAAACTAGATCCTTACTAGTAAGGACAGCAGTGCCATAATGGAACCAATCAAATGGAATCCAAATGTATTCACAATAAATGATACTTGGTAACTATGTTTGCCATTTTTCTTCTGATCAAATGGTTATGTTTAATAAATTCATGGTGAGAAAACATTGCTTTGACTAATAAACAGAGATTTACAGTTTGTATATGTAGAATTACATAAAATATATTCATACTAAGGAAGTCTTTGAAAAAATAATCTGTTTGAAAACCTTAACATGTCAATTTATGGATGCATTTGGATTCCAATACTTAAATCTTAACAAGATCACACTGTAATTTCTTTTCTTATTCCTTACAATCTCACAAATAATTTCTTTTCAGTGATTTTCTTACCAATCATAAAAGAGGGACTAAGTCCCAATGGCACATACATGTTTATAGATTTACTGCAAAGGGTCAAATCACATATAATTAACATAGGCAGGATCACTTGTTACCAAAAATTTTTTCAACTTTTTTTTCTGATCGATGATAAAAATGGCAAACAAATTGCCTTGCACTGATAAGTGCACAAAATATCACAGAGTACAAGCGTTGCCATAACCACTGAGTGGGTTTACAAGTATTAAAAGGGAGAAAGTAAACTCCTGAGAGAAATAAATATAAACTTGTATAACAGTACATAGATAGCTGCTGCATTGACCCATAGTTTGCAGTAAATGGTTTAAAAAATACAAGCAATAACAAGAGTGCAATATTAAATATTGTGTAAATGAAACAAAAACACCAATATGACTAGTTGTACACAAACTCGATGAAAAACAATAAAGGTATGATCAAGAATGTATGTGTACTTATATGACAAAGTACTGGTATGTCAACATGGTGTGAAGATCACAAGTATCTGTTTGGAACAACATCCCAAGGTTAAGTAAACAACATCACAAAATTTGTCACAAGGATGTGCCAAAGCAAAATAAAAGGACCTGCTTTAAACCTGTAATTTAAAACAAGATCACAAGGATCAGCTGAAATTATAATATGTATCTACTATCAAGAAATAGTTACAACTCCACATTCTAGATTAAAAAGGGTTTCATAAATCAAACTAGCAAAATCTAAAACACAAATCACTAAAATAAAGATATAATTATGATGCTTAATACATTAGTGTTAGCAGATATCAGGAGAGAATATAGAATTGTGAGGAAATCACAGGCTGATCAAAAAGGAAATTGTTTTATGTGTAGTTTGGTTATAATTATCACATTTTAATGTCGTCTACAAAACAAAACTTTATAAATCTTTATTTCTCCTGTTACCATTTAACACAAATGAGCTTATTTACACAACTGTTTAAAATGAAAGCAAATTAAAATCAAATACATGATGAAATATTATAAGTATTTAATACAAATTCTGATTAAAAAGGTTACCAATTAATAAAATGCAAACTGATACCAAATAATAACAGAATGTGAAAAAATAAACAGAAAAAATTAGGAAATTTACACTAAGCACTAGCTCTACAAATGATGAAATCGTATAATCAAGCTATACTTTAAAATAGAAAAATTATCAAACCCACCACCAAATCATATCAATAAACTTCAAATGAATTCAAGTTGTGCCAGGAAAAAAATGTTGCTTTACTTAGCACTATGTCTCCTTTCCCTCAAAACGAAATATTTCCACTAGCATGTTTTTTTTTCCTGGCAAACTAGAACACAAATATCTTTTAACATTGGTTTCGAACTGATAACATGTGACTACTTGCCAACCAGATTTTTTTCCTTTCATTCTTCACATGGCAAGAGATATGCATTATGAAATCATCTGCAATTCTTTTCAACATTTATTTAACGTATCAGACATGCGATTTGAACAGCAAAATCAACAACTTCATAAATTAGCGGACACTCCTGATTGAAATGATATGATTTCTTAAGAAATTATTTGCCCATTGATTTTCCAATTCTAATAGTTCTTCATTCTTAATATTACTAACAACCCTAACTGACTAGTCATACCTTGATTTTTTTGTTTTGTTCATCGATCATAAACAAATCCATAATTGGTATAATACTTCAAGCTGATTGTAACAATCTAAACATCATCTTCATGAATAATTTCTCTATATACTAATGGGTCATAACTCTAAAGTCCAATTTCAACTTCAAACACTTTTGGGGAAATAGTACTAGGATGCATTAGGCATTGTTCTCATTTAGCTAAAAATGTCTAAAATGATAACTTAACTGCAACTTACATTTTTTGCTCTGTTATTTCAACAGAAAATGGCAATGGCAACATTTATTATGCAACGTTTTAAGGAGAAAAAACAACTACATGTAAATTGACCAGATAGCTTATGGCAAGAAACATCACAAAAATATTGTTTTTATAAAGAGACATACCACAGTAATAAAACAAATGTACATTAGTAGTATGCACTTGAAGTAGAAGTATATTTAAAACAATTACCATTTCTGAGAGAAAAAAAATGTTATTAAAAGAAAAATTAAAATCATACATATGTATTAATTACATATAACAACCATTGCTTGCTTGGCTTTTTTTCAACAAGATCAGAAAACAAAACACCAGAAATGAGCCCTGTTACAAAACTCTGCAATGGAATGCAACTTCTGGAAATTTTCTTATTTTGTTTACAAACTCCAAGCAACTGTGATATAATCTAATATTAAGCTTAACAATAATGAATTTTTTATCAAATTCTGGAAAGACATATTCCTGATATCATATAAATGTTCTTAAGTCAGTATAATATAGCACACTTCAAGATTTCTTGCAAAAAATTTAACAAGTCAAAATATTGTTTTTCACTTTCAAAAAATAAATTGAAATTCTTGTTACATATAGACAAACCTAAATTCAGAGTTTTGTTGAATGACTTAAAACTATCTTTGTATTAAAGCAGAAAAAAATTGAAAGGCTTTGAAATGTTCTTGTATCGTATATTTACTTGTATATCATAATGCCAATGAAAATACAGCTTCAGCATTAAATCGCTTCTGCTTTGGCACACAAAAAAAAGTGAATCTACAATGGTATTGATGAAAATTGACTTAAATCACAACCTATAATTTACTTTTCAAGTGGCAAATAGTACCACTTTAATGTTGTATGAATGTGATAGTTCTATCGATTAAGATATTCATTAGGAGTGTAAAACTTCTACTTGTCTTAAAAAAAGACTCAAAAACAATCACTAAATAAATGTTCAAAAGAACAACTTTCAGCAGACACAGTTCAATTGCTTGCATGCAAATTTGATTTCCACTTCTCACCGTAGTCAAAAAACAAAACCAAAAAAATCCTCTCTCACTTGTGTCTGTACAAAACAGCAAATATAAAAAAAGGAAAATACACTGTGAATATTGAGCACCATTTGTCATGGAAATGTCTAGGAACTTGCACTCCATATTTCCAAATCTTGATTTAGGTTCCAGGGCATTGGATTGTAGAGTGAAAGGCTGTAAAACGTGTACCTCTATTTTATGACACAGTACACAAATTGCCTTCAACAGTTAATTCAGACAATTTTCAAAGTCAATTTTTCAAACTGACTATATTTGTTGGAACTGAACAGTGGTATACACCAAAATCAGCATAGTTTGTATCTTATTCTATTGCAAAATGACCTTTTCAATGATCTTATCAATCTGCTGTTAAGTGAAAGGCACTTTGGTCACAGGTGACATGACTGGATAAACAAGATTAATGGTATACCACAGTGAAGTGTTGAGATAACATGCATATAAAGCATACTGGTAGTAAATAGTTTCTCGTTGTTAAATGAGTTAACTCAAATAATGTCCATCCTATGAAGTGTGTATAATGAACACAAATATAATATATATGTAAATAGTAACATTCTAAAACAGCTCAAGGGGGAACAAAGACAGAAAAATAAAAATTTAAAAAAAAGAAAGGAAAATGTGAACGTCGCTGCTCAGACTGCTCAGTGTTCACATAGTTGCATATGGTGTGGCTGCTCCAAAGTCATAAGGAACTGTAATCAACAAAATATTGAGAAACATATAAATTTTCAGAAAAAAATTAATTACAGGTTTTCAAGAAATACAATGAGGAAGAGTATGCAACTTCCATGGCCAATGTTCAACATCCCAACAAGATATATCATTTAGACATACATTTTGTAATCTATAAAGTTTGATGTGTTTAAGGGTCATTAATATTTGCCTGGCAGTTTCTTATAAATTTGGTAACATTTTGAAAACCTGACAACACTTTTGATTGACCTCAACTAATATAGCAAATGTACCTTCAGTACACATGGTCTTATTCTTGTATTTTTCAAGGGTCTCCAAGTAAAATTTTTCCTTGTTCACAACATTTTTGCGTCTAAAGTAGGATTTCCTTCACATGTTCATGTTTTTATGTTATTTTCAAGGTTTCAGTTTTGTTAGATTTTTGAAAACATACAATCTGGAGATGGAAGCTAAAGTTCTTTAAATATGTGCACTTTATTCATCTAGCCAAGCATTTACAACTATAATATCACCTTACAAATATTGCAATTTTATTCAATGAATCCATCATTCTTTTTGCCATTCACTTGGGGTTTTAATAATTCAACAAATTTCAAGAAGTCGATTCTGTATCAGAAACAGTTAATATGGTAAGGGTATTAACACTCTTAGGAAAACCAGCTTTATCAAAAGAATATTTTCCAAGTTTTCTTTTACCTGTCTTCAAATGATAATTAAGTCTGCAATGCTTACTATAAAGCATAATCTGTACCTGGAAAATTACATGATTTCCAGGCAAAACTAAAGCAAAAAGTAGACAACCTGATTCAGAATCAATGAAAATGTTTATGTAGTATGCGAGTAATTTTTCAGTCCAGAGTTCAACATTCCAGGATTACTGTAACTTATGATTCAATTCACCACAAGATTTGTAAATGTGTTTAAAATCTGAAAATTAAATAATAATTTCAAATCCTATTTAAGAAAATTTATATCCTTTGAATAGTTGCAATGATTCAATCACTATATTTATAAAGCTGGAATGTTCTCTGTACTTATGCAGTTGTGTCATGAAGAAGCGAAAGAAAAGTAGAGATACAGTAGAACTATGGAAGTCTGAAACTTCATTTCCAAATTTTACAATTTATAAAATCATTTCAACAAGAGAAATTCAGACTATCATTCCAGTGCCATTTTCCTTGTCAGACAGACTGCCATAGAAAAAGTATGGCACCTTTTGGGATTGTCAAGTGTTTCCAGTCTTGAATCTAGATGAAAATTGCCGAATATAACTTTTGCAACAAGATGTTTTTATCATCATATGAAGAATAAGTGATCATGTAAATCATGATAATCAAGCTCAAGTTTCACAGAAGAAATTACTGAACAGTTCCAAAATTCAGACTCCTCATTATACAAGTGCTCTTGACCTTTAACAGTTCTGAGTACCAGGTACTTAGACAACAATGCTATATACCTTGTAGAATTGAGAGTAACTGATTAGGGAAATGTTTCATGAGACACTACCTAGCTTTGTGGCATCATTGAAGCCATCTATGATTTTCTATAAAAAGTAAAACTGATCTTGACACCCAATTATGTAATGTCATAGCTGACCTTTGTGTCAAGTTTTATCAAATCCTTAAGAGATGAGATTACTGTAGACAAGTATCTAAATGATTTTCTTTGAATAATAAATGTCCCATTAATCTGAAGGAAAATGTCTTCTGGAAAATGCTTTTTAAAATATGGCTATTCATTTAAACAATTCAGATAAATGTAGATGAATATTAGTTTGTTTCTAATGGAAAAGAAGAAATCAGACTGAAATTGAAAAGTAATAATGTGGCTCCACTTATCAAGCATGCAGCTGACAAATCTTACTCTGTGTTGGTAGTGGTGGAGGTGGCATCTTTCCGTGAGCTACCACATACGAGGGTGGAGCACTGGTCACTACTGGCATGGAGGAGGCATATGTGAGAGCTGACGCACCATTAGTCAGGGGATAAGAAGGTCCAATAGGTCTTCCCTGATACAGGTTGGGAGCGAGATTGGCAACCTCAGAACCTGCGTGGGAGTTGTGATATATTGCTAGTATGGCAGCACACAGTCTTAGGTGATATCAAAACTTGTGCATGCATTTGGATAGTTGTGGATCATGAGGGCACATCAATAACCCTCCCACCGCCATTATTTTATCTTGGCCATTGGCCTAATTCTAATGTGAACATATTTTAACTAAACTGATAGAGATACGTCAATCTAACGATTCCTCTATGGTTGATTATCAAAAACCACACATGTTCTTTAACATTCCGTTTTGCTTCTCCTTCCTGGTTCAGATAATACTTTAAATCTTTAAAAATCGATTGGGCTTGCCAAGTCAAACATTTGAAGGCCTGATTTATTACTTAGGCTGACACAAAGAAGCTACATTCAATCCTTGATGCAACCTTCCCTTTACACACGTTGATTTGAGAACCCATGCTAGTTCCACCACTGATCTTGCAGCAAAAACATGCACAAACTTGAAAGATCAAATAAAGATATTAAAAAAAAAAAAAAACGTATAGAAATTATCAACAAGCAAATGCACTAAAAACTAAACCTGACACCATCAAACCTTAATGTCATATGTAATTAAAGACTTATATTGCAAACGTTTTAGAATTCCATATCTGTTCATATGAGTTGATCAAAGACTACTAATTATGTTACTTAAAAAAATAAATATACCTAAGTGAATAAAATGAAAACCAAATAAGTTTTCTACAAAAAAAGGAAACTAAGAAATTAAATTAGAAATTTGAATATTATGTTTATTTTTACATTTTATTTTTAAAATTATTATTTCTTTTTTCACCACAACTTCAAGCTTAGTTGAAAGTTCTAGATAAATACTATTAAATGCTATGTACTATTTTTCTGTAGATTTATACTCTGGAGAAATACGAAGCTGAAGCTCACATCACAACACATCAGATGAAATGAATATGAAATAATGAATGATTTGAAAATGACCAATATCTTCATATAGCACTATGATGTATGTAAGTGCACAACATCTCCAACATCAATCTTTATCAACTTTCATCAACAATTATACTGAGGTAAACTCTTTGGCCCATAAACATCTATTCCTCTGCAGCAATATCACTGATTAATGTTACTTGATTATTCTTTCATAGGCCAACTCCCTGACCTCGAGTCAGAATTTGTATGCTGACCCCTTCGTTTTTCCATATTGCAGCATCCAATATATCTACTGGTATGCTGATTTCAGTTTTCTGGTTGGAGATATTGCGTGGCTCTAATATAAGTAGTACACACCATCTTTCATAACTTCATATCAAGTATTTCTAAAATTAACTTTACCTAACATTAAGCTACAGAAATGTATACAAGGACTAGCAGCACTATATCAAACCTTGGCACACTTAAGCAAAATCCTGACAAAAGGTCAACCAATGCAAAGTTTACTTTATAAATATCCACTATCACATATTTAGGTTTTAGATAGTAAATAGTGGATACTATAGGTGATAATAATCATACCCAATCAAGAGGACCTACAAGCACACTGATCAGTGACCTAAAATCAAACCTGTCACTTTATAAATGAATCTAAACAAACCTTCAAAAGGCATCCCTAGTTGTGACATAACAAATTCTGCAGCAAAATTCTTGGCCTCCTCCACATTTCTGCAGAGTTTGTTGGGCTGGAAAGGAGTTGCTCCAATGGCTGGAATAGTAACCTGTTAAAACAAACACATCAATTGATTATACAGTATTACTTGTGAGGAAAATGTTTCTTTTATCCATTACTTACAATCTATCATTGCCTTTGGTCTTTTTTGTACAAACCATTAAAAGCACTGTTGATAACGGATGGTATTAATATTCACTTTTTTTCCATTAAAAGATATTTAAAATAATAATAGAAGATTGAAATACATTTTTTTTTATTCATATGGTTTCCATCAAAACACAATCAATCAGAAAGTAGTTTCTTCCTTAAAGAAATTTTCTTTCTTTTCTAAGAACATCATAAAATATCTTTTTTGTTTTTTAAATACTGAAACATGCTTTGAAAAAAGAACAATGTTTCAATATCATAAGCATCTTTATTCATTTCCACTTCACATTTGTTTGAATCTTCTCTAAAAATTCACATAAGACAACAAAACATACAAACAAAAAAACAAAGTGTCACAAAATGAAAAACAAAAAACACTGAATGACTAAGCATTTGATCTTTTTCATGTATCAAAGTATGAATTCTTTTACCAATACAACACTTCTACATTTTTGTAATATAAGATATTTTGTAATTAAATGTGCAATGAACCTAAGCCTTAATTTTCACTAGAAACACATTTGTATTCAGCTTAGCATCAAGTAAAATTGAGAGATCTCCCATGAAAATGAGGTAGACCAGAAACAAGCTTATCCATGCAGTCACATGTAGGTGCATGCCAGTGAATACTAGGACAAGTGACCGTCTTACAGATAACAGCCAATATGTGGTAGGATATTGACAGACAAGTCCTGATATCAAGCTTAAACATTCCAGGTGTGTAAAACAGGTAAAAGGCAAGGTGTGTTGATCTTACAAGATAAAGTGTCCTAGTTTCTCTCCACTACAATATCATATAGCAAAATATATAAAAGCAAAGCAAAAGCCTCTTCAAAACAATCGCAGATCAACTTGATGATTTATACCTGTGCATCAACTTTGTTACAGTATATTGTGACATTATTTTTCCTTCTTGTTAGTAAGCTTTTGTATTGATCATTAATTTTATTTCAAGCATCAATCTGTAAGAGTGACAATGATGTATCACTTTAACAAATCTGTCAAATAATTGGACACCATGCACAATGTTGCAAAACTTTTCATTATAGGAATTAGTGTCCTTTTGTATAACTGTGTTCATTATAAATAGAAATGTGATAACATAATGATTATCCCTGATTACTAAAGAGTTCAAGCAAATAATTTAAGAATCTTGTTTCAAGGTTATAGTTTAATCTGCTGGGACAATGTTTAACACAGCATCACACTGCTGACCTCTGCTGATAACCCAATTCTTTTCCTGACAGGTAGTCTTTCCCTGACAGGTCTCTTCACCTAATATGTAAATCCTCTTATCTCCCAAAAGCCAGCAACTAATCTTTATCTCTGACATAGATGCACCACTTGAAACAAAATTGTTTTTATGAAAAATGCTACCAATGATCATGTCTCACATGTACCTTTATCTATTGATAATCAGTATCAAAGTGTCAGTACCATAACTAACTTAGGCTACACACATCAGGGATAACCAGGTATAGAGATGTATTATTTGTAATATATTTATTCTTGCAATACTTTGACAGGGCTCTCGATCTGCCAGATTTTGGGCCGAATACCCAACGCAAAATAGTATCTTTTTTTCCCAATTTAGACTCGAAGTTTTCCCAATTCTAAGGAAAACACCATTATTTTTCCCAATTCTAAGGGCCCCGGGCCCCAGTCCCAAAATGGGGTGTGAGAGCCCTGTTTGATTATACTGAAATAGTTTTCTTAATGGAGGTTACTTTACTGTAAATTTCATGTAATTATGATTGTTTTCTTCCACTGAAAAATTCTGATGTAAATTTCAGTACAAGTAATATTTCGGAAATGAAAAGCAAAACACTTCAGCATTGATTTTTGATGGAATTAACTAATGCAATATCTTTATACACTAAGACATTTCTGTTATAAATAAAAGATGATGACAGCAGGTAAGAAACTTATGAAACATTGGATTTTGAACCAGCTCAAAACAAACAATAGCCCAATCAACTACCTTGTACATCTTCTATCCAGAGAGTGCTGAGGACAATACAAGATATGCTTTACTACAAGGGCTGATTGACAAGTTGTTAGCCTCATATTTCAGGGTTTGACTTTTGGCAAGTATATTGCATTATTTTTCTACAGAATCCCCTTCAGTATCTACACACTTTTGCCACCAATGTTTAAGGACCTCAATGCAAATTTTAAAGAAGTCCTTGTGGGTACAGAAAATGGCCTTTTTCAATACAGAGATAGATGAGAGTCTGATGGAGCAAGATCTGGTGAATAAGGTGGATGTTCAACCAATTCAAAGCCAAAATTGTTAATGACAGCCATGGCAATGACCGACTTGTGAACAGGGACATATTTTATATTTATATTTTCTCTTAACTCCCTAAAAAGTGATGCATAATATGTGCCATCTTGCAAGATCTTCCATAAGAATGGAATGTATACTTTCCTATGAAATCTCTCTTGTACTGGCTATATATCTCTCTCTGTAAATTGACTGTCAAGCATAACAATATCATGGTCTTTATTGACCATTTCTGGGGTTGCAACAGGGAATGTCCGTCATTCAGGGAAAAAAATAAGAACAATATGTAAGAATGAATTATTTCCTGTTATACATATTCTGATGCCTGTACTGGAAAAAGTAGTGCAGCATACAGTTTTTTGCTTTTAATCTACTTTCTAGGATCAGACCTTTGAAAAAATCATCATCAGAAAAAAAGTTTAATAATGGAATTTTTTTACTTCTCAGAGGATTCCACCACCCACTTTTTCACTATAGCATATGAAAGGGCACCATTCCCTAGTGTTGATACCATATCAGTATGGATATCCTTAGGTGCTAGACCTTTCTTGTGCAAATATTGAATCACTGCACTTTCAGCGATTTTTCTCCATTTTGCAAAAGTCACTTGCCTTGTTTACTTTAGAGTGCTACATCTTTTACATAAACTAACCAAATGACACCAGTCATCACGTACACAGCCCTAAATAGTCAGAGAATAGTATGGCTGAAAAAGGACATCTGTGCTTAACTTCTTCAATACAAGGCTCACAACTTATCAATCAGTCTTCTTACATTACTATTGTGAACTTTGTATGCCATAATGTCTATCTATGATAAAATCCTTCTGGATACAGACTTTGTCTTTTTATGATAAAATCCTTCAGACGTCAGCCTTAATGTACAACTAAGGGGATGTTACATCTCTATTTCCAATTATGATTATCTTGGATATTGTTTGACAAAAAAGCAAGAAATTTTTAGCCAAACATCAAGCTAAAAATATGCTCAGGGTTCAGAGTAAATCTCTTGAGCCATTCTCAAGTTGGAGCTGGTTATCGAAGATCAACATGTTTTAATTTTAAGGACAATGATAAATGTGTGACCATATTTCATATGCTAAAACCAAGTAAGCAAAAAGCACTTTCAACATTCTCAGTTTTCATTACAGCTTAGCTGCTAGTATCAGAATCCATTCAATAGATCTAATGTGCTACCGTAACACCAATCACAAGTTCATGCAAAAGCACAGGCAAAACATGAAACTGCAAAGCATGCATTAAAAACATTACAGAAAACCTCCTGTCACTTCGAATAGGCATATAGTTTAAACACATGATTTTTTCAATAAAAACAATAATTTTCTGTCTAGTGATAGTTCAAATCCTTGCTAGTTTGTTTCACAAGGCTGCACATATTACTATTACATAAAGGCATTGGCTTCACAATAATCATTCCATGTGGTTACTCTTCACATTGACATTAAACACTATGGGTAGGAAACTGTAAAATAACCATCATAAGCGATTGATATTCAGATTAAACACATACATCAGTAAATAGGCCTATATATGCACTATGGGATGCCCCCCCCCCCCCTCCCCCCTCCACCTCCAGAAAGTGTTTTTTCAAAGAACAACATTGTTTCACATTACATTTTGGTAAGATAATCACGTCAAGACTGTCCCAATATTTGTAAGATTCATAAAGATTTTAACAAACATTAATCTGTGGTCATATGAGGTCTAAATCCACTCTGCATACTGATATGTCAATGCTAACTTCAGCCAATACACTAGAAGAAATGTGTTTTTTAAGGGCATGTTTCTTCGATAGTGTATCCATAACTATATGAAGATAAAAATGAAACTGGTTTTTTCTTTACAGTCCATTAATATGTTTTGCTGTACAGTAAGTGTCAACCCCTCAGTAAAATTGCCATTTCCAACCAGTTTTCTGCCCTGCTTGGACATTTTCAGACACTTCTTCCTAATTTTGGGCAATGCTGACCCTGATAGTTCAAACTGATTTATTTCCACAAGCATAATTTCGTATAATTTGAACAGGTTCAATAATATTTAATTAATTTTGTTCGAAATGACTGAAAGTTTACCATACCAGGAAATCGTGTTTGAAAAGAAACATTCTTTTCCAGCTTCTTGTCATCAACAACACAACACACATACACATTAACTATATTCTATAAGCTTTTATCGAGAAAGCAATTTTGGCCTGGATGCATGATTGAACTAATCATATATCAGAGCCCTGAATTTCAAAACTTTTCATCAATGATGATTTCATCAAAGCACAGTACACGACAGTGTTATTTGTAGTACCAGAGGTATATTCCACAAGGTATCAAAATATTAATACAAAAGCTTTTGTAAAGGTAGGCTATCATCAGGTTGTATGAAATATTGATCAGCTCAAGGCAAACATGATTCTTTTTCTACAAAATGATAAAAAAAAAAAAAAAAAAAGCCAATAAAATCAAAATGAACCCTGAAAACAAACACTTGGAACAACAAGGCTCTGCATCAGGACAGTTACTAAACTAAATATATTATAATAGACACTTAACCTTATATAAAAACAGCTGCATTTCTGCATTCATTGCAGAATGTAGTTGATATGTAGGGGTGCCCCAAGCATTCTTCTGACAAATCTCCTCCAGGACCTGTAATAGTCAACAACCATTCATCTCTTGAACCGAACAGCATAATATGCAAAAGCAAATCTGAACAGATTCTAGCATTTCAATGCAGATGTTTCTTGTTAATAATCATGAACACTCTACTGACAAGTACACTTTTAACTATAAAAAATTATAGTAAATACAAGTTTTATTTCATCAATTGAGAGTTTTATTAATTCTCAGAAGAAATTTTAATTTTAAATGACAGATGGAGCATAACTTTGGCGAAATTTTTACAAGAGGAACTTCACATGTAAAGTTTTGTAAAAATGAGGTACAGAGTATTATGTTTGTGAAATGCCTTAGCAAAGTGATGCTCCATTGCCCAATAACAAGATCTTATTCTTTTGGCATACCTTTCATCAAATGTGAGTAACAGTATTTCCTGAGGTACGTTTTACAAAATAATGCATTAACCATTGACTGAATATCACAAAACATTTTGCCCTTATCCAAATTCAATACCCAGTTTGATAAAAGTATTAATAAATTGATCACTGATAATTCTGTAATTTGCTACTGCATGTAAATGAGCACAGTATATTTTTTCAATAGCAAATCAGAGTCTTGAATGCTGCTCTACAAGATGGGAAGACACTATTAGAAGCCATGCATTGCAAGATGCCTTTTTCAGAAGTATGATTCAGCGCTTATGATCTATCTTATCATGGTCCTTTTGGAAACTAACCTTGTATCTTCAAATTTGGGAAATAACAAACAAACTTTCACAGACTAATGTCTATGCCAGATGATGGTGACATCATTTTAATGCATTTTCTGAAATCTTGACCACTAATTTTTTCAATGAATTCTAAACTTGGCTTTCTCTGGGAACTTTATGGGTCTGACAGTGCAGTCACAATACTGATTATCTAATTCTTGAAATAATTCCAAATATTATTTTGAAGAACTTGCATCCCAATCAGTCAAATACAACAAAAAAAAAAAAAAATAGTAAAAGTCAAAATAGCCCCATTGCAAAGCAATCCTACTTTATTTTTTACATCAATAAGCCAGGAATGGTAACACTAATAATTTTCTTTTTTCAATTTCTTATCACCTTTTATAATTTGAAAGTTATTTCAGAAACACCATGCAACCAAACAGCCATAAATTCAACCAATTGAAAATAACATTTTTTTTATTATCAAACGTGGTAATTGGTACCAATATATATCAATTGGTCCTTTAGTAAACTCCAAATTGAATACATAAACTGGGAGTATATATCTTGTAGTTGCCTGAAATAAATACTTAAATACTAAGCCGGTTAACTTTTTACATTTCTACAGTGCTTTCACAGCTCTACAGGCAGATATTGGTAAATGCAATAATACCTGAACTGGTGTTTTGACAGTTTGAGGTTTAAGTGTGACAGGGTTAGTGGGTGTCAATTCCATGCCAGGCAAAATGTCGTAAAGACGGTCCTACAGACAGGAGTGAAAAGTCAAGTCAATTTCAATAGAAAGTTTGCAGGTTTGCAGTTACCATTTGCCATTTTCACATATATAGGAATTGTCATAATATTCTATCTTATCAACACAATTAAGAACTGAAGAAAGTGATAAAACCATTAACCAATGTCATTTTAAATGCATAACAAAGAAAACAATATATTATAAATTTTGGTTAAGTTGGTTAAGCAATAAAAATTTCAAATTAACAACATGCAAATAAGAACAAGAGAAAGAAGAACAAAATGTTAATTGTGCATCCTTTCATCCAAACAAGCTAGTGTACAATGCCATTGTTACTATCACAAGTTGATTATAATCATAAAAAAAACAATTTGTTTTCCTTTTCATTACTTCTGAAATTATTTGTACAGTGATGTACAGCAGCCTGAAAAGATTCAGAATTTGTCAATACTTTTGTGTTTTTTCTTTCAAATATAAAGCAAATTATTATCTTTGCAATAACTGTGAATGTGCGAAGATACACCTAAGTAGAGAAACAAAATTCTAAAAGAAGGCACAAGAATATATCAACTCAGTAATTGACAGAGATCATGCATTTTAGATTGGTTAATTGAATATGTAGAAACTCACCTCAGTAGCATATTTCCTGTAAGTTCCCCTCCCTAAGAAGTTGTATCCTCCATGTGTGCTTCCTCCTCGCATGCCTGCTGAACCTCGTCCACGCCCTCGCAGTGCACCACGTATCCCTACAGCAGTACGACCCTGAAATCCTGCCCCCCTATAAAGAAAACAAAATGAAATTCACATTTACTTTTGTGAAAAAAGTATACAGTATTTCACAGTATAGAAGCAATAGAGTTTACAATTTCCAAATGTTTATATTTCAATTCCCCACCTCCCCCCCGCCCCTCTGAGATTTAACTAAAGATTAACATGACATTCATAATTACTAGTAAGGAATTCTCATTTGAAGATGTGGGGAAAAAAATGTTTTTGATCACCAATGGAGGTTATATTTTGACTAGAACACATCTCTTTAAAGGGAAATACAGAAAACCAAGCATACCTCCCTCCTGCACCAACTGTTCCAGAATAGGCCTGACCATACATAGCATTTGTTGCAGCAGCCTCTCCAAATACATTGAATTGAGCATAAGCCTGCAAGGTACAAAACTTACCACATATAACAACATATTATGAAAAAGGTGGAACATAGGTTGCTGGATTTTGTAACCTTACAGTAAAAAAGAAGATTTAATTATTGCCAGAATAGGGCCAAAATGATGACTTTAAATATTTATATATAGACAAGAAAAGCACTAATAATATGCTTCAAAAGGTACAAAAAAGTTACTGATGTACATGTATATATATATATATATATTGGTTATAATTCATTATGGTCACTCATCTTCACATGATCTTGAATTCAAAAAAAAAGAAATTTGTGAACCATAAACTAAAATATTCCAACAAAGAAATAAAAAGTTGTGAACAAAATGAGAAACATTAACAAGTGAACAGTAATTTCATTATGTCTGACAATGTTTTCATTATTTCACTCATGTGACAAGCTCATATACTTGACAAAATCTGAAACGCTCATTTGTATGGCACTTGACCTCTATGCTGATATATCCCCTTTATTCTGGCTAATATACTCAAGGAATAAAGAAACGTAGGGTAGACTTTGAATATGAATCTAGACAAGACCTCGAGTATAATGTTCAATATTTTTATGCAAGAATGAATATTAATCAATACAGAACTGCAAAATCAACCATTTGTATCTTGTAAGTGATTTAGGAGTAATTGAAGGGAATTGAAAGAGAACTCTGTAATCTGAAATTGAAATGGATTTATTGTGTGAGCTGGCTAGTCATTACTGGGTATGTCCCCAATTCGCTTTCTCCACAGCCCTGATTCTCCTATGAATGGAGTTCATGAGAGAGTTTATCCTCCTCATTGGGATGTTTGCCCATTCTTCTCAGTTGGGCCAGAGTAACAGGGAGGCAGGCGTCTTTGAACCTGTCTATCCAGCTAGTTCCACAAGTGCTCAATAGGTTGGGGCTGTATGGCAGTCAGTCCAGAGGGTGGACATTGTTGTTAGTGATAAAGTCGCAACAGATCCTCACTACATGAAGCCAAACATTATCCTGCAGGAATGTGAAGTTGTTTTACTGCAAGAATGGGACAATATGGGGTCGAAGGATCTCATCTCTATACCTAGCGGCAGTTAAATTGTCTGTACCACAACAAGTGATGATTTAACTCCATGTGAAATTCCTCCCCACATCATAACCAATCCATCCTCAAACCTATCCGTCTCTACTACCCAGCAGTTGGCAAAACATTCTCCACAACATCAGTATACACGAAGTTGACCATCTGCACGAAACAGGGTGAACCAGGACTCATCAGTAAACAGACCCGCCTTCACTGCCTCAATGGGAATATTCTGGTGGCATACAACACTTGCGAGGCGCAGTGGTAAGGGGTAGACCTAATAATGGGTGACATTCCCGAACACTTCTTGCACTCATTTCCTTACAGTTTTTGCATGAATAGGATAGTATTGAGTACCTATGGTACGAAGGGCAGATTCATTGGCAGTAAGGTGCCGATTGCGCAAGTGCCTAAGATGGAAAAAACCTCTCCTGACGTTGTGATATCACGCAGGGACGCCCAGACCTAGCAACCCGCCCAGTTCCCTTTAGATGTCTAACAAGACTTTCTATGGTGCAAATATGGACATCGAAATGTCTGGCAACCTGTATTTGCCTTTGACCTTGCATAATCATCGCAATGGTCTGACCCCTCTGAAGTTCTGTCAGCTATGCCATTGTTTAATGCTATCAGCAAAATAATCAAACTATTGGAAAATAATGTGTCTCTATGAAGACTGCCTTAAGGTATGATGAACAGCGCAACTCAATGTCACAACACTGCTGTGCACGAGATTTTCCCGGGTTTTTTTTTATACAGGACCATATGCACTGTAACCTAGAGAGTTGCGTGACTAATTTTCATTGTTTTGAACAATGCGTTCACAAGATATTGCAAATAATGTCACCCTGCATTTATTTATCCCTTAAGTATACAAAATAGTTAATGGTTTTTTTAATTATGAACACAAAAGGGTTTTTTTCAAACATATTCAATATATTTTTAATAGATTCATCTTTTCGACTTCTTCAGCAGATTAGGGTCATTAATTTGAAAACTCCATCCAAGACCACATTCATGGTAAAAAACTAAGTGAATAGGTTTGTCATTATAGTCCCGATAGTGAATCAATTAAATTAATCTGAAGAAATTTTGATAGCAATTCATTCAAATATATTAGTGTAAACAATAGTTTATTCAATGATAAGCATTTAAATACAGACAGGTACATTTAGTCTTATGGGATGGGAAAACAACTTATATTTATTCCTTTCCCTTATATATATTCCCAAATATATTACTAATGAAATAGTTCTCCCTGTCATTTAATTTTCAAAAGAAATTTTGTTTTAAGAAAATGTTATCAGGGGAAAGCAAAATAGCATAAGCTGGGTGAACTAGAATTGCTTGCAAGGAAGATACCAAAAAGCTTGTTCTATGACATCATACACAATATAATTTTCTTGAAAATCTTTGAATCTGAATTAGCCTTTGTTTGCCACACAAAGTTTGACACTGTATACAGATATATTCTAAATAGCATTGTGAGAATTTGCGACATATATCAAATATGTAGATCTATCCACTATAACTATACTTGAATACCAGTATAAACAAATATGAGCTGGTGTTAGTAAGGAACTCATATCTGCAAAACGTGTTCATTTTACTTGACAAACCAAAGCTTTGCCATTGCCTAAGATAATAAACAAAGCTCTGCCATTGCCTAAGTTAATAAATAAATAAATGAAATATCTCACTAGCCAGGTCCATATATTTTTGTACTAACAATAATAAAAAACTATGATAATCATCAACAATTTCAGAACATTCTATAAACAAAAATCAACAAACTTTATACAAAACAACAACATAATGGAAAAAGAGTAAATAACCTGATGTAGGTATTGCATTGAACAATCACCATCTTCTGCACCATCCTAATAAAGCAACAAGCTTTAACAATTCAAAAACCATAACATAATATTTTGGATTATAGTGAATATCTTAATATATTACAACAAAAGATATAGCTAAACATGAATTACACTTTTGCATGCAGACTAATTTCAAGGAGAATTTTATTAAAACGTTAGGTTATCAGTTATTAAGTATTAGATGGTCCGAGGACTTTGCTGATGCAACATGACAAAATTTCCAGAAATGTTAAATACATATTACCTAAAATAGTGATGTATCACTTTTAAGCGAAATAAAAAAAATAAACATTAATGTGAAAACAGGAAACATCAAAGAAATTCATCTGCATTTCAATTGTGTTGTCTTTTTGCTGATACAGATGCTGTAAAGCAATATTTCATTTGTAACTAACATATCAACCAAAAGCAAATTTCTAGCTGTATGCATGAGTGAAACCATTCTCACCAGGGATTACATCATGCTAAAGGTTTGATGACCATGCCAAATTACGATTGCCTCTCTTAAATTTTGGAAGCCAAATCCACAATAACCACCTTTTCTTATTCTGATCAGTCCCAAAATCAAACAGGCACAACTAGGGACCAATGGAAACCTACAATCTAACTTCTCCAGAGATAGTAAATACAAAATTGTTCAAGGACAGACAGATGACAGCTGAACTACAGACATAGCGTAATTTGAAAAGTGTAACATCTGATGGTGGTCAGCTAATAAATAGCAGATGGTTCACCAAGAGAAAAACACATTACCTCTTGCATAGCAGTTTTCCCTCGAGCATACATCCTGTAGTCATTTTTGTCCACTGGTTTTGCAAGTACAACTTCAAGGCATGATCCTTCTAAACTGCTCCCTTCATTCAAACAAATATTACACATATTTCAAACCATTTCAGTATGTAGATTATATAAAAAATTTCAACATTTTTTCTAGGAACTATAAAATACATCTAACTGTATATATCATATTGCTATAACCTGTGGTGTCATTTATCAGGTATAATTTTTTTTGAGAAAAAAATAAAAATTCATACAAAATATGAAAACATGCAAATAATGCAAGTGATATTTCATTCTGGTATCAAAGTGAACCATTATTAAGCATAAGACAGGGTCAATTATACTAGTTGTATAATCAGAATGGACAGTAAAGTAAAAATTTTGTTCTTTGTTCAAGAACAGCTTGCCACAAACACTTTAATCTAGGATCCAACAACAATTATAAAATGGCTTTACCATTAGTAGCCTTTATGGCCTTCAGAGCATCACCCCTGTCTTTAAAATGTACAAATGCATAGTCTCGCATTTTCTTCACCCTCTCAATGCTGTTTTCATTACCACATGCTTTTGCAAAATACTGCTGAATAGTTTCTTCTGTTGTATTAAGCATGAGGTTCCTCACATAAAGAATCCGAACCTAGAAAATAAGAGAATTTGCAATGATACATCAATTAATACTTGTTTTGTCACTATACATGTTCCAATAACCCTAAAATCAAAATAAGTAAGATGCCAGTTACCAGGTATCAAGAAGTCGTACATGCCCTAATTCTTAAACTGACAAAAATTTGCTGAAAATTAGCCATAACTCTTAATCTAATCTCATTATTTTATCTCATAATAATTTCTAGCTCTTTTTTCTTCCCCCAAATCTGCATATATACATGATTAAATATGAAATGGTACACTTTTGAAGTTGCTGAAATTTGTAGTATTGTATCAAGAAAGGTTATGCTATTGTAGCAAAAATTTATACAAATGTTTGTCTATGTCTTTTTTTCTGACAATTTTCCAACTTTATGTAGAAAATGTTTGATGAGCCAGGACTGAATAGAATGGGAACATCCCTGGATATGTAAGCATACTATGAAACTCAAAAGCATCCTAGCTCTTATTACAGACCTAGAGGATTTTCTCCTTCAAAACCAGTGCATCCTGGCAAATCTAAGGATGTACCCAACCTTTTGGAAAGTAATTTACTAATGCTTTAATGACTTTTTTCTTGCTGTATGCACTACATTTATCTGTGAATTTCAAATTTTGTTCCACTTAATGCCATAAGATTATCTTTTGGCAAATTTACCAGTTACATGCATGTATCGTGGTCATAATTAAAGACTACTGTATTTTGTAGTGCTTTACATCTATCAGGGATTACTCTGATGAAAGATCTAGGAATTTTTATCTATGTTTTTGCTGAAGTATTGAATTTCCAAAAAATGTGCAAAAATTACATTGGATTCCCCTTTCTCCAAAACCCTGAAGTCCTTCCATAACATTTATGGCCCCAAATTACACTTGTATATGTCAGGCAGTAATGGGATTGAGTGCAGCATAATGATACCAGGTAACTCTGCAAAGCTGGCACTCATTACCAGCTCCAAAATTCTAACTGAAAACAATTGGCTGGCAATAGTTTATTCAATTGATCAGGGTTTTGAAGCATTGCAAATATGAACTGTAAACCAACTTTCTTTCAAGAATTAAATTGCCATGAATTAAAACAAAAAAAGAAGACCAATTTTCATAATTGCTTTATAATCGTGATTATTTATCTTATGAGCGGTCACATTGCTGTCTAAACAAAATCAAAAGATGCCTGATAGATTTGAAAGTTAATTAGACTGGTCTATAACTCTGGGTAAGAAGATGTCAAATGTCTGGTCACTACTGACCCATGTCCTTCAAATAGTCTATGGTATAAAGCTCACCAGTTTTGGCCAAATCAGTGACTGGATATGGGCTTTGGGTTCCCTTAGGAGATTAAACAAAGACTGACTGTACTTCGAATTTTACAATGATGGCTAAGAATTCATGAAAGTAAACTGCCGTGACCTTGTTGTATTAATGAAATTACAAATAAAAGTAAATGCAAAAAACTAGTTTACAGATATCATAAAAGAAATAAACAGACATTTTCAACATCAGCATGATGCTAGCACGATACTTTTTCTTTTTTCACAAAACAACTTCCTATTGTGTTAATCAGTTTCCATTTCGTTAAAATACAGACTAGATCGTTCAGGGTTATTTCAATTGTTTTGAAATGGCCTGCCAAATCCTCCAATCTGAACCCAATACAACTCATTCGAGAGGTTATCATAAGCATTGAACGAGGAGTGGAACACCATCCCAGCTCACATCATTTGACCATATCCAGGCTCTATGTGCCAATAGTGGTCACATAAGTTACTAACACTATTCTTAGAGACAAGACTACCACGTCTTGTACGTCACATGAAATCACTGAACCATAACAGATTTAGGCCAGCATTTTGCTATCCAAAACCAGACCTCCTACTGAATCATTTGACCCCTCATTTACCATAATTCACTGAAACCTGATAGCTGTCATCAATACTAATCTTAATAACCTTTTCCCATTTGTATATATGCTTTTTGAGTTGGTAACAAAAAGGATTAAAATAATATAAGTCATCTGTGCCTCATTTCATAGATTCACTTAATACACTGTCAGTGGGAAGTATGATTATTAATGATAAACCATAACTTCACAAATATCAGGAAGAAGAGGGTCTACACTAACTCAAGCAAATCGGGGGTTGGATGGAATAGGGGATGTGCACAGGGCAAGTTGTATTTCTTAAGAAAGAAAGAATTTTTTAAACACAACACGACTGAAATTCTTCGCTTGAAAATTAAGCATGGCAGATATAGAAGTTAGTAAGAATTATTCTGGTATTCTATCAATTTTCATACATATGCTTGAAGTAGATTAACATCAGAACTCTGTCCCTATAGAAAGTGACGGAAATTAACTCAAGACATATCTTTCTTCATAATTGAATAAAAGCAATTTATCATATTTTGCCTATTATTGACAGATAATACATAATGCAATGAAAAACTAAATATCACAATATCCAACATGATACTTTTAAGCTGCCATTAAGATTATTCATCTACGAAAACTAAAGTGCCATTGTCTTTTTCATTTCTAATCATCAACAAGACACAGTGTTAATTAATCAAGGCCATGCCATTGCATCAATAGTCCCTTTTCTTGGCTATTCAATCATTGCAATTTTAACTTACTGCTGGTAACGATAGGCTGATTATCATATTTTATAACTGATTGTTGATCGATCATGGTTATTCTGATTTCGATCAGATCAAATTAAATTGAGCACAACCAATCATTAGTAAAAACATGTGAAAGCAACTTCTGTGTTTTTTTAACTCATGTGCTACCCAGAGGAAGGCACTACCGACACTGTTTGGTCAGTATGGCAGACACTTACTACCGATGAAGGGAAGGTGTGAACGACACACTTACTATAGTATTGAACAAAGTATTGATACTATTGTATTGAAGTATTCAAATAATCGAGTCAAGTATACAACGACCTGTGATTGGTCGGGGGCGGATTCTGATTTCTGAATTTGTTCAGGCGGAGTCACCAAGTTACATAACAATTGTAATTGCTGGGAAAATGTCAACGGCAACAGTACAAAATTTTCTACGTCAGATTGACCCAGGGTTGGTGAAATATGCATCTTAATACCTTGCGATATTTAGCTGGTAACGATAGGCTGATTATCATATTTTATAACTGATTGTTGATCGATCATGGTTATTCTGATTTCAATCAGATCAAATTAAATTGAGCACAACCAATCATTAGTAAAAACATGTGAAAGCAACTTCTGTGTTTTTTTAACTCATGTGCTACCCAGAGGAAGGCACTACCGACACTGTTTGGTCAGTATGGCAGACACTTAACCAAATGTATTCGGCAACCAAAAGGTAGCCAAGATGCATGAAAAGCAAAATTCTTCAACACTAGTTATGTCTAAGTATACCAACAAGCTAAATATATAGCAATCCTTGTTTTTGTCACATTTGTTTAGATAGTATTGCAAACAACGAGAATGTGAAAATATTTCAATTAGGTAATGAATAGTAATCGGTTATAATTGGTAAAAGTCACATCGATAGCATCAAATGTCGATAACAGTTGTTGACAAATTGTTTTCAAATGATGTCCAAACACGAACTGCTGGTCCATCTGGCACATTCGGACACATTAGGTTTATCTTATTTGATGTGGTTAAACCTTGTCATGCTAATTTTCTTAATTGATGATTTATGTGCATAGCTAACAGCATTATCACTTGGCAAATCAACTTGATTTGAGTTGTTTCATCAGTCAGCTTCGGTGAAAGTGTTGGATTTTGAAGAAATTAATCTAGCCCATTGTCACACTTAAGATAAATTGAAAAAAATCAAAGCAATTGTAACAGACTTTTTTTACATGGACTTGGAATGGCGGCAGTTGCTAAACACCTGTCATACACTAAATACTAATATATGTTTATTCATTTCATTGTCATAACTGTGTTACATATTAAGTTCTGTTTTGTTCAATTTACTTACTCACTGTAACTTAAGCTGGCAAGATTATGTTTAAAAAAAAACCAAACACACACACACAATTCAAATGACAAATTTACCAATATATAATTATCTTTTTGTTTTTAATGCTGAAGCTAATCCTGAATTGAATTCTGGAGATGCCCTTAATTTCTAAACTTCATCGGAAAAAAACTTCACAAGAAATGAGTCAACCAATAATATTTGAACTGGTCATAAGAATAATTAATGCTTGCATTCATTATTACAATACTTATTCCCGACGTTTTTCACCAAGTTCAAATACATATCGAGGGTAATAAACCAAACATTTCCTCAGTAAAATCACATCATTTGTGCAATGGTTTCAAGAAATGAAATACTGGGTTTCAAAAAACTTTACAAAACCATTGGCAAGTTATATGCAAATTAATAAACCTTTCCTTATGCATTGACAAAGAACTGGTACTTGGGGAGAACAGGTTGATAACTAGTATTGGTGTTCCATCTCTTGACGAGTACAAATTCTTGCCAAAATGCAAGAAAAGTAAATTTATATATTAAACACCGAGAATGGGTACCTGGTGAGATTAAGGTTAGCGAAAGATAGCTTTATAATATGAAAAATCATTTGTCGAAATTCATTGCGCCAAGCTCAGATTAATTCCTGTTGCCTTTAACAAGAATCCATTACAACATGTTTTTAACATATAATTCATATATACATTTTGTGACAAAATGAAGACTTCAATAAGATGCAATGTTTTAAAGACAATGAAAACTTTGAGCCTTGTAATTATGAAAAGTTAACCTAATTTGACTATTATTAACATGATATGGCCTACATACGAAATGAGAGGATATCTGTGTGACTAAATTATGAAATTTACATCTTTTATGACAAACGACACTAACTTTCGACATGGTGTCTTCGTCCACATCTTGTTCTGGTTCAGCCCAGTCTACCGCTATCTGATGTCCCCAAAGCTGAATCCGTCCTGGAATAAGTTTTCTCCTGGCCATGGCAGCTGCTCTGTGACTTTCGTACTCCACAAATGCAAATCCCCTATTTTTAGTCTTGTCCACAACACTTGGATAAACTATCACGTCTGTAACTCCCTCGGTTACCTTTTTCATCTCTTGAAGAATTTCTTCTCTACCTTTCGTTTTTGGAATACCCCCAACGAACAATCTACAATTGTCAACTGAAATACACACACCTAGCAGACGACCCTTTCGGATTTCGAAATTATTCATTTCACGGACACATTTTTGTGCGTCACTTCTGTTTGTGTACATGACAAATGCATAACCTCTGTTGCTTCCTGAAAAATCCATCATTAATCTCAACTCATATATTTTACCTATCTTTTCAAAAACAGGTACAAGTTCATCCTCATAGCAATCGCGGGGAATTTTCCCCACGAAAACTTCACATCCCCGCGAAGGTGCTTGTCCTTCCCATTTTGGTGGGGGTCCATATTTTCTCTGGCCATTTTCCTGCATCATTGGATATCCCGTCTTTTCCATCAGTTTTAACAAGTTAGCCTCATTTGGGGCACCAACGACTCCCTGCTTTTCCTCCATGATGTGTCGTTGTTAGTTAATCAGACCTATCGCCATATGCTTTAGCAGATTATAGCAGACGGTCCTGTTATCTGACCAAGGGTGAAAGGTTGACTGCACATGCGCGCAAGGTACCCCGAAATCTCACGTGCCAGATAACAGTACACCAACTTTCCCGTGGTTGGTGGAGAGTTCGCACACGTGACAACAAGTGACAGTCGGCATTAAGATCAAAGCAAACACTTACCTGTAGATTTATGATAGTTAGCTAAACTTAGTTTACGACTCTACCTTATCGGTGTAGCAGGGTATACCGTAGTTTATGTTTTACTATACTCTACAAGTAATATTTACTTCTAATGAAAGCAATGCAATAACAGGAAATCATATCACACTAATCAGTTTCGTTGATCATCATAGTTAAGATATAATTCATGTATATATCTTCACTAGATGCTATGTTTATAATAGCAGTGTTATAATCGTGAAAAAGAGAAGACAAAACGTGTGAATCCTGCACTCTCTCTCTAATAATCTAGTCAAATCACCGCTATAAACACATACTATATTCTAAACTGATTTAACCGTTAACATCCACGTGCAAATTGCCTGTACTAAGGATTTACTGTCTTTGTTTATTCTCAAATAAAATGACAGATAGCGAATGGCCTTAAACGGCTAATAAAAATAGTATTATATGAGTAACACAGAGGATTGCATTCCATCCAGAGACATACATGTTGAATGATCCCATCCCAGAGATTTGACCCAGTTCACACTGCCAATATTGACCGTGACGTTTGATCAACAGAGACGAGTTTTATGTGGACGCTTTTGTGTACACATTAGGCATATTATTAGGCAGATCACAGTCTGTACAGTGTATTAGGTCATTTTATTGTTTATAAATGATTCACGATCCAAATATATGACACAGAAAAATCATTCAATTCTAAGGTGTAAATAGAAAAAAATGCTTTAAACAACACCTATATTATACTAACCAGACTTCCGCTATAATTGCACCATTTTAGATAGTGATCGTTTTAATGTTAATATAACCAACTCTCCAAATCGTGCATACGGTTATTTCAATGAAAATGCCCCTCATTTATTTTACATATGTAATAGATTAAATGATCAGAGATTACAGATGTTCCGAAACCTTCAAAGACTTTTGTCCCTAACTTTAAATCGAGGAATTATTGTTTGGTAATGAAAATTACAATTATAATTAATCAGAATGATAACGGTTTGTAGGATTAAGACAACTATCGTGAGACTAATGACAAACACTGCTGATGTAACTGTTTAAAACAAAATACTGCCTGAGTTTCGATGGAGTTTTCAAAAAATATTTTTGAACGTAACACACTATGACTGGCAACACTGAAAATCATACCCCAAATACGACCAATCGAACCTTAAGAGGAAAATTTACAATTCAACATCTACATTAAAATGTTACTTAAACCCAATGTTACCATTGTATATCAGAACAACCACTAGACGATGTGCTTGCTCAAGAAGGATGTTTTCTGACCCATGGTAACTGGATTACAATGTGTACTTCCAAAGTCAATTAATTACATCTTCGTAAAGTCTCAATCCTAACCCGACCCCTGTGTTGACATTAATACGTCTATCCTGCATCATACGTATAGGGGAACTCATTCATCGTCATCGTTATCATTTTATAGTTACAAGTGTTTCAATTCATGACGAACAGGAATCAAATCTGTTTAACAGAATAAATTTTATTGACAATGTTGGGGTTCACAAGACATTCCTTATACTAAACAGTTATATGGCAGCCAAATAATATGATTGTGAACCGAGGGAAACCATATACAGAGTTATTCAGTCTACCGTAACTTTGCATGGAGATATACGTCTAGTGTCTATAGAAAAAAAATGAAAACTGTTTACCTAGACCCTACATGATGAAGTTGTTCAATGGCTGGTTAGAGATAACCAGATGTTAGTGAAAATTGCCAAACATGAATTTAACAAAACTGGAAACACTCCTTTTCATCTCATGGCCGTAATTTTACTGAAGAAGACCAGAATGACATATTTTTAAGTACTGGTATTTCCTTTCACACTCTTGTTTTTTCAATAACAACAGGATGATTTTTCCGAGACTAACCAATGTTTAACTATAGCGGCTAGTCTTTGAGACGGATATCTAATGTATGGTGTGTGATTATGGCCATCTCATGTTGTCGCCTTATCGCTTTGTCAAGTTCATAAACTGCGACAAACCGACTATGCATATATCTCAAATAATATGTTTAATCGGTATTGTTATAATCTGAAGAAGTTCTTCACGGTGTTGTTGGTGGGTTCAGTGTATGACAATTATTCGCAGATATTCTTCACGGTATTTTTAAATGAATTAAATCGTTCTATGGGAGGTAACTCCGACGTTAGGTGAAGAGATCGAGAGGGCGATATCAGTTTCTATTTCAGCTTGGCTTCATTACAGGATGTTTGGTAAAAAGATATAACACACGGATACAGCAACGTCCACTTTAAGACGAGTTCCGAACTTAAGAAACTTACATAGTCGGTTGATCGTCTTTTATGCCCAAATTCGGCACCGTCTCAGAATGTGTACTGTCATATATCTGCTAAAAAATACACACTTATTTCACGAGAAAATTTCACATTTTCTCCGAAAATCTAAATTTCTTTCATTCATGCAACATGATGATGATAATCACAAAAAAAAAGTAGCGCTACCTCCCTTAACTGATCCTTCGCAAAATAGATCGCCATTATGACTAAGTTGGCATTCAATTTTGTGAAGTGAACGGAAATTTAACAAAGATGTGTTGAAGCGGTTAATTACGCGAAAGGTTAGATAACTAACCAGCCATCCAAAACTGACCCACATTGAAGTTACACACAAAATTTATCTTAAAGCGGATACTAATTCGGACAGATATCATCATCACATATTTCTACTTCTCGCATCATCTACTGAATAGTTGATGTTCGAACTTGGAATAAAATGACAACACACTTTTCAAACGTGTATGAAAAATATGTGTTGGTTTTCTTCGCCGCGGATCAATCCGGAATTCATAACTTATTACTTAGGGACTACGCTTAACTCGCTTGTTGAAAGGCTGTGGTAGCGGACCTAAAGCCATTTAAGAAGTCGATATAAACAGTAGCAGTAATTGTTTAATGACATGCAGACAGAGATGGCGGACCATATGTTGGAATGTGGATTTTAAAAACTTGGCGGTCCGGACTTCGTAGATATGGGTGTTAAATTATTATCAGTTAGCTCGCTTTCGACACAAACGTTTCTGTGACCTAACCTGAAGAATGCCATTCGTTATCCTCACGCTGTAAGTCATTAAATGTAAACGTTTGACGTTCTTGTTTGTGTATACCACCATGCTGGAAAATTCGGGAAACATCTTGTACTATTCGAGAGGATTCGATTTGTAGATATATTCACACGTGTTCTGTGAAGTTCGTTTTAGAAAAAGGTGTTATAGATTCGGAGTGTGACAACAAGAACCATGAGCGCTAGCGGAGGAGGAGACGATCAGAGAGAGTCGCGGATTCCAAGTAACATGAAGGGCCTCATGCAGTTTTGTATCGAACAAGGGTCCGCATGCGACAATCCCGATGGGGTAATCAGCGAAATGTCAGCTGAGGTAAATGCATTATTACGACATGTTGACGTTTTCAGGGGCGTATACTATAAGGATATGTTAAAACAAAACGCATGCTGAAGTTATTTGAAAATGAAATATCGCCCTTACCCTATATCGTATACACGAACCACTGTTTGACTGTGATACTTAATGACTTAATGAAACTTTAATTACAGGGAGCGGGCAGCATGCAAAACCTAAGTTACTTATTTATTGCATTTAAACCTTTCAGAGACGGGAATGGCTAGAGTCTGCTTTGAATGATATGACTTCAAATCCTGTCAACAGGATGAAGGAAGGACTTGGGAAGTTGAACCAACCTGACAATGAAGATGATGAAAATTTGACAGATGAAAAAATATCTGTTCTTGAGGAAATGATGGAATGGTGTGAAAATATTGACTTAGCAATAGGTGAGACAACAAAAACCTCATTCTTTAACATAACATATTCCTATCACTGCATATTGTAATGGATATTACAGTACATTTTAGTTCAGTTAGTCCTGTAGAACCAGAGACGTATATACGTCGAACCATATTATGTGGTCTATTTTCACCAGCGAAAATTGTACTGACCTAGTATAACACCTTTGTTTAAGGACCCCAATGGAAATAAGCGTTTTAATGCTTTTTTGGAAATCCTAGGATATATGTACTTTTTGTCTTTATGAATAATTATAACTAGCTGATACATTAAAGATATAGCTAACAACTTATTCCTGATTATGTATAACATATTATATGTGCCATATATTCATATGTTTTTTTATACAATTCTGTCCATATTTATCATGAATGAATTTATTATTATATCAAAGGAAAAATATATCTGGTTATATTGTGCTATGAATGAAAACAAATTTAAAATCTGCACAAGATAATATTTGAACAGATTTTCACAAGATTGGAGGTTATGAAGTGTTGAAAAAGCAGTTTGACCACAGTGAGCCGGAAATAAGATGGAATGCGTTAGAGCTCCTAGGAATCCTCGTACAGAACAATCCCTACTGCCAGGATGCAGCACTTAAACATGAGTTGCTTCCCCTTGTACTACATATGGTGGATAATGACAGCAATGCCACTGTCCGCACAAAGGCACTTTTTGCTATCTCATGTAAGCAACATATTTAAATGTTCATAACAATTACATATGCTGTTTATACTTCAGGAGCATTTTGATGTGATGATTGTTCTTGCAACAGTTTCATATCTTAATGTTTTTTTATATATAAGGGTGCGCGATGTCTCATTGTCATGTGAATAACATACTGTGTTACCTTGTAATGATACTCTTGTTGACTTTGCTGCCTCATCCTTGAAGATGTGCTGCACACATTAACTAATGAATGAATTTTGTCTTGATTGGTAGGTTTATGCAGAGATGTGCCTGATGCTCAAAAGGTGTTCGTTGACAATGATGGATTTTCTGTAGTTATGAGAGCTATGCAGTCTGATGTTGAAAAACTGAAGATTAAAGCAGCTTTCATGCTGAGTAGTCTGTGTAATGATAAACCAGAGTTTAAAGGTAAATTACACTAAGATACACTTTAGCCCACAATATTTACATTCAAAATGGTAGATAGGTCTTGTGCTATCAACAGTAATAAAATTTTAAGATATTTTTTCTTTTTGATGTTGAAATTCAAAAGTGAAATATTTAGTTTTTACTTTTAAAAGTTTTCAGCTGTAAATACAAAAAAAAATCACCTGCATTTTCTGCATTACGGAATCTTTTAAACAGATCATGATATTGTGAGTTCAACCGTATTTTGCAGTTACCTGCCTAAATGATTTGAAAATGTAGTAGATGTGCATTGTCTTGGCAGTGATCTTAATGTTATCTGTCTTGTGTTATACAGACCTATGATAACACTATCACTTTCATTAGAACCCATAATACTACTACTTAGAATTCTTAAAGAAATGAAAGATTTCTTACAATTTATTTCTCAGAGAGTAACATCGGGGATTACTAGCATCAGTGAGTTTTAATTTGATTTGGGAAGTATTGGATGAAAGGTGTTTCTCTACAAATTTGCATCATTGTTTGTAACATACTATGACAAAGAATGACAGATATGTTCTCATTTCCTTTACAGATATAATGTGTGACATAGGTATGATTGACCAGCTAGTGGGACATCTACAGGAAGAACATAGTAGTTTTCATGAACACATAATGTCAGCCTTGCTGACAATTGTCCGTGACAACCCAAGGGCATGTACAGAGTGCCAACGCCATGAACTAAATCTGCTCAGTACACTGAATGACAGGGTAGATTTACTGAAAGGGAAGGAAGAGTTTCAGGTATGTATTATACTAAATAGAAAATACATATTAGCAATATCCTGGATGATATTCCAGAATATTGAGCTAGTGTGGTGCAGACTCATTAGAATTTGTAAGTTGGATGTAAAGACACCTATCAACTTGATAAGATTTTCATGGGGAAGATTTTACTTGATAAGATTTTCATGGGGAAGATTTTACTTGCTCAAAAATAAAAGTATAAATAAAATGTACATATGTATATATATACCCTCTAGTAAAGCTAAAGTAATGCTTGTCAATGACATCATTTGGTTGAATCATGAGATCTAAAATATTAGAAATAGCTTAGCAATATTTACTTGTTGAAAATAGCAAAAAGCAGGAATCGAAAATTGGCATTCTTCCGTCTGAATAGGGAGGCTTATATAGTATGTTAAGATATCTAGAATAAATTCTTGTAGAATATATGTAGCATTGTATATCAACAAATCAATATTGTCAATGTATCAGTGTAAGTTGGAACCATCAAGCTATTTGTCTCTCAGCATTTGTTGTTTTAAGTGTAATTGCTGAAATATTTACAAAGAAATTTGCAAAAAGCATTTTTCTGTATTACATCTACACATTTTTTAATAACAGCACAGTTCATTGCCCATATTTATGGTACTTTTACAATAGTCAATCTGTAAGAAATTAACTTATTGTATAGGTATATTTTAGCGGTAATCATAATTCAGTGCTTCTTGCCTTAAAAAGTTTAGCACTAAAATATTATTGTGGTAATTGTAATTTCAATGTTCTGCATATACAGTATTTATTATAGGTGGGCAAATTTATCATTTCACAAATTTGCCAAAAACTGATTCCATGCTCTGAATTTGGCTGTGCCAAATGAAGCATGTTTAGAGTAGATATCCAATTAATTTGTGTAGATTGGTTTAAAGCGACATCACAGTGAAACAATGTTTTTTCGTGCTGATTTTTGCATTATATGTGATAATGCATGTACACAAAACACTGTCGCATGTAATCAAAAATGGCTTCCCGCCTGAAACGGTTGATGATTAATGTGACTTCTTTGGTAATTGTGAATTGACTTAAGGATGTTAAATAACATTTGCCATGCACATAACAAAGCCTGGTGCTGAAAAATGAGATGTTACTGACTGTATCACTACTATTGCTGTCATTTCTGCCCACCATCATATGTTGTTTGTGTTTACAAAATTAACTGCCTAATTTTCAAACCTATTGAGTGACCCTATCAGCACTAGATTTAAGAGAGATTAACTGAACCGTAGAAGTGGTCAAGCTGGATATTGGCAGTTCACTGTGAATAGTGGGATAGAGAAACATAACTGGAAATATATCAAACATTCACAATCATTAGTAGAATTAATGTGTTTAACATGATGTCCCTTTAATATTATCAACAGCAGAGGTATTTGAACTTAAAATCTTGCAAGCCTGTTCCAACATTAGAGATTTGAAAGGCATGATAGTGACAATTCAACCTTTGAACCATCAATATTAGTTAAACATGACAAGTGTAGTGAACTCAGCGATGGAAAAAAGATAATATAATCAATGTGGTTTTATTTTCAGGAAGAAAGAGAGTACGCCACAGAGCTGCTAAGGCTATTACAAGATCAAGATATTTCAGATGTGGCTAGATGACCATTTGAAGTGTTAAGTAAGGAAGGAGTGAACTCTGGATCTGGATACTAGGCTATGCAGTCAAGCTTGAGATGGCCATGCATGCACAGATGCGCTTCCGTGATTGTTAAAGTAACATGTTGCTGTTTAAGTGTATTAGTCTCAGAATAAAGTCACCTGTTCATCAGTCAAGACATACATGTATATTGAAGATACTGATGGGACTATTATCAGTATAGGGCAACAGAGGTCTTAAGATATTGATGGGACTATTATCAGTATAGGGCAACGTAGGTCTTAAGATACTGATGGGACTATTATCAGTATAGGGCAACGTAGGTCTTAGGTATCAGTATAAACGGAGGTGATGGGACTATTATCAGTATAGGGCAACAGAGGTCTTAAGACTATTATCAGTATAGGGCAACGGAGGTCTTAAGATACTGATGGGACTATTATCAGTATAGGGCAACGTAGGTCTTAAGATACTGATGGGACTATTATCAGTATAGGGCAACGGAGGTCTTAAGATACTGATGGGACTATTATCAGTATAGGGCAACGGAGGTCTTAAGATACTGATGGTACTATTATCAGTATAAAACTACGGAGGTCTTAAGATACTGATGGGACTATTATCATTATAAAACTACGGAGGTCTTAAGATACTGATGGGACTGTTATCATTATAAAACTATGGAGGTCTTAAGATACTGATGGGACTATTATCATTAGTCTGGAGATTGTCCATTGTAGACCGGAGACTGAGGAAAATCTCTCCGGTCATCCTATACCTTAATGACTGACCAAAGATCATACAAATATATATATATATGAACACACTGAAAGCATTATCTTAAATGGAATGAAAAATCTGCAATGACAATTTGATGAGTATGCTAACAAGGGTTTTCACAGTATATCAGTGTATTGTTGTGTTGTGATTTAAGACTTTTTTTAAAACACTACACATCAAACTACTGTTTTTTGACAAGTTTGTTAGCAGTTTTATCATGTCATTATTATCGCTCATGGCCTTCTCCATCATTGAAATCCCACAAGACTGCCCTCTTGTTGTTTAATTCAGAGAGAAAGAGAATCTTACAGGTTTCCATTATCAGGCCTCGTCTAATATTGATAGATACCAATGTGTGTACATGTCAATGTCCCATGCACATTTTAAGTATCACAATATGTTGCTATGTGGTTTTCACTGCCAATACTCACCACTTAGACAAGTTCAGTTTCATTGCACAACAATGCAAAACATTTCAGAAATTTTGACATAACAATAATAGATAAAGCTTCTATTTCAAAGTGAACAAATTTACATATTACACTGAAAGTGGTTGGAAGTAATGGAATGGAAAATGTTATTAGGACAAAAAAAAAAATAAAGAAAAAGAAAGCAAAAACCTGTTTTATTGGAAATAAAATGATTTTTAAATAACAGTTATATTGGACAAAAAATCAATTAAAATAAAAGGATAATTCTCTTTTATATCAGATGAAATATATCTGAATGTAATGGTCATTTGGGCCAATGAAAACCCATGTTCTAAATCTGTTATATTAGGTATCTGATACCTTACATGTTGATTTGTACATTTATATAGATTATAACATGACATGTGTAGGTTGATTATTATTAAAATGAATTATGTCAGAATGGAGCAGTTTGTATTTTATATAAGAAAAAGGGTATTTATTGTCATCATTAGATATTTGGAATGAAACTACAATTAGGTGTTAAAATTGTCATTTTATTAGAACAAAATACAACCAGCAAGAAAAAAAACCAGGAAACCTTGAATTCCTTTTACTCGATGTGTTCTGTTATTTCTGAAGAAAGAATGTAAGATACATGATATTTTATTCTTCCCAAAAAGAACTCAACTTTACTAAAAAAATAACATATTGTGATGACAATTTAAAGTTGTTGATTAACCTAGTCCAGTTGATTTCTGAGCTCATGCAATACTGTAGTGTCCTTCACATGTTAATTTTTTCCCAAGAAATTGCTACCAGTCATAAACAACTGAAGGGATTTCGACCAAATTTGATAAGAGGTATCCTTTGGGAAAGTGGAACTATTTTTTTTTATTTATAATGGATCTTGGACCACTGGCCTGAGGGAGCAAATTTTTAAAAATCTTTCTGTAGAACAATTGGATTTTGACCAAATTTGGTCTGAAGCATTCTTTTGTGAAGGAGACCTTGTGTCATAAAAAATAGGTCTGACCCTCGGGGAGAAGGGGAACAAGCTCAGTAGGGGAAGTATAAGAGAACGGAGGTATTTTAACCAAACTGTTTAGGAGCATCCTTGGGGAAAGGGGGAACATTTCCATACAAAATTGTGAGCATTGGCCCCCTGGAGTTTCAGGACTGGGGCACAAAATGGGATATTTAGCTGATTCTTTAAAAACCTTTCTGCAATAGAAACAATATTGTCCTGTCTAAATTTGATCTGAAGTATCCTTTGGTGAAGCACAATTCAGTTTTGTATAAATAGGGAATATAACAGAGGGGCAGAGCCCAATAGGGTAATGAAAGAAATCACTTGAAGATCCTTTTGTTTAAATGATTTTTTTACCAAAGTTGTCAGAAGAATCCTAAAGGGAAGTGGGAACATTTTTTTATAAATAGTTAGTGGGTCTCAGGGGCTCTTTTGCCTCGGGGCAGACTCCGAAGAGTATATGTACAACAAGTTCTTTGAATTTTAGGAATTTGTCCAAATTTAGTCTGAAGCATCCTTGGATGAATGAGAATCATTTGTTGTAAACTGTTTATCTGACTCCCATGGAGCGGAGGAGTGGGCACAAGTAGGGGATATAGAGGAATCACTTTAATATTCTTCCACTGTTTGAATTAAGCTGTTTTGGGGAAGGTGAACCAAAATGTATATAGGTTGTAGATCTTTGCCTCCGCTCGCCCCTACGGATGGGACAAGATATTGGACAAATAGCTCATCCTTGTTTTTTCAGATTGATTGGATCTTGCCCAAGTTTGGTCTAAAGTATCCTTGGGTGAAGAGATATCAATGGTGGGGCAGAGGGGAATGACCCAGTACCGAAAATAGAGGAATCATTTTAAAATCTTTTCTTTTGATGAAGCTATTTTATTCGAATTGGCTCATAAGCATCCTAGGGGTAAGCGGGACCAATTTTGTATAAATTATGTGTCTTGTCCCTTGGTGCCTGAAGGATGAGACCCACTACAGGAAAAATGAAATATCCTTCTTCATCTGTAGAAAGGACAGATTTTGTTCAAACAAGGGAACTCAAATTTGTATGCGTGATCCAATTGGGTCGGCACATGCAATCTTTGGTTGCTATGAACATGTTTTGACCAACATTGAATATCGTTTGGTGAATTTCATGTAAATCAGGTGTCTGTAGAGCGGTAGGGTCTAATTTGGGAAAATTAGGTAAGAGTTTAAAATCATTCTTTTTTTGCTTGGATGAAGGTATTAGGTTATTATTTTGAAGTTTCAAAATTCCTCGTATTTTGGGATGATGTGGCAACGCAATCATGAATAAAACATGTATTTTGACGTGAAAGCTGGAATATCCAGGTGAGCAATACAGTCCCAGTGTGCCTATTGTTACATTTATAAAGAGTGTAGCAGAGGTTTAAGTGACCATTCTTGTTTACTATAGACACGGAAATAACTGTAGTCTATAGTGTCTATTTCTTAAAGATCCAAAAGATAAAACAGCCCAATATCAAACCAATATCACCCCAATATCACAATATCTCAACAAAGTTACAAAAATGTTTCACCTTAATATTGTTTCAAAATCGCCCCAATATCTTACCATAACACTTGCCACACCCTAATTTTACACCAATATCATTCACAATACCCCACTATCATTCTCAATAAACCAAACACCAACTGCACACCTTGATTTCACCCTAATATCACATCAATACTACACTTCTATACCATAATAATGTCATTCCAACAAATATCTTTCCAATATCACACCAATACCAACTAAATATCAACCCAATATCCCACCAGTATCATCCCAATATCCCACCAGTATCAACCCATTTCACACCAATATCACACCAGTATCACACCAATATCAACCCATTTCACACCAATATCACACCAGTATCAACCCAATATCACACCATTATCACACCAATATCACACCAGTATCAACCCATTTCACACCAATATCACACCAGTATCAACCCAATATCACACCATTATCACACCAATATCACACCGGTATCAACCCATTTCACACCAATATCACACCAGTATCAACCCAATATCACACCATTATCACACCAATATCACACCAGTATCAACGCAATATCCCACCAGTATCAACCCAATATCACACCTATATCACACCAGTATCAACCCAATATCCCACCAGTATCAACCCAATATCACACCAATATCACACCAGTATCAACCCATTTCAACCCAATATCACACCAGTATCAACCCAATATCCCACCAGTATCAACCCATTTCACACCAATATCACACCAGTATCAACCCAATATCCCACCAGTATCAACCCAATATCACACCTATATCCCACCAGTATCAACCCAATATCCCACCAGTATCAACCCAATATCACACCTATATCACACCAGTATCAACCCAATATCACACCAATATCACACCAGTATCAACCCATTTCACACCAATATCCCACCAGTATCAACCCAATATCACACCATTATCAACCCATTTCACACCATTATCACACCAATATCACACCAGTATCAACGCAATATCCCACCAGTATCAACCCAATCACACCTATATCCCACCAGTATCAACCCAATATCACACCTATATCACACCAGTATCAACCCAATATCACACCAATATCACACCAGTATCAACCCATTTCACACCAATATCCCACCAGTATCATCCCAATATCCCACCAGTATCAACCCAATATCACACCTATATCATACCAGTATCAACCCAATATCCCACCAGTATCAACCCAATATCACACCAATATCACACCAGTATCACACCAGTATCAACCCAATATCACACCAATATCACACCAATATCAAACCAGTATCACACCAATATCACACCAATATCAACCTAATACCACACCAGTATCACACCAATATCACACCAATATCAAACCAGTATCACACCAATATCACACCAATATCAACCTAATACCACACCAGTATCACACCAATAACCCCCTACATCACACTCCAATATCACACGAGTATCAACCCAATATCATACCGTTGTCACCCTATCTCATACTATCTATGATGAAATAATATTTCAAATTTATTCTGGAGAAGTTACGCTTTTAATCAGTACAATATGCTCGACAAAGAACAAACTAGGAATTATTCCGCTAGACTACACCTGAAAAGTGTACGCATCAACCTTTGTCTCATTAAAGAAACATTATCTACCAAAACATGGAAACGTATTTACACACCACTGAAAGCAATGGAACCTATATCGCCCACCTAGATTTAACTTTTAATTCAAAACATTTCACTTACTAAAATATTTTTGCATTTTCCCAAAAGGTGAGGTTCTAAACCTCAAACTACAAATACATGCAGAAAAAATAATAAATTCAAACTCGTACCTGTTTCCTGTATTGATCAATGCTCCTCTGTAGAACATTGATTTACATAATCGAGTCCCTTTCACCCAAGAATATTTGGAATGAAATTAGGTCAAAATACTTTTATTATAACGGAAGGAGATATGCTTTATATATTATATCTATCTAACCTGTTAGGCCTCGACCCTTAGCCATCATCTTGGTGAAATCTACAGTTGTAATACACAGAATCGAACACTCTTCATTGAAGAATGCGTCGGACAAAGTTTGGAAAAAATTCTATAATTTATTACACAAATAGGAATATGAAAGTTCTCCTTTTTGGCCCCGCCCCTCAATGTACCCTAGTGCGAAGACCAATACATTATAGAGAACGAATTAAAAGACTTTCATCCAAACAGAAATTTTAAGAGATTTTTTTTCATTTCCCGAGTGCTGCCTGCTGTCAGTCCTAAGTCACGAATATAAAAATCACCCAACGAAGTGTCTATTAGAAATAAGATTATTACTAGTTTTAGAGACTGTGTCCCTTTAAAGCGAGGAAACTCGTTCTGACTCTTACTTTTCCCAGGCAGTCCAGTCCGTATTCGGCCATGTTTTTGTTTTACCTGTTATTTGGAATAATTTCAGTCGACACGGTGTTATCTGCAAGTAAGTCAAAAAATTAATGTTAAATTGAACAGGTATGTATTTGTTTAAAAAAGAAAGGAATTGGATACACATATACTTCAGATGACAATGGTGATTTATTATACTCATGTCTGTAAAATACTAATATTTCATTACATACGGTACACTGTACAATATCTGAAATTGGTTTCTTTCCTTTGTCTCAATTCGCTTGTCCTCTGATGCCTTCTTTTATCTGTATAATTGTGGAATGTTCGTCACGAATTCCTTTCTATTGCTGTTGTGGAAAATGTTTGATATTTTAGGAATGATTTCAAAGGTTAACAGGTCTGATAAACAATAAACATATTACGTACATGTATGTAGATTGTTGATGTTGACACTTCATATAAATCACGTATAGCATGTATATCACCTGTGGGGACTAACAAGTGTGTGTTGCTGTTTATATGCACATGTTCAAATCTCAGTCTGACACAAAAACCTTGTACAGAGAGACATTCACGTTTGGCAGACATGCATTATACGTCCCCGAGAAAATCGTATTATAATTTTTATACGTGTACGGAGATAAATATATGCGAGAGCTTGACAGGACAAGCGTATTACAAATTCATAAATGTCAAAGAGCTTACACGAAAAGCATCAGAATCATTAGATCTAAATAGTACCTTAATTGTCGTTATCGTACTTCAGACGAGTTTTCATTTAAAGTTACTATTTATATACGAGTATACGAACAAAATATTAGTTAAGACATTAATGATGAAATGATATTTAATTCGATTTTTACTGCATGAACTGCCGCGATATTCTTAAGATTTGTTTTCCAAATCTACTTTTGAAACTTTCCTACTAAAATGGGATTCTTCATATGAATAAAGGGATCGAGGTTTTTAAAGGTTATATAGGAGACTAGGTTACCCTCACTGGTAACATCATATGGTTAATTTTTGCTGTTTTTATCGCCCCTGGAAGTCACGGCCCCCTGTCCTAGCCAGTGGATACCTCACTGAACAATATCCCTTCGACCCGTCGCTTGCCAACCAGAGCAATTAAGATAAAGTGTCTTGTCCAAGAACACAATCTTGTAAACACAGTCCGATTCATTTCTCAGCTTCCTCACACGGACAAAGACCACAGTTATCGAGCACATTAATTATGATCAAATCTTTTTGAAATAACCTAATCAACTGGCTAAAATGTTTTCACTAATTTTCACCGCTTTATTTTCTAAACTGCAAACTATTCTGGAGAGTCATATTTCGAAACATTTTACACCTCTAAAAAGATTCTTGATAAATTATATATATATTTTCGTTTAAATATCTTTCGTATTTTACATATGAATCTCATAGAGTTAATTAAATCAGTTCTCTGTAAAATGTACTGAGAGAAAATAAGAATAATGTTAATTTTGTATCACATTATTTTTTAGAATCATGCTCTGAAACCAGCGATACCGCGTGTTGCACTCACGGAAATCCCTACACAACTAAAAATGGCCAAAGAGTGTCATGTGGCGATGGATATGGCCAAACCTCATGTCCAGAAGGTCATGTCTGCTTCGCCCACAAGAGCAACAGATGGTCAGCATGTTGTCCTCACGAGGCAGTCATACCAGGCACGTATTAAACATAGTATGCTATATATTAAAGATATGTTCGTGGTGAATGCATTGTATTCATACTCTAGCGCTTAAGGTTGACAGAAGTCTATGCTACTTTCAGTAAATTTGGAACCTTTTAAAAGTAGAAATGAGAACTAATCGGACGTATACATTAAGGATGATGTATATAACAATATCATTTCACTAAAGGAAAGAAATGTCTTATAAATTTCTGATCAACAATATTGGAGTATTATTGGCCATGGCAATTATTCAATATACATATGCACAAGTCCTCATCATTGAGCCAAAACAAGAAATTTTCAACTGTCAAGGTCTGAAGACCAGTTTCGTATGTTATTTCATATCGACAAATTCGTATTTTAAATTGGAATCGCAAATCTCGGGCTTAAATCTCAAAATCAAGAATACAACTGCAGATTATCTGTATGCAAGAGATAAAGATCAATTAGGCTTCCCCATACCTCCCAAACTGATAAGATAACTATAATACACATTGAGACTAGGTTTCCTAGTGACTATTTTATTGATACAGCATCAAAAAAGTAGACCAGAACATTATAGAATGCACTTACCAATCTATATTTTGACAGTCACTTTGAACAATCGTGATTTTCTTTGTCGACTCTCAGATACATCCGACCCTTATCATCACTGACGAGCCCTAGAGGGACCGGGTTATGATTCAACATGAGGATTGTCAATTTATCTATTCATGTGAAATGCAAAATGATGATGCTATGTTCTTCATGAAGCATTCATTGTGTCATATTTTCCTTATAAACACATTCTCGATACTTCAGTTGTTAAGCTCACTATTACTCTCTGCAAACATGGAACATGTAATGGCACATTGAAAAGACAAGAAGACTGATTTAATTCTATGGGGTGTCGCTCCCTTGCAATCTTCAAAGAAGCGTAACACTTTATGATTGGCCATTTTTGTTCTACTGAAACCCGTTCTAGACCAATCAAATTACTTCGCACGTGCCTTCAATTTTGCCAGGAAATGCTTCAAGGATGCACAGAACGAAAGTGGTCGTAACCCTTGGAGTGTCTTGGATTTAATACAAATAACTTGACATTAAAAATAAGCCCATTGCTATGCTATGAATGATTTTAGTTTTATAACGATCTTTCAGGATCTACCAGACAAAAATATGCAATGCTCAAATGAAAACTGCCTTCCCCAAGAACCACTAGCGATATTTTGGTCAAAAACTATAATGTCATTAAGTACAGATAGGATTTTTTTAACTTCAGAAAGCCACTGAAAAATTAAAGTTGATTGTCCTTAACTGAAGTGGTTTCAGATAGAGTTTGGATAAACTATGCCTTTTTGCATTTCGAAAGAATGTTTTAAAGCAAAGTACGCATTATCCCTTTGTTAGCCTCATCTTTTTAGCTCAAGGAATACCATCAAATACAGTGCAAGGTTTGTTTTTTTCAAATAAAATTATCCTACAACAATGATGTTTCACACAAACCTTTAAATCTATCTGGTCTTTCAGGAAGCCATTGAAAACATATTTCCCCCATATCTGTCCTGTCCAACCTGTTCTGATGGTATCGTCAACTTAAACAATATAGAGTTGAATGTCCTCCTCAAAGATTCTCTTTATGCAAGCGACCAAGATAAAGGAAAAAATAAAAACAAAAAAGAACAAGAAACATAATCATAATCCAAACTCAAATTAAGTACAACTAGGACAAAACATGTACAAAAGAAAGGTTTACACGGAGACTCCTGAAAAAGTACACGGAGAATAATTCAAGGTGTTCCGGAAGAGTGAGCGTCTTCTGCTTCATCGACGACACCCGCCATGTAAATCTAGGTCAATCCAAATAAATTATGTTACGTTCTATATGAGGTATACAACAACGAAACAACAGAAAAACTAACGTTAACCTTCATATTACACAAAGAAATAGAATAGAATCACCATGACAACCGTAACAATTTCCCATAATTTTGATCAACCTACAGGTTTTGAAATCCTGTGTTGCGAGTTTGTCCGTCAGCTGATGACTTCTTGAACGAAAATCGTGATGATTAGAACAGGCCCTTGAATATCGAAATCAACTGAGACATGTAAGCACCATAGGTTGGGGGTTGTCGTGAATTACATTTGTCCTGGAACGAGTATGTTTCAGACTAACCTTTTAAAAATATATATTGTCATTCAGTGAACTCTTAAAAAAGCATCTTCCCCATAATTGTCCTATCCCTTATGTCCAGACGGTGCAACCAAATTCAATTACATAGATAGGCTTCACTAACGATTCTAAGAGGAACGAAGCAGCTGTAAGATGCGATTTAATCATTTGGTTGTTCTGTATCTACTTTTAAATTTGAATTGAAAGATGTAATTAACCTATGTATATTTTTTATGATGCTGTTTCCAGAGCAATGTTCTGCAAGTAGCATTACTGCCTGTTGTATCCATGGTGACCCTCTTACTAATGAAAATGGACAGCAAGTATCCTGTGGTAGAGGCTCCCCTCAACCTGCATGTCCAGCCGACTACTCGTGTTCTGTAAGCGAAGTCGACAAGTGGGCAGTGTGTTGTCTTTCTGAGAAACAAGCACCAGGTATTGATGATGGCTGTAAGGTCCTGTGATACAGGGAATGTAATTCAGATTCTTTGTTGTTACCAGTTTCTGATGCATTGTGTACAGAGTACTAGTAGTTGTGGAGGGATTATGATTCAAAAAGTAGATTATCAATTTATCTTTCTCATGTGAAAGGTAAAAAATATCACTATCTAGCTTTATCTATAACATTTGTCTATTTAGAGTAGCGTCCACTTTCTGCCGCCAGTTTCCTTATATCAACATCTCATTGTCGCACACTGAAATGTGTTAATGGTTAAATTTATGTTTATTATTTTTTCTGCCGCCAGTTTCCTTATATCAACATCTCATTGTCGCACACTGAAATGTGTTAATTGTTAAATTTATGTTTATTATTTTTTCTGCCGCCAGTTTCCTTATATCAACATCTCATTGTCGCACACTGAAATGTGTTAATGGTTAAATTTATGTTTATTATTTTGCTTCTTTTATGACATTTTTTTCAGCATACGTAGCGCCTCCTGCCGGATATACAGGTCTTAGACTTCAAACTGTGTGTTTGCATGTTGATCCAGCCTGTGCACAAATGCACTACAGGATGATTGATGGTGCGTGGTACAGAGTTTGTGACATCCAGAGGCCCGGATGTAGAAAAACTTAAATTGAATTGATTTTTTTCCGTTGTGAGACTACGAGGTATTCGAAATAAAAAGTTTAGTTTTCATTGGATTTATTGTGTTTATGTAATATTATTACATTAAATGACAGTGATCGTAATAGATTTATTGGGAAATATCTTTCCTGTGTTATACCGATAGCGACTATGTGTTGTCAAAATTTTTGGAGAATTAATGTACAAAATCATTATTGTTTATGGTATTTTTAAGGATTTTTGATATGTGATGAGATAAAATTTTGTACAGATTAGCAACAGTTAAAAAAGAATTACATGAAAACGTACAGATGCCTGTTTTGAACGCATGGTGGATATTTTTGCTTCGCATGAGAAAAAATGTTGATTTTGAAAATGATTAAACGGACCTAGTTTTGAGCTTACTTTTACCCTGGTTTATTACTTGTATTCTTGACATTCACTGACAACGTTCACACTAGATTTCATAAGTCAATAACGCCTTTTGTATGGTTTGGCTGTATTATCAAACAAGAAACTCCATTTCAGAACTTTACTAATACACATGGGCGAAGAACCTTAGTTTTGAAACGTAAGAGGGGCTACTCAAGGTGGTAATGAATTTTTTTATCTTTTTTTTTTTTAATTATGACGATTTCGAAAGGATTGTCACGTGCATATACACATTCTCAGCAGTGCCACTATGCACATAGATTAAAACATGACATATTTTGGTTCGTAACATATCAAATCTTAAGTAGATATATCACAAAGTTTCTACTTGGTGATCAATATGCAATGTATCATCAGGACCTGGTTTTTCAAGATACTTTTATTTCTGTGTACATCATTTCTTCACATCGTTTTAGTGCAGTGATTCCATTGATTTAAAGAGGAATATGTGGCACAAGTACCTTCAGTCTGTGTATCGTGTTTATCCGTATGTTACTGCTGTATTCTAACTTTGAATCATCAGGAAATGAAAATTACAGTTCTTTGCATTTAGACATCATGCATTATGACGAATATCTCATACATTTTAAATGATAGGTTTCCTTTCGTTTCTTCCCATTTCAACATTTCGCAGCGTGAACTCAATTATCTCATTGTAAATATAAGTTAATAGTCATTAACATCAACATTAAGTAGAAACATCTTCCAATATCAAAATTATTGTCTATTTAGCTATGTTGTTTTTAGTATTTGCTTTCTATGGGCTACAGGACACTGTAGACAGTTTTGAAAGCCTATACACTACAGATATTCGGTAATGATCTTAGCGACTGAGACATGTCTTCCAATACAAATTCAGGGTTTGATAGAGTAGAACCAAATAAGGAAAAAAGCATGGCAACATAGCTGTTTCGTCCTCTGAGGATCGTCAGAGTAAATTGTCCTCATTTACATATGTCAAATACAAGAACATAAGTCAAGAGGCGTATCTGATTAAAACAGCTCATTAAAAAATGTCTTGCTTATACAGACAGCTGTTAAACAAGCGTGTTTATGCTAATTATAATCTGTCTCGATGCATTTTAAGAGAATGCTATTAAACTATGTATAATGATACTTATCAAACGAAATATTGCAAAAACAAATCTCATATTTCAAAATTCACTCAGATCACATTCCAAACAGGTACAAGAAAAAATCCGATTACGTCCCAAATGTTTTTATTTTGTTTAAAATGACGGATGACCTGCGCTGGAGGTGTGTGGAGTACTGACGACTGATGTGTATGTCACTATTGTACCGCAGTAAACAGTGTGCATACCAGATAAATAACAACATTCGTCCTGCATCTTAGAAAAAATACCCCGTTCGTGATCATAAATGTTGTTTGTCATATCAAAATTAGTAATTTTGACGTTTAATGCACTTTGCACTTGCGTGACCATGTCAACAGTAAACAGAACATTTTGAACCTTATTACGTTATTGAAAATAAAATATTTTAAAGTTATAAACAATAACAGGATATTTAACTGCGTCAAATATTTGTTACATTATTTATTGGAACCTTATTTCATTTTGTAAATATTTTTAAAAAAATCCGAAATCATATAAACAGTTACCATACAAATGCAATTAGATTTTAAAAAAAGAGAAAGATTTCTCTGTGTTATCCACGTTCACACAAAATATATGATAGTAAGAAATAATGAGATATTTACATAAAACATATAATGCATGCTCAAAACTGTATTCTATATTGCCATCCAAGGTTTCTGAGCGAAATTGATCAAATACCTTTAAGTCCTAACACCTATTTGATGTGCTTTTAAACTATGTCGGTGCATCTACAATCCTATGAAACGTAAATATAACATTGAGCTCGCTTGAATTGCCTGTAGCAGATTTCTGTCATTTACACCGACCATAAATGCCATTGTTGATATCCTTTCATCGAACCCGTGTAAAAATAGATTTTCTTTTTACATTTTTGAATTTCTGCATTTCGGAATGAAGTATTATTTCAGTAAATGAAACATCATAGTATCTTACAGAAACAGGAAATGACAAAATGTTCCATCATGCCGCAATACTACATATCCGAATGATTTCCCTGTATAACAAAGAATAGCTTACGAGTGAGGAAGCAGTTGTTTAATTCATTGTTTTGTTCTTTATTCTGTGTTCAATTATGTATTGAACGTTGCTATTCCACTATACACTCATGTCTCTGGTACAATCATTTGGTGCTTTTTAGTTGAAGGTTTCATACGGTAATATACTATTTAACATGGCATATGATATTATAAAAAAAGGGGCGGAGATGGCTAAAATGAACAAATACTGTAAACGTGGACATTCATACATATGTATTTGTGATATGTTACATATATATTGAAATGTACATTAATCATGAGAAAGTACACTGATCGCGAAAATACTCCCGAGCGTACAGCTTGCTTATTTAAATCACGAAATTAACGCTCCGCAAAAATGAAAAAAAAAAAAAAAAACGTTTACAGTATCAGATGTGAACACAAATGAGCAACAGGGTACTACCACAAATGATAGTTTTTAGAGATCAGCAATTAAAAGTTTTGAATGATAATGTCAAGTAATCAATAAATGTTTAGATTATTTATCAATAATGACTTTTAGGTGCAATGTCAAGATTAAGGTAAGATAGAAGAACAGTGGTTATAAATAAATCAATTGAGGTCATTTGTGAGATAGAACCTTGTTGCACGGATGCCTTGTGGCATGTTTCAAGCAACAAAGTGCATCTTCGTTGCATGATCTAAATCAGAATTTTTCCCTGATAATATGACTTAATTTACCTTAAATCGAGGATATAGGCAAAATAAAACGTTATTTTACTTACTAGATAAATCTGTGTATGCAATTAATCATTTCTTTGTATCATGCTCACTATTCTAGGCATAAAATCAACGACAAAATATTGTATAAATGCACTTTAACTATTCCATTTAATTAATATCTTACCACTGATTTGACATCGGTTACGTCCTCACCATGACATCTTACCCAGTTGGAGCGTTAGCCTACGGTACCTCAGTTAAAGATCCTGAGGTGCTTGGTTCGACGCCCCTTGAGAATGATGTCTGGTCACAATAATAATAATGAGATTCCATAGCTGGAAAGGAATGACTTTCTTTTTTTTTTTTGTTTAAAGCCGATGAACTTGCTTAATTATTTCGTTCTATAGACAGTCTCAAATTTTCTTTTCAGTGCTGAAAACTTTTAGGAAGAAATTTTAGCGAAATCTGTGTTTTATTTCCCAGACTTTGAATTGAAATGAAAGGCATTAAATTTCTTCTTTTCTCCAAATTTTGCATTTGGTTGAATATTTGTTTCTTCTAATAATCAGAGATTTTCATGCATTGGGAAAATTCTTCTTCTTTCTATATTAGATAAACATATATCACGTAAATATGTATGTCTAGTAGGAATGTCAGTATTGCATGTTTTAAAACCTACGTCAATGGATTGTAGGAGAAATCTGAGCAGACATTCGATAAGCTACCCCTGTGACCACACTTCACAACTGTAATACTGTTCTATTTATACTCCGCTATCACTTGTTTTACTTTAAAATGCAGGTTTCTTAGTGTTTTAGTGAAAATTTTCCGAAACATTTAACGCTTTTTGGCAGATCAGGTGTATTTAGAAAGGATGTACTTAAAAAACATTACTTAAAACGTGATTACTAGAACAGGAACCTGAGAGTTTGGGTTATAATTAGTACATACGTACCGGAGTGTGGGATGACTTCAGCTTCCACTTGTGTGTCATACGTTGGTTTGTTATATGGTCAATTTATCAGAATCAAATCTGTCAAGGATCCGGATTTACCGTGGTTTTTCATAAAGTACATGTACATCAAGTTTACTTAATCAGAGTACAGCAGCTTCTAATGAGGACATGTGTCACATGACTTTTGGTGACTCAACCTATGAAATAGAACCAAATTATAGAAATGATGAAAGGATACGAACTAAAATAATTGTACAAATAGCTAGCAGAAAGTTGGAAACCTAGAAGAATTAGAGAGACTGTTCTTTGCCAATTGTAATATCAGAATCATGGATAGACGTCGTTTATATTTGGCATAGATTAGAATAATCATTTATATCTATAATGATGCTATTTTAGGTCAAAATGATGTAAATTACAATCAATGCAATAAAACATTAATATAACAAGATTTAGTTGGTATATTTGAAATAAAATGAAAAGTTAGTTCACCAATTATAATACATAATACTGTTTAATGTTGGAATTCTAAATCCACTATTTAATATCGGAGTGGAATGCGAATGCTAACTCCATATCAATGAAACCAACACAAAATATCAACAAAAAAGACTTAACGGATACCAGTGAAAACTGTGACGTGTCAGAAGACATATAGCATATTTAGGTATATTTAGCATCAATATTATGTAGTACGAGAGCAATGGGTTTGTCCTTTTATTATGAATTTCGTAACAGATTCAGTCTATGGCACAAATTTGTCGAGTGTCTTTACCAGCGTAACGATCCTTTTGATGTCTTCCT